GCAGCAGAATCACCCCCTCTGGAGACCCCAGGCCTCCATTTTAACTGCTGTGGGGGGGGAGACAGGCAGAAGAAAAACAGCCCGTTTGCCAACTGCAGTACCCATCTCTCTGCCAAAACCCCTCTAACGTGCCAGTCTTGGCTGTTAAGGGCAAAACATGGAAATCTGGCTGGTCTCTCCCTTCTTCGAAGCCATGTCATCCCCGCCCAAAGACTGACCACAATCCCCTTCCCCTCTTTGCCACCCCCTGCCCCAAATGCAGCCTGCCAACCGGGCCGTTATGGCAAGAAGTGCTCCGTGCCCTGCAAGTGTGCCAATCACTCCATCTGCCATCCCGTTGACGGCTCCTGCGACTGTCCGCCTGGCTGGATGGGCAGCAACTGCGCAAGACGTGAGTCAGATGGGCACAAAGCCAAGCTCAAGAAATCCAGCAACGCCCCTCTTCCGGGGTGTGGAGGAGGGGTCCTGGAATGGGGCTGTCTCCCACTGGACCCCCTGGCCAGGACTGGGCCATTCGGGCCTCCTCTGGGGGTGTCCCCACCTTACTCCCCGAGTGCCATTTTCTCGGTTGGTGCAATCCATGAATGCAAGGCATCCAATATTTTTGCAGGCTGCACTTCCGGCTTCTTTGGCAATAATTGCACTTCCCGGTGCCAGTGCCAGCACGGGGGCCTCTGTGACCCAGGCACAGGGTCCTGCTCATGCCCCTCAGGCTACACCGGTGCCCACTGTGAGACCAGTAAGTGTGACATCCTGTTCTCTCTTCTCCAGACTCCTCTTGGGGGCCCTGGGCACAGGAACGAACAAAGGGAAAATAACCAAGAATTGGGTTTTCTTCTTTCTTTCTTTTTCTTTCTCTTTCTTTCTCTTTCTTTTTTCTTTCTTTCTCTTTCTTTCACTTTCTTTTTCTTTCTTTTCCTTTCTTTTATTTCTTTCTTTTCTTTCTTTCTTTCTTCTTTTCTTTTCTTTTTTCTTTCTTTCTGTCCTGTCTCTTCCTGGAGATGTGATTGACAAGGAGTCTCCAGCCTCAAAGAGAAGAGGAGGTTGTGCCAGGGGGTGTGCCAGGGGCCCCTCTGCAGCTGAAATTAAATTCTGGGAGCTTTGACCATCCAGAGCAGGGGTCCCCAAACTTGGCAGCTTTAAGACTTGTGGACTTCAACTCCCAGAATTCAGCCGGCCAGCACCCACTGAGGAATTTTGAGAGTTGAAGTCCACAAGTCTTAAAAGTTGCCAAGTTTGGAGACGCCTGATCCAGAAGGCACAGATGTGGCAGGATGGTCTCTGGACAGGCGGGGCTGACCCTGGCTCCTGAATCTTGTGTCCGAATTGCCATGTTCCTCAATTAAATGATTCACAGGCCGCCCCGATCACCCCCTCACCATGGTTCCCGCTTCGCCAGCCGCCAACCCCTCCTTGGGGGCCGTGATTGGCATCATCATCCTGGCCGCTTTGCTGGCAGCCGTGCTGGTCCTTTTCTTTTGCTACCGGCGGTGTCAGAAGGAGAAGGAGAAGCGACATGTCTCCGTGGCCTACACCACAGGCAGGACGGACAGTTCGGAGTATGTCGTCCCTGGTGAGCTGGGCACAGGAGGAGGGTCGGGACTAAGTTAAAAGAGGAGAGGGACAGCGCCCCTTGGAGGGGCGACTGCAGTGCGCCATGAGTGCCCGACACGAGTGCGAATCACGGGGCCTTTCCAAGAATGCTAATTCAAGCCAACGGCTCTTGTCTTTCCAGATGTGCCCCCCAATTACACCCATTATTATTCGAACCCCAGTTACCACACCCTCTCGCCCTGCTCCCCCAGCTTCACCATCCCAAGCAGCTCCGATCAGCCTGGCAAGGTGAGGCTCCCCTGTTCCAGCCCCAACCCCCAATGACCCTTTTTCTCCCCTTGAGAAAAGACCCGGGGTCCCTCCATGGCCATAAAGAGGCAGGGGTGGACTGTGGACAACATCCAAGGGGCACCCATACCAGAGCTGCTCCTTTCAGATTATCCTGTAATCTGCACTAAGTATTCAAAACTTCAAGCTTTTTCCTTCTGCTGATGTTCCTCAGTTTATAACTGGATGTCCTGATTTTCTTGGAATTAGTGGCCCCCTTTCCCCCCTCCCCCCTTTCAATGGGGCTGCTCTGCCTGATTCAGAGGCTTCTCCTGCTACCCTTCCTCTCCCAACTTTTACACCCAATGTTTTCTCCAATCCGCAGAGTCTGGAGCGGGACTGCTCAGGGCTGCATGGGGCCGACTGCAACGCCACTCTGCCCAGCGACTGGAAGCACCGCCGGGGGAGTCCTGCCCACGGTGAGTGCCAGCAGGTCCTCCTTTGAAGGGGGGCAGGGAGAGGAAAGCGCCACACTGGCTTGCCCCCTTAAGCATCCCACCTCCTCATCCATAATCCTTGGCCCAAATAGCTCCTCCTCTGCAGCCCCAGAAGCAGGGGTTAAATCCAGCAGGTTCTGGAGAACCGGTAGCGGAAATTTTGAGCAGTTTGGAGAACTGGCAAATACCACCTCTGGCTGGCCCCACGGTGGGGAGGGAATGGGGATTTTGCAATATCCTTCCCCTGCCATGCCCACCAAGCCACACCACGCCCACCAAGCCACGCCCACAGAACCGGTAGTAAAAAAAAATTGGATTTCACCACATGGCAGAATCGTGCGGATTCTGAGCAGCTCCCGCTTCCTGGCAGACACAAATACCCCCTCCAAAGAGATCCGGAGCCATCTCTTATAAAGATATGAGAAAATGGGAAAAGACCCCAAATCCCACAAAAAGAGAGTTGTTTGGAGAAGCTGAGCTCCTGCTCCTTGTGCACCCCACCCACCCCTTAAACCCCACTTAATTGGCCCACCGCCTCTTCCGCAGTGGGAGGCTACCTGGACCGAAGCTGCAGCTACACAGATGGCCTTGGAAAATATCGCTGCCAAGGTAACGGGTCAAGAAAGGGGACTGGGCAGAGAGCAGCTGCTGGGTGGTTCACGTACTGCAGCTGGTGGCGTGTGATGGTCCTGCTTTGCTGGAGAACGGGAGGTTGCTTGGAAGCCTACTTGGTCCACCGAAACAAGCCAGGATGTCCTCCAGCATTGCCCCCTATTCCCACAATCCCAGGGAAGTTGGGCTGAGCCTTCAGTTGGCTGTGCTTGCAGGACACAGCAAATGCCAGGGCTGCCCTCTTCCCTCCCTAGTGCACGCCAAGGAAGCGCCCTGGTGTCGCAGCGACAGCTCCCTCTGCAGCGAGAACCCCTACGCCACCATCAAGGACTGTCCCAGCCCTGCGGGGAAGGGGCCAGAGGGCAGCTACATGGAGATGAAATCCCCACCCTCCTCCAAGCGGGAGAAGTCCTATGCGGAGATCAGCCTCTTCGAGGAGCCCTCCTGCAGCTCTGAGGCCAAGGAAGAGGAAGGCACAGGTGAGGGGCGGGGGATAAAGCAGGGGTGAAATCCAGCAGGTTCTGGAGAACTGGTAGCAGAAATTTTGGGCCGTTTGGAGAACCAGCAAATGCCACCTCCGGCTGGCCCCAGGAGTGGGGAGGGAATGGGGATTTTGCAGTATCCTTCCCCTGCCACGCCCACCAAGCCACGCCCACAGAACCAGTAGTCAAAACAATTGAATTTCACCACTGGAATAAAGGCTGGGTGCCACCCGAGTGGCAGCGTTTGCACCTAGAAGCAAAGCCTCCCTCTGGAGGGTCAAGTTTCATTTATTGCCTGGCGTCTTTCCAAAAGAGAAACCCACTCAGTGCCCCCAACACCCTAAGGTTACAATACAAGATCCTCACTAATGGTGATCAGCTTAAAATAATCGTAACAATCGTAATAAAACTGTCCGTCTTTGTTAAAGAAACTTTGGCGGATGAGACGGGAGGTGAAGTCCGCAGGTGGTGGATGGTTTTTGAAGGGGAAAATCTTTCTTGGGGGTTTCAGAGGCAAGAGGGGGCTTTTCATGGAGGCAAAGCAACTTTTGGGGGTCAAAAGAAGCCGGCGTCCAGTTGGCAGCCAGGATTCCTTTCTTTTTTCAAAAAAATGGGGAGGGGGAGAATGTGGCAGCCCTGCAGAGTTGTAGATTTCCTTCCCTGACCCCTTTGGGTCAGGGAAGAGAAGCTCTTCTGCACCCAGGACCCTTCCTCAATACCAGGATGGGTCAGTGTGGATGATGGGTTAGAGATAGCCGTGTGGAGTCAGGAACGGCCTGACGGTAGCAGGACGGCTGATTTGTAGCTTCATCTTCCCTCATCCTGTTTCCCCTCTCCTCTCCCCCTTTTAGCCACAGCGGAAGGCATCCTGCAGGCGACTCCAGCCATGCCCCCCAACCACTACGATTCCCCCAAAAATAGCCACATCCCCAGCCACTATGATGTGCCCCCGGTCCGGCACTACCCACCGTCTCCTCCACTCCGAAGACAAGCCCGGTGAGGCTTCTGCCTGCTCGCCACTGCCTCTCCCAAATGATCCACCTGGGAAGGACTGAGAGCCAGGATGACCGGTGCATTCTGGCCAAGATTAACAATGGAAAGTGGGGGGGGGAAGAGAGCCTCCATGAAGAGAGCCAGCGGATGAGACCTGGCCAGACTTTGGGTGTTGGGGAGCTTTGAAGAGAGGGGGGAGCAAGCCTTTGGCCTGGATTCTGCAGCCCTGTTCTCCCCCTCCCCCCTGTGCCCAGAGGAAGCCTTTGTCCCTCCAGGAAAAGCTATGAGTGGCCAGGTGGGGCATCACAGGAAGACAAACCCCCCTCCCTGCAGGTGAGAGACCTGCAGCTTCCTTCCGGCCAAGGAGAACGGCTGCATTGGGAACTTTCCTCTGAGGTCCACCGGCCTCTCGGACTCCCCACCATTTGCATTCAGTAAAGGGGACCCAGAGGTTTGACTGGGCTGTCTCCCCTGGCACCCCTCAGCATGGGGGCAGAGCTAAGCCAGGAGGGGTCCCTGTCACTTGGCTGGCCAAAGAGAGCATTTGGAGGAGGGCTCCTGCTGTCTGGGGTCCTTTCAACAGCTTAATAAAAACTTTTGGGTGTTTGTCCTTCTCCGCCTCGCTTCTGAAAACTGCCCCCCTCCCCAACCTGGCGGCCTGGCGAGTGAAGGAGAGAGTGAGCCCATCTGGCTGCTGGTCCTGAGATACGTTGCCCACATCCAGGCCGATGGATTTCATGCCCAGATGCCAATCAGCCTCTGCCCACCCCAACCCCGGCTTTGTCTTTCAAAAAAAGAGTGATAAAGTAGTTCATCTTAAAAGTCTCCCTGTGCCCCTGGCATTTGAGGGGTGCTTTGCCACTGGGCCAGCAACCTAGGACACAGGCCCCACTCCCGACCGAGAGGGGGTCCGACCCCCCTCATTGCCAAGCTGGTCCAGCCTCAGAGGCGTGGCTTCCTGCTGGGAGGGCAACAGTCATTGGGCTGGCCAGGGCCGAAGAGGGGCTGGGGGCTGCTGCCCCGGGGGACCAGGGCTGGGGCTGCTGGCTTGGGCTCTTCCTCCTCCTCCTCCTCCTCCTCCTCCTCCTCCTCCTCCTCCTCCAGCAGCTTGTCTGTCTCAAGGTCCAGAGCGCCCCCAGAGCTGCTGTGCTTGTTCTCCAGGCTGCAGAAGAAGGCGTGAGCACGGAAGCTGGAGCTCATGTCCTCTTGGATGCTCTCCAGAATCTGGACAAAAGACGGGCGCAGACGCGGGTTCTGCTGCCAGCACCAAGTCATCAGGTCGTGTCTGGGAGGGGAGAAGGAGAAAGCCAGGAGTAGGCAGGAAAGGGGGTGGGGGGTTTCCTGCCTTCTCACATATCTTCAGCCAGGGATGTGCAGTCTTGAAGGCCAAGTGGGTAGGAGCCGCACTCCAGAAAGGAGTAAGGGGGCAGCCCCATCCCTAAACTGGGCAGCCCGTGAGTATTGCTCCGCTAAGAAGCAGCTACCTGCTGCCCAGGTGAAGCTAAGTAGGTTTGGATCCAGGTGGGATTGGGAGGGGAGACCACCAGGGTTAGCTGGGAAGTCAGACAAACTTCCTGCAAGGCAAGGAAACGGATTCCATGTGCTCAGGGCGTTGGTGGGCTTAGCTCAAGGAGGCCGCCGTCTCTCTGAACGGTTCAGGGGGAGAGAGGGTGGGGAAAGGTTGCCCACAAGCCCACCCACAACCACACTTCTGGGAGTCACTCACAGCTTGTCGGGACAGTTCTCGGGCCTCTCCAAGACCCCGTTGTCCATCACAAAATGGAGCACCTGCTCGTTGGACATGCCCTGGTAGGGCTGCTCCGCCAGGGTGGCAATCTCCCACAGCACCACGCCAAAGGACCTGAAAGAGAGGGGGCTGAGAAGGGCCACCCCAGCCCAGCCCTGCCGAGGGTCTCCTTCCGAGACCTTCCTGCACAGCCAAGGGTGCCCTCTGCCCTTTGGGCTACAGATTGCCCTGGCAGCACTTAGACCCCCTGGGGAAAAAACCCTCCTGATGTTAAGCTACAATATCCGGCCGCTTCTGCTCACAGGGGCTCACCAGATGTCCGACTGAGTATTGAAGATCCCGTCCTTCAGGGCTTGGGGGGACATCCACCGGACCGGCAGCAGCCCTTTCCCCCCCTTCCGGTAATAGTCCGTCTCGTAGATGTCCCTGGTCATCCCAAAGTCTTTGGAAAGGAAGACACCATTGAGAGGACGACCAAACACGAGCCAAGCTTGAGGAGCAGAGGCGGAGAGAAGAGGCTGGCACGGATCAAAGCTTCTCCAAGCGATGTCCAAGCCACCCCAGGCTGCCGTGGGGAGCCCCTCTCCCTCCCCCGAACCTGCCCCGCCTCAGCCCCACCTCCAATCTTCACGGTGAAGTCCTCGGACACCATGCAGTTGCGGGCCGCAAGGTCTCGGTGGACAAACTTTTTGGCGTTGAGGTAGGCCATGCCATCGGCAATCTCTCCGGCCATCTGGATCATGTCCTTCAGCGACGGGGGAGGCAGGCCCGGGTTATTCTAGAAGAAGAGGCGGCCAAGGTGGTCAGAACAGGGAACTGAAATGGTGCAGGGATGGTTGGGGAGCATCCAGAGCATAACAAAGTCTAATTTGTTGCTGTGGGAAAGTCACGGCTGATGGAAGCCAGACTCCAAAAGGAAGTGTGGCCGGGAAGATCAGGTTTCCATCGCCTGGAACCGCTTTGAAGTCGTTGCCAGCCTTTAGGAGTCTCTTGCTTTGCTCCAGAGAGTCTCCACGGGGATTCAGCCCAGGCCACCTTGCCTGCAACCTGAGCCTTACAGGGTGGTGGTGGGGGAACCCACCTCGGCTTCTGGGCGGAGGGAGCGCAGGTAGCTTTTCAAATCTCCCCTCGTCATCAGCTCCATGATGACCACTGCCGGCTGGCCTTGGGACACCACTCCGAGGAGGCGAACCTGGAGGCCCCAAGACAAAAGATGCACATCCAGCGTTGGAGAGAGGGTTCAGGGGCCCTACCGAGCTCGGCCCTGGCCGGTCCCACACCAGATCCATCTGGGTCCTGGAAAAGCTGTTGGGCTTGGCCCTGCTGAGGCCAGGACAGAGGAGTCACCAGGAAATGCCTGGTTTGGGAAGCGGGAGCTGCTTCCTGGAAAAGGCAGCCGTGTCCCCCCTTTCCATAAGTGCAGGAGGCCAAGTCCAGAGTCAATGAGTTTGCCCCACGTGCTGGCATGGGCAGAAAACGGGATGGGGTTTTTTTTCAGACACCCATGCAGACCTCACCAACACTTTTTGGGGGGTTCCTCCTGGCTCTTTTTCCTGGCAGGAAAGAGCTGCCCCCCCCATTTGCTCTCGGCGTCTGCCCCTTACCACGTGGTGGCAGCGAAAGGCTTTCATGACAGAGGCCTCGTTCAGGAACTCGATGCGTTCCCGCATGGATGCCAGCTCGTTGACGGTCTTCAGCGCCACCTGGGTCTCCTCGCCCTCCTGCTCCAGATCCTTGGCGATCCCCTCGTAGACCATCCCGAAGGATCCCTGGCCCAGCTCTCGCAGGATGGTGATCCGTTCCCGGGGCACCTCCCATTCATCGGGAACGTACACTAAGGAAGGGGGTAAGGCAGGAGATGCTTGCCAAACACCCCCCAGAGGTGTCCTCAAATAGCCCCCAGCCATCCTGCTAGTTGGCCTTCCCTCCCTCCTTCCCTCCCTCCCTCCTTCCCAGCTGGCATGGAAGCCGCCTGGGCACTCACTGTTGGAGGCACTGAAGTATTCGGGGTTGACCGAGGCATACAGCGTGCCGCTGGGGTACCCTTCAGCCCTCCTGCAAGGCGAGGATCAAGGGGGAAAGATCAGGGCTCGGGGAGGGGGACATCTGGATTGTTTTCAGGTGTTCCTGCATGGAGGCTGCCTGGCAGCCATTTGGACAAGGCAGACCTCGCTCAGCAGAGGAGGTGATCAGAAGAAGCAACAACCCACTGGCACGGCTGTCCCAATATTGCACATTTTCAGGGGTCCAACCCTCCTTTTGCACTTGGCAACACCCTCCCCTCCCTTTCGAGAAAGCAACGTGCCTCTCGGACTTGGCAGCCAAGAAAACCACCCCTGGTTTTAATGGTGAGCCCTAAACTCAGTCAAGGGGCTCCCCGAAGCTCAGTCGGGTAAGCCATACCTCTTCTTATTGTACAAGAAGACGAAGACGGCCAGGCAGGTGATGCCGAGCATCAGGACCACCGGGGTGAGTGTCAGGAACACGTAGAAATTCCCAGGTTCCTCTTCCTCTGCTTGGAAGGGGGGGGTTGTGGGGTTTGTCAAGGGAGAGAAATGCAATTATCGCACCCCAAAGAGAACCACAAATGAAGACAGCCAGTGAGAACATGGAGCTTCTGCCGAGAGAAGATTGCTGGAGATCTCCCCCCCCTCCCCGAGTGGTTTTCTTCTCCTCCTCCTCCTCCTCCTCCCCCCCCCTTGTCTAATCACCTGTTTGGGCAATATTTTCTTCCTCCCCCTTCACTTGGCCAAATAAACCTTTTGCCCGGTAGTTACTTTTCTCCCTCTGTTTGACAACAGGCTTCCAGCTGCTTGCCAGGCGAGTTTGAAGGAAGAGGCCGTAACGCTTTAAGGGCCAGACCTTGGTCTGTTGCAAAAGTTGGGGAAATAAACTTAAGGGGAAGACTCCCCACCCTTCCCAGGGGGCGTCTCTTGAGGGGATACTTAAAAGCGGTGGAACAATTAGGTGAGCTTAAACCTTTTTTCACTAAGTTCTATTACGTTTATAAATGGCTGGCAATTATCTTCTAAAGTAAAAATACTACAGAATTTAATCCTAACATTCCCTTTCTCTTATATATATTCCTAATCCCTCTCCCTCTCCTTCTATCTACCTATATCATCTATCCATCTATTATTTATGTTTTCCAAGCGTGGTTAATTTCCTCTGTGGCTGAAGCGACAGAACCTGGCTGCACTTTGCACAGTCCGTCTCCTTCTTAACTGCTCCCATTTGTCCCGTTTGCTGATGCGCCAGGACCTTATTCTGTCCAGTTTCCAGATGTCTGGACTACGATTCCCAGCATTCTCAGCAATGGCCAATCTGGCCAGGGAATTCTGGGACCTGGAGCCCACCAGGCAGGCTGCTCTGGGGCCCTGTTCTCACAAGCGAAGAGACAGATTGAAGGAATGAATATCGTAGCATCTTTTCACTGCAGGGGTTGGTAAAATAAGACCCCTGCCAACACTCGGGGGGGCTGCTGCGTTCACGAGACCCCGGAGCACGAGGGATCCCCCGCCCCTTTATCAGCACCGCATCTTCCAGGAAGAAGAGTGCCTTGAGAAAAGCCAGTCGGCTCGGACACCCACCTCCCCCGAGGATGTAGAAGGACATCAGGCTGGTCCAGGAGCCGTTTCCTGCCAGGGAGGTGGCCCGGACCCTGGCGGAGTAATTGCCAGGCTGGAGGAGGGCGAGGTGGTAGCCCCCGTAGCGGGCATAGCGATGGCGGGACACGCAGAGCACCGAGATGACTTTCTGCAAGGAAGCAGAGCTGAGGGGTGGCCAGAAGAGCCGTTCATGGGCAGCGATGCCAAGAAGCCGCCTGGGCCTCCGCCTGCCCCGAGACCCCATCCTCACCTCGCTCTCCCGGCTGTACTTGATCTCGTACTTGAGAATGAGGCCGTTGGGGTTCTTCGGCTCCTGCCAGCGGAGGAGGACGCTGTTCTTGCTGGCCGGCTCCCAGGTCAAGTTCCCAGGGATGTTGTCGGCTTGAGCTGGCCAGGAGAAGGGCAAAAGCCGTTGGGCAAAATTAGGAAGACGGAGGGACTAGCAACTCAGTCTTTCCAGCCAAAGGAAGGGGGCGACTAAGAGATATAATCTGAATTGACCAGAGGTGGATTATAATTTCCTGGATTATCTCAGGAAAACCGGACAGCTTTTACTCAGCAAATTTACTAATTGGTAACTTTTAGGAAGAAAAGGGTAACCCTCTTTTGGCTCACCTTCCGGCATCGTCCGAGCAAAGACAAAGGCGGCGGCACTGCACCCCATGGTCTGAGCCGCGTGGTTGCAGGCGTGAATGTCGATCCGGTACTCGGTGAAGTGGCGCAGGTTGGAGATGACTGTCCGATCCCGAACGACTTTATCCTCAAAGAGGCGGAAGTCCTTCTCCGTCTTAGAGTCCAGCTCAGCCTGGTGAGCCACGGCTGTGTCGCTGGGGCTCCCCAGGGCAGGCCAGGAGGCATTGGCGTAGGCCTGGCTCCCCACGGTCACGGAAAAGGTGTCTCTGCGCCTCTTGGGGGTCCTGTCGCAGCCAGGTCAGAAGGGTGAGGGGGCAGCCCCACTACTTCAACCCAAAGCAAACCTCAGGGAGCATTTCAATAGGAGCCCCAGAAAAGCAGACTCCCTTCCCGTGAAGACTGTCAGAAGCTCACCGGTAAGAAGAGATCTTGTTGATGGAGGTGACTTTCCAAGGGGGTCTGGAGAAAGAATGGGACAGAGTGGGACAAGCGGTTCCCGGCCCCCCCTTCTTAGTCCCCCCCTCCAGCAGGGCCTCCACCATCCAGGGTGACCCACCTGGGCAGGATGATGGAATTATGGAGGAAGTTCTCAAACTTCTTCTGGAAAGACACGGTTTCCACGTTGGGCTGGCTCTGCCCGACGGGGCTGTGGCAGGGGCAGCACTGCTGGTCGGCAGTGTCCTCGCGCTCCTCGCTGTCGCTGGTGTCGAAGCGGGTGTCTGCGCTGCTGGTGGGCAGACGGAGCCCTGGGCAGACAAGCGGAGACGGTCAGGCCGTGAGCGGGAGGCCAGAGGGGCTCCGAGGGGCCGGAGGGGCACCAGTCCTCACCTTTGTGGCAATAGTCATTGGCAAAGAGCTCCGAGTCCTCGGCCAGCTGCTGCCACAGCACCAGATAGTAGCTGAGGTTGCCGTTGGGCTGGGAGGGCGGCTTCCACCGGACGATCAGGTGGGAGGAAGAGTTGGACATGGAGATGACGTCCCTGGGCACCGTGGGCACTGCGGTTTGGAGACCAGGGAGAAGATGGCATGGGAGGATGGTCCTCAACTTACAACAGTTCATTCAACAACCATACAGTTACAACGGCACTGGAAAAAAAGGACTTAGTGCCCTTTTTCCACACTTGTGACTGCTGTGGCATTCCCTTGGTCACATGATCAAACTTCAGATGCTTGGCAACCGGCTCATATTTATGACGGTCGCAGTGTCCCATGGTCACGTGATCCCCTTTTGCGACCTTCTGATAAGCAAAGTCAATGGGGAAGCTGGATTCACTTAACAACCATGTGACTCACTTAAGAACTGCAGTGGTTCACTTAAGAACTGTCGCAAGAAATGTCGTGAAGTGGGGCAAACCTCACCTAACAAATGTCTCACTTAGCCACAGAGCTCCATTGCGGCCATAAGTCGAGGACTACCTGCATTGCTAACGCGCTTGTCTTTCCAGCTGCCAGAGAAGGCGGCCTGCTGATGGGGTGGAGAATTGAAGGAGAGGACTCTCCTCAGGGGTGGGGAGACATGGTGCTCCTGGCCCCTCACCTGCAGGCAGGGTGCGGACGTAGACCACCTCGCTCTGGGCCCCGAAGTTGCGCCTCTCCTCGGCGGTGGTGAGGCTGATGGCCCGCACGGCAATGGCGTACTGCGTCCACGGCTTCAGATTCTGCAGAGTGACGCCCGGCTCCTGGTCGTGGCTGAGGGGAAGCTCCACGTCCACCAGGTTCCAGCTGTTGGCCCCACAGGTGTCCTGCCCGACATACTCGCTCACGTCCTGGACGGGGCTGTGGGAGGACGCCAGGCTCAGGTGCGGCCACAGAGCCCTGCCCAGGGCAACTTCAGTTGGGGTGGGGGTTGCAAGACCCCAGACCTCGCCCCCTCCCATGGGGAGGATTCCTTGGGGGGGGGACTCTCCCCAGCACCTACGATTCCTTGTAGTAGACAATGAAGCTGAGGAGGTCCGGGGACTCGGGAGACTGGTAGCGCTCCCACTTGAGCACAATACGGTCCGACTCGGTGGTGTTGGACACAAAGCGGAGCGTTTGGGTCTTGCCTGAAAGGGGGAAGAAGGCGCTCAGGGGGGCCCTCCGAGAGGACAAGGAGGGGGCGTGAGAGGGGCTGCGGGGGAAGAGGGAGTTTGGAAAGAGCAAAGCCAGGCTTTTCTCTACACCGAAGCAGCAGGGAGATTTCGCCATCGCCCGGAAGAAAATGGATTAAAAAATATTGGTTTTGCTGCAAGAAATGAGTAACCGAGATGGTGAGTTGACTGGCTGCAGAAAAGCGGCCTTGATCTCAGGGTGGAGCCGTTAAGTATAAGGCCGGGGCGCGTCCTCTCCTCACCCTTTCCCCACCAACTCACAAGAGGCTTGATCCCCGTTCGTCCGGGGGTTGATCTCCGCCTTGTTCTGCCTGCCCTTGGTCCCCGTGACCTCCTCCATCCGAAAGATCTCCGAGAGACACAGCTTGGGGTTAAAGGCAAAATACACCTTCCCCACCGGGATGGACAGGCGGTGCTGGCTCCAGTCCCACAACTGCTGCAAGTTCTGGTTGTCCAGCACGTACAGGGTGTAGTTCCTGAGGGCAGAGCCAGGGGTGAAATCTACTTACCTTCCTGACCGGATCAGTAGTGCAGGCACTGCTCTTGCGCGCCAGCAAAGCGGTCCGAATTGGGAGCATTTCACCCCTGGGCAGAGCCAAGGGTGGAGGTGGGATCAGGGCCCCAGCTTGCAGGATCAGGCCCTTAGACCCACTGCCCACCCCTCCAGGTTCCCCAGCCAAGCCTGGCCCTCCTGGCTGGCCCTCCACGGAGTACAGGAGGCCAGCGACTGTTCCCACACCAGGCAAGCCCCTAGCAGCGAAGGCTAGTAAGCAGGAGCCCAGCCCCCTCCCCTTCCTCCGTCCAGCAGGCGGGTTTCTGGCTCCTTTGGCTCCCGCTCACCCGTCCACCATGGAGTCTCCCCGGATCAGTTTGAGGTTCCTGAAGAAACTCAGGGAGATGAGAGCGAAGGAGTGCCGGATCTTCAGGAACCCCGTGATGGTCTCAATCAGGCCGAGGCTGCTTTGCAAAGTGGAGGCCAGATTTTCTGCCCAGGTGCAAGAGGAGGAGACAGACAGCTGTCAGCCAGGCTGGATGGTACAGCTGAGCAGGATGTAGCCACACATGGGTGTGGGTGGGAGGGAGGGACCCTGGTGCGAATTGACGCCTCCTGCACGAGGCGCAGGAAGCAAAAGGAAGCCACTCACCGCCCCGGCGGATGTTCACAATCAGGTTCCCTTCGATAAGGGTGCAGCCGGCCAGGTCCCGGGCCGCCCGGGTGGAGTCAATGGTTTTGGTGCCCACTTTGCACTCCTTGGGGCACAGGCCCTGGCACTCATGGCAGACGAGGCTGAAAGGAGGAGGGAAGGGAAGGAAGAGGGGCTGAAGATCACCCACCGTTATTCCCCCGGGCACAAAATCTTCCCAAGCGATGCGCAGACAGACTGTGGGGACCAAGAGGCCTTCCCATCCACTCCCCCCCCCCAAATGGCAGCCGGGACGGGTGGGCCCTTGTCTCTCGTGGCAACACAGGCCTTGAAAACTCTCTGCTAATCTCCCACCACCACCACCGCATCCGTGGGATCAACTGGGGACTTCTGGGGTTTGAGGAGCCCTTTGAAGCGAAGGTGGCCAGACTCGCTGTGTGCGGAAGTCAAGCCACTTTAACGATGCCGGTGATGAGGGAGAAATTAGCTTAATGGGTTTTTAAAGATTGCAGCCGCTCTGCCAGCAGTTATTAAGTGCTCACACTTGTGCTAATGAGGGAAGAGACTTCCCGCTTCAGACGTCAAATTCAGCCTCTACAAACATGTAGGAAGCCGCGGCCGGCAGAAGAGCAAAGCCAGAGGGGGGAACTGGCACCGGGACGGCTCCTCACCTGCTCTCGTTCTTCTGGAAGCCCGGGGGACACTCGGCCACGCACTGCCTCTGGTGGATGACAAACCTGGAGGAGTCCCGGAGGTTTTCGGAGACCTTGCGCAGGCTGCCGCAGTGCTCCGCCGTCACGCAGCGCCACTGCTCGTACTCGTAGGTGAGGTCCGGGCAGGAGCTGAGGCAGCGCCCGTTGAAGTAGAAGTGGCGGCAGGCCACGCAGGCCTGGGGGTCCCCGGGACGGCTGCAGCCCCCCAGGCATTCCGGGTGGCAGCATTCGTCCTTGCTTGTACAAGCGGCGCCTTTGCACGGACACACTGAAGGGCGGGAGAGAGGGGAGGGGCGGCTTTGGCAAGGATTTGGCCGGGACCCTTGTCGTCGTCCCCCCTTAAAAAAACCGGGCTGCTGATGCTGATGCTCTGCTGATCTCCAGTTGCCTCCGAAAGGTTCCTCCGGGGAAAAGGGGAAAATACTTTGGCCCTCAGTGCCCCTGTGAAGACTTTGGATCTGAAACTCTCCTTCCCAGCCCAAACCCACAGATTTACACCCCATCTTTGGGGGGGGGGATTCCATGAACTGGCTCTCCACCTCACTAACAATTTCAGCCCCATCCAAACCTTGAAAGTAGCTTCTGTTGTTGGTCTCTTGCCTGGCTTGGCCTAGCAAGGATTTGTGTCAAAATGTATATCCTTTTTTATTTACAAAACACAATTTTTTTTTATTTGGCATAACCGAGCTGTGCGCTTCCCAGCCAGTCTCCCTCGTTGATTTGGTCGTTTTCAGGTTTTAAGACTGGCTGTTTAGGCAACAAGAAGGCAGCCGATGTTCCTTGGTTGCCAAACAACTAACCTTATCCCTGCATTGCTCAGGCTTGGAGGCCAAGAATCAGGAAAGCAGGTAGCAAATCTGCAGGGTTTGGGGTCTCAGCTGGAGGGAGGAGGAATCGGGGCCTTGAGCTACTGGGCCCCTCTTATGCGGCCCCCTCGACACTCGGCTCTTGGCAGAAGGAAGTGGCCATTAATCAAACGGATCTATACCTGAGATCGACTGAACCCCAAACCAGAAACAAGGGGAGGGAGAAACCCCACAAGCTCTGGAATTTGAGCTCTCCCTTGCTTTCAAAGGTCAGAGTTCTAAGTCCAGAGCAAAACATTTCAGCAGCAAAGAAACTTCTAAAACAATCTTCAACCCAGAACTGGTCACTGTAAAAAAGTTTCTTCAACCTTGGAGATGGTGCATCCCTGTCCTTTTAGGGGGGCTGCGGGGGGGGGGGGGGGGGGTTGGGTTTCCGCTTTTTTCGGGGCCCTCTTCCTGGGGTCTGCTCCACAGCTGGGATGCCCTGCAGTGCAGTCCCCCATTGGGGCTGATGCGACCAGTGAGATCAGTGCCCGCTGCCTGTGCCAAAGGCCACCTGTGTTGGGTCTGGTTCCTTATGGGGGGGGCTGGCAATTCTGCCCCTTCAGCCACGAGGAATTGGTCAGCCTTCCAAAGACAAACTCGTGGGCTCCTCGCCCCCCTCCGACAGAGATGCGCCCAGGCGGGCAAGCAGCCAATTGCCCCCCACCCCTTTTGCAGGAGACGTGGCCGTCTGTTTGCATTAGCAGCCCTGCTGTTTACAGAAAACGGGCTCCGGGGAGACTTCGCGGCCCTTTACGAGGGTTTCACAACAGAGAGAGAGAGGGGGAGGGGGGGAGAGAGCGAGACCCAGAGAGAAAGGCGGCGGGGGGAGGGTGAATGCGAGAGACGCAGCCGCTTTCGAGGAGAAGGATCGGGCTGCGCGCCTCGCCCTTCTCTTTTGCGCGGCGGGCTCGCACCTGGCGGGAATGGGGAGTGCATGCGCCCCCCCCCCTTTTCTCCCTCGGCTGAGAACTTGAAGCAACTCTTTGGGACGGGAGAACTGACCCCAGCGCCCCCTTCGCCCGCCCACTGTGCACGTGTATAATAAGCGCGTGGCGCTTCCCACGACCCGTGACTGCCCTGGTCCTTCCACCCGGCAGCCCGCGTGGGGGACGCACCTTTCTGGCAGTTGCTGGACGTCCAGCAGCGGTACTCCAAGGCTCCGGCCAGGCCGGCGGGGGTCTGCACGCAGGGCTCCTCCCCGCCCAGGATGCCCGGGCAGACGTCAGCGCACTCCTCGGCCGGCTTGTTGTGCAGGATGATGTTGTGCTCGAGCGCCGGCGGCGGCTGCAGAAGCGCCCAGTCGATGGTGGAGATGTGGCAGAGCTCCTGGTTGCGCTCGATCCTGACCGAGCCGTTGAGCACGTTGGTCAGGCTGCGCAGGCCGATGTCGCGCAGGTGCGGCATCTCGAAGATGACCAGGGCGTAGCTGAAGAAGAGGCTGGCCCCGCGGATGACGGCCAGGCGTGGGAAGAGGTCGCGCAGGCTCTCCAGCCCGTAGACGCGGAAGAGCAGCAGGTACTCGGTGATGAGCACCAGGCGCGGGAAGGCCAGCGAGCGGAAGTCCTCGCTGGCGGCCGTGAACATCAGCAGGATCTGCAGGCTGCCCTCGATGACCGAGCAGTTCTCCAGGCGGCGCAGCTGCGCGGGATCCACGCGGATGTCCATGCTCTCGCAGACTGCGGGGCCAAGCGGAAAGTTAGGGAACCCGCAGTCCAGGGCCGTCCAGCCCCTTTCCTACCCTCTCCCCGCTCCTTGGGCAAAAATGCAGGCCAGAGATTGAGTCGGGGATGGCCCTGCGTGGTTTAGGATGAGGAGCAATGAAATGCCCCCCCCCCCAAGAAAAAAGCTCCCAAAGGAACCGGCCCCACTCTGACTTCCTCGGATAAGGGAGTGAGTGCCTTTGGGCATGTGCAGAGTGCACCAGCCCTCCAGAGAGATGTGTTGGAGCAGGAGTCTCCAACCTTGGCAAGGTTAAGACTTGGGGACTTCCAACTCCCAGAGTTCCTCAGCTGGCTCTGGAGTTGAAGGCCCCAAGTCTTAACGCTGCCAAGGTTGGAGACCCCCGTGTTAGAGGGCTGGTGTGTCCCTGCAGGTGCTCCCTTGCAGCCAAGCGGGGGTGTCTTGCCCACCCTGGTCTGTGCCAACTGCCTCACGAGGGGCCTCTTGTCCTTGACCTCATGTCCCCAACGTCATCTGGGAGGGCGCCTGGTGAGCAGGGCTGCCATCTGGCCCCTGCCTTGGAGCTGAGCACCCCCCCACACACCTGATTTGGCATTTGCACAGGAGCCCCAGGCCCCCTGCCCATGCCTGCTGCTGCAGTGCCAGCCCTAGCATCCTGCGTGGCACCATCTGGCGGTACAGCTGGCCCAGCAGCTCCTTTCTGGCAGCTGGATTCCAGCACCGGAGGGGGGGGGTCTTTAGACGTCTTCAAAGGCAACTTAGAGGGTCCACTTTATTAACAGCCCCCCCATCCCCTCCCAATCCCTCCCTCATCCATTTCTGCTTTTATCAAGTAGCCCTCACAATTGCTGGGGGGGGGGGCATAAGAGCTCAAGCGGAAAGGAGCTGGTGCCCAACCAACATCCCCTCCACCCCCACTTCTGCCTGTGGACTCTTTGCCCCCCCCCCCTTCCTTGGGAAGAACCTTCTGCAGAGAGAGAGAAGGGCTGGGCTCAACTACTGTTTTTAAACAGGGGCTCTTCTCTCTTCCTGGCTTTGTGTTTGCTGAGGCTCTGAAGAGGAGGAAGAGGAAGGAGGAGGAGGAAGGAGAAAGAGGAAGGAGGGAGAAGAGGAGGAAGAGGAGGAAGGAAGAGGAAGGAGAAGGAGAAGGAAGGAGGAGGAAGGGGGAGAAAGAGGAGGAAGGAGGAAGAAGAGGAGGAGGAGGAAGGAAGAGGAAGGAGGAGGAGACGACCCCACAGGTGGTGGGATTAACAACATGGCAGCCAACTTCCTGGCATTGCCCGGCCCTCAGCCCACCTCCTTGGGGAGTCGTGCCCAAAAGGCATCCCTCCTTCTTTTTAAAGAAAATGGCAGAATTGGTGGTGGTACCTTCAAATCTCCCTCCGTGGAGCCCAGAGAGGAAGGCTGGCATGGGGGACCAGCCTGTCCTCTGCCCTGAAAGGAGGTGGAGCCAATGCATGACCCCATCCAGGAACCCAGCGGGTGGATCCTCACAGCAACCCAAACTCAGCATTAAGTTTAATGGGAACAGAGTTGGAAGGGACCGTGGAGGTCATTTTGCCCAACCCCCTGCTCACGCAGGAGACCTGCACTAGGGATTCGAACCACTGTTCTGATCGACAAGCTCAGTGTCTTAGCCACCGAGCCACCTCGTCATCCTTTGATGGACTCGGCCAAGCCTGTTCTTTGACCCAGAGATGCCTCTCTCTTCTGAGCCTGATGTGGAAAAACCTGAAGGGGGGCATTGATAGCTTTGCTTCCTTGCTGGAAAATACCCAGAAGAATCGATCAATATCTGCCATAGGGTGGAAACCGAGATGTAGAGGGAACCAGGACTGGATTTGGCCCAACCTTCCCCTTGGTCCTTTCAGTCCTGTGACTGGCTTCCGGGGTGGTCCTTTGCTTCTGCCCCCCTCTTTCTCTTTGGGGGCAGGAAAGAGGGACCCCCAAATGCTTTACTCCATTCCCTGCTTTTTTTAAAAAAAAAAAAAAAAAAAACCCAGCTTTTCCTTTTAAAAACTGCAAGAAATTGGCAGGAAGTCTGAATTAGCAGATGCTGCTAATTAATGGCTTGTTAATTGATGAAATGCCTAGTTAGGTTGCCCATTGGCTTTGCTGAAAGGCACCCCTGCCAGTTTCAGAACCCGGGCGCACGTACCCCTTCCTGGCTGCCATCCTGATTCCAGCTAGGAGCCTCAATACAATTGAAGGGGTGGGGGGAGGGGGGAGTCAGTCCCTAGAGAAATGCTCCTGCCTTCTCTCCTACCTTGGGGGGTGGGGAGTGGGGAGTGGGAGAGGAGGACCTTCCCCCAGCCGGACTGCCTGAAGTGGCTTCCTGAGGACTGCTCTGTTTTGGCTCTGCTTGTTTGACAACACCTGAAAGTGTCTTTTGCGCCTATAAATCCCGCAAGAGGACAGAGAACAGGAAGGGCGTGTGTGTGTGTGTGTCTGTGTGTGTGTGTGTCCGGGATGGACTTGGGACCCTCACGGGTGGGAGGGGGTCTCCAGCTCTGGTCAGCACCTGCATCTCCAGAGGGATGGACTAAGGGACGAAAGGACACCCCCATTTCCTCTCCCTGCCTCCCCTCCATTTCAGAACTGCAACAGAAGTGGCTTGGAACCTGCTAAGCCATGTATCCCCCCCACCCCGATCACTCCGCACCCCTGAACCCCTTGCAGAGAGGGGGGCGGCTGCAGGTGGGCCAGGCCTTCTGTGTTGGGGCTCTGCCTTCTTTCATCCTGCAGACCCCTGTAGCAGAAAGGAGATTGCTGGCTCCTGCTCAACCTCCCCCCCCCCACCCATTCAGAGGAGAGTTTCTCCACCCCCACCAGGACTAATTGCTTCTCCCTTGGTGGATTCCCCCCTGCAGAAACAGCCTTCGGCTGGCACCTGCTGAATGTCCAGCAGAAACGCTTCACCTGGGGGTGGGGGGAGCCGGTGCCAACGTGAGAGAAAAGCAGAACCGCTCTTCATTTGCAGAGTTTGGCCCTCCCCCCCCCTCTTCAGATGCCAACTGAGGGAGAGGAGGAATGAAGAAAGTAGAAAGGGGCGGAAGAAGGAAAAGGGAAAAAGAAGAGGAAAGGTGGTGGTGAAATAAAGGAGAGGAAATGGTAAAAGAGCAGCCCCGAACAATTGAAAGTGAAAATCAAAGGATAAGATCAATAATGAATGATCAATTATGGATAAGAGACTGTACATTAAAATAGGTTTATAAGATGTAAGTAAAATGTATTTGAGGGGTGGGGGAAAAAAAGAGGAAGGTATGGTGAAAAACGATGTATTTGTGAAATAATAAAAAAAAAAAGACGCCAACTGCAGACAATGGGCTAATCCAACTGTCTCTTCTGGCGACATCAGCAGAGGGACCCTCAGCTGCCTCCCATGAATCCTGTTCCAGAAAGAGACACTTTCAACATAGTTTTTTTAAGGTGGGTCCTCCCCCTACTTGGTAGAGGTAAACGGGGTGGGAGGGAGGCTGCTTTTCCTCCCTTAATTACAATCCCCAATTCTCTCAGGGGAACCCAAATGCCAGTTTCTCCAACAGGCCCTTTTCTTTCGGGAGCTGCCAAGAGCTGGGTTTCTCTCTCTCTCTCTCTCACACACACACACATTTGAAGGGCTTCCCTCTTTCTGGAACCACTAGCCAAGCTCACACAAGATGCTAAACTCTGAATGCAGGGTTACTGAACCATCACGGGTAATTTTGGCTTGAGTTGCCTTCAAATCCCAGCATCCAGTGGATGGAGCCACCTGTTGATGCCCCCTGTAGGCTGACCCAACCCGGCTCCATTGAGCTCAGCTTTCCCCCCCCCTCCCCAGCCACCCTACCCAGTGCCAAGGCGTGTGCCCTGGGCACCACAGATTTGGGGGGGGCAGCAGGATCCTGTGCCTTTGTGCCTGGCCAGAGGCTGACCTCACTCAACCCAGAAGGGACTTACTTTCCGGAGAGGCTGGTGCAGGGCCGAGCCCCAGCAGGCAGAGGAAGAGCAGGGCCCCCCAGGCAGGCCAGAGGGGTGCACCAGGGACTCCCCTTCTCCCCTTCTTCTCCATGGTCCATAAACAGCCCAGCGCTGGCAGGAAAGCGAGTCGCACGTGGCAGGGCAGCCCACAGTGCTTCAGACGGGCGGGGGCCAGGCTGGCTTCTCAGCTGGCAGCAGCCGGGGACTATCGTTTGGTGCCAGGGGGGCACAAGAGTGACGAGCACCCTGCTGTCTGCCGGGCCACCGGTCTGAAGCAGGGAGGCAAGGGGCCCTTGTCCCCGACCACAAGCATCCTCCGGCACGGTCCCACTGCAGCGAAAGGGCTGATAAAATGGAGGCATGGCCAGGCCACAGCCACAGGTGTGGCAGGCGGCTGGGTGGGGCCGGGCCTCTTTCCTCCCTCGTGCACGCCCCCCCCTCTGCTCAGCCCTGCCTGGCCTTCTGCCGGGGCTGGATGCGTTCCAAGGGCTGTTTTCACCTGTTACCTTCAAAATATTTAGCCTGACAACTCCAGCGAGATGGGCTCGGACCCACAAGTGCTGCCCTTCGTGTTTGGTCAATAAGGAGGGGGAGCCACAGGCGCAGGTGCTTCCCCTAACCTCGTTCAGGGGGAGGAATTTGGAGAGGGGGGGCAATGGGAAAGGGAGCAGGAAGCTGCCCCCAGGCTCTCCAGATGACCACTTCAAGGTGACCCCCATCGTCAGAGAGGCAGAGCACCCAAGGCCTTTCGGCTCTTCCCCCTGGATCTGGGGCACCTGATGACCCACGGGAAGCTAGGAGGACATGTGTCAGGGTGCTCGTGCCCTTTAATTCGGGGTTTTTCCTCTCCCCCCCCCAGTAGGCTTGTTTTCTCTGCTGGGCCAGTGGAAGCCCGGATTCTGCCCGATGGGTCAGCTGGGGAAGGCTATTGGCCCTTTTCCCCCAGAGAGGTAAGTTGGCACAAGAGGTCTCAGTACTGGGAGTGGACTGCCCTCTGGTGGCCAGCACTGCCTCCTGCAGCCAGCTGGAATGGCGTTTGCTGGAGGAGTGGGGGGGGGGAGACCTTTTGGGGGGATTTTTTGGCTCCGGGTCAGCTTAGCCTCTTGTCCACTCTCTGCCTCTTCTTGAATCGATCACACTCGACACCTCTTCACTGGGACCATTTTGCAATTTGAATTCAAACCAGTGAAACACAAAAGAACAACATGCAAGACCTTCAAATGGTGCTTTTTCCCTTTTGACAAATATGTATTTTTTTTTTTAATTACAATCAGCCCGGCACTCGCTCACGGCGGTTCTTGGCCAGATGTTTGAGGAAAAGGGAGCCTCCATTCCTCTTGAGGACCCCCAGGGAGGCTGTCCAAGGCAGCCATGCTGGGGGCGTGTGTGTGGGGGGCAGCCCCTCCCTGGCAGGTCAAGAAGCTGAAATGCTGAAGAGGAGAGGAAGGGGCTCAGGTGATCACCCAAGCGGGATAGCGAAGGACCCCCCCACTGCGCTGAGCCGCTGGAGCCCCTTCCCATTTCTGGCCACTTAGAAGAGCCAAGCGCTGCCTCCTTCCGGGGGTCTTTCCTCCCCCACTGCCTGGTGACTAGAGAGGACGCCATCATCCTGGCCTCTGAGCAGAAGGACGGAGGGTGGCTGGACGGGAGCCAATGCCGAACTCAGGAGCAGATGCTTCGACGCCTGCGGAGTAAGACCCCCGGACTGCTGGGCTGGTCTTCCTGGTCACTCTCGCAGTCCCGCTGCAGCATGAAGCAAGGAAGGCGAGAAGGTCAGGGGGGCAGGCAGCCCTCCCCCCCCAGGCAGCGAAGGGGATCCTCTGCACCCACCAGGGCCGTCACCTCCTCCTCCGGCTTCTGCTGCTGGCACAGGAGCCGCAGCCGGCAGAGACGGTTGCAGGCCGAGACCATGTGGTAGGAGAGCTGCGGAGGGAGGAAGAGAGGATGAGACTGGGACTACGCTGCCCATGAGGCAGGCTGCCCAGCACGGGCCAAGTCGGCTCCTCTGCTGCTGAGCCTGGGATGGAATGGGGGTGCAGCCCCCTCACCTTCCACTTCCGGCGAGCGTTGAATTTACGGAAGTTTTTCATGTTGATGGAGGAACGGCTCCGGTTCATGGCCTGCTTCCGGGTCAGGGGCTGGAGGGCAGAAGGAGAAAAATCGGATGGGAGGGAGGGAGGGAGGGAGGGAGGGAGGGAATGAAGGGGGGGGGGGCTTACCTTGATCCAGGGATGAAGGAGACACTCAGCTGCCGTCATTCGGTCCCTAAGACACAGACCAAAATCCATTTTCCTTCTTCCATGCAGGACTCCCTGGGGGCAGAAGGGAGCCAGGAGAGGAGGAGAGACCCCATTTGGGGGAGTGGCCATCCTGCCAATATGTGCTACTCCCCCCTTTTGTTTTTGTGGTCCTTACTTTCCGTTCCAGGGAGGACGTTCTCCGCCCTCCTTCTCCGGACAGGGCATCCATGGCATGCAGGGCATCACCCACATTTTGCAGGGACTGGGGGGGGCGGGGGTTACCTGGGCTCCTTCAGCAGGAGTTTCTGGATGAAGTCCTTGGCCATCTCAGAGGTTTGGCTGAAATATTTGGCCTCGAACTCGTAATTCCCCGAGACCACGTTGGAGAGGGTCTCCTCATCCGTCTCCCCCTGGAATGGGGACATGCCGCTAAGCCTGGGGGGCAGAGGGAAGGGTTTGGGGGCACATCAGAGCTCACCACGCTGGACCAGAGATCAAACCTCAACCTGCCCCAGACAGAAGGAGCCCCACGGATGGCGATCAAGGGATTGGTTCGAAAGGAAGGCAGGGAAGTTTGGGGGATCTGAGTTTCCTTTGCTGGTCTCTCGGAGGCCGTGGTGGCTGTCCGCTGCCCCCGAAGTCCACTCCATCCCCCTGAGAATCTGCTGAGAGGGCCCCCCCCAGCACCCCCCGCCAAGAAAAAGATCTTCAAGTACTTACAAGATGTAGGTAATCACCCCAATGCTCCTAGGAGGAAGGAAAGGGGGAGCTGAAAGCACAGCGAGGACTCTCCTTGGCTAGGGGTCATTTGCGTCCCCAGGGACCTTGTCAAGGTACACACAAGGAGGGGTGGAACAAAGACCCCCCCCCCAGTCCCTCCCTCCTTTTACAGGAAAGGGGGGAGCTCACGGCTTTCCTCTCTGCAGCTGCAGCTGAGCAGCCTCAGAGACAGAAACTGCCTGCAACCACTTCCTGACCCTCCTTTCCCCACAGTGCTTATCCAAGGCCTGCAGGATGCCACCAAGACACTCCCCCCCCCCCCCCCCCGTCATCCCCCCCACCCCCCATGGCTGCCTCTTACCACATGTCTGTGGCTGTGCTCAGGGCCTCGTAGTTGATCACTTCAGGAGCTGGGCAGGAAACAAATTGACGGGAGGAAGTAGGAGACCAAATTTGGCTCCCCAAAGACCCCCCCAGGGGCTTCCCCCATCCCAGCTGCCAAACTCCCGTTTCCCTCGCAGCCAGGAGAGTTCTCAGGCGTACAAGGCCTGCTTCCCTGCTTCCCCGGCCCAGAGACAGTTTCTCTGCCACCTTCTCCAAGCAACTTCTCAGTCTGCCTATTCCGAGGGCCAAACGTCGTACCGATATACTGAGGGGTCCCGCAGAGACTTTTGTAGGCCACCCCTTCCTGCAGCTTCTGCGCCAGCCCAAAATCGATGATCTTGATCCTGGGTTTGGGGGCGCCCTTCTCAAGCAGCATGATGTTCTCCGGCTGCAAGAGAGACGGGAGACCAATGGAAGCTTCTGCCCAACCGGGCTCCGGCATGGGGCACCCCGGAAGCCCCCTGGGCCGTACCTTGAGGTCGAAGTGAGCGATACGGAGGGCGTGCATGTAGGCCAAGCCCAGCAGGATCTGCTGCAGGAACTCGATGGCTTCGTCTTCGGACAGCAGCTCTTTCTCCGCAATGAAGTCGAAGAGTTCGCCTCCGAGGATGCTGTGGAGAGGCGAGGGGTGAGAGGCTCCCGAAGCCCCCTAAAGCCCCCCCCAGGAGCTTCAGGCCCTTGAGGGCAAATGGGGCCTTTGGGAGGAGGAGGAGCTTCCCCCGGAGAGACCCTCCCCCTGGGCACTCACAGCTCCAGGATCAGCACCATCTCGGCCTGGTTGGCAAAGACGTCGTACAGGCGCATAATGTTGGGGTGCTGCAGCTGCTGCAGGATGCAGACCTCACGCTCCACCTGCTCGCGCTCCACCCCCAGCCGGCTGCCTTTGCGCTTCCGCACTTTGACAGATTTGGCCGCGTAGAAAACTCCGGTGCTCCGTTCCTGGCAACGCCGCACCACCCCAAAGTGTCCGCTGCAAGGGGGAGGGGGCAGGAAGGGCAGAGGGTGAGAAGTCAGGCACTCCACGGAGGGGCCTCTCCTGTTCTGGCAGCAGGTGAGCCACTGGCAGGGCGGTCAAGGTGGGTGAGGAGGCCCAGGAGGCGCCCAACGGCTCTGGTGGGTCACAGGTGCCCATTTGCCTGCTTGCCTTCTTCTTCTTCGTAGCAGAGCAGGGGGGGGGAGGAAGAAGAGGCAGAGCTGGTCTCTCCAGTCTTCATGCCCTGCAGGCCTCACCTGCCCAGCGTCTCCAGCAGTTCGTAAAGCTCCTCCACACTGCAGTGGCGGAAGGGATCTGCTTGGGTGCTGCTGGGCCTCGCCTCGCTGCCCAGGAAAACCTCATCATCTTCCAGGTTGCACGGGGGCTCCTGAAGCGGCAGGAAAGGGGGGAGCTGAGTGGCCAAGATGCCCACTTGAAGGAGCACCCGGTGCCTGCAGGCTGGCATCTGAGCTACAATTTGGGCTGGCTGGCAAGAGGGGAACGGCTGGCATTCCAGGTTGGCCCATGTGGGTCAACCAGGAAGAGACAATGGGTGCAGCTGAGCCCCGGGGGAGGGGAGTTCCTGAAGGGGACCTGTGAGCACTTTCCCTCCCTCCCCCCCACCCCAAATTCAGTCCCTCCAGCCATTCTACGCAGCCGCAGTTCACAAAATCTGCTTCTGAATCCAACCGGTTTCTGTTGTGGGAAAGGGGGTCCCAGGCCCTTTCTGATGGGGGTGGGGCTCCTATTTCTTCCACTCTGTCCCAGACACCCTGGGCAATCTGCAGGCACAGAGGCAGCAGCGCTGGGCGGGAGGGCAGGCCTGGGCCTGGTGTCCCCCTCACCTGGATCCCTGCAGGCCCCGGGTTGCCAGGGCAGGCTCCGGTTCCATCTCTCGCCATCAGCTGCAGAGAGAAGAAAGGAAGAGGGTCTCCCTTGGCTCTTCTGCCTCCCGCCCCCCTCCGCACTATCCAAAGGGTGGGGGGTTGGAGTCTAACGCACCCCGCCTCATGTCAGGCTGCCGGCCGGATCCAGAAGCCGGAGGAGGAAAACACTTGAAGGGGGGAGGGACTCCTGGAAGCAAAGGGGGTCTTCCGCACCCACCCACCCCGTCCTGGCCCCGCCCAGCGGGACGTCAAGCCCGGGGAGGAGAAGGGCTCCCCCCTCTGGTTCGCGCGGAGGCTCTGCCAAGCCCGGAGACGCCTACCCAGTTCCCGGGGCGAAGCCGCTCGCCCTGCACCTCTTACCCTACGCGGGCGGCTCCTCAGCCCCTCCGAGAGGGACCCTCCGGCCAGCGGCTGCGACGGTTGCCTAGGTCCTCCCGCCGAGGGCGGGCAATCGGTCGCTCGCTCGCTCGGCTTCCTGGTGCGCGAAGCCTCGCCCGCCCGCGGGAGGCAACGGAGCTGCGCAGCGCACCTGCCCAAACGGCAGAGCCGGGCTTCCCCGCCACCTGCCCGTCGGCGCTAGGTTGATCCGGCAGCCTCCGGCAGGGGCCTGGAAGGAGCGGGGCCCCCACTGGCCCGGGGCCTCAAGTCCCAGCCGCCACGGCCGCGGGCTCCCTTGCCCCGAGCCAGCAGCTCTCCGCTTGCGGAATGGCTCAGCCCCGCGGAAGCGGCGGCCTCCGAATTCTCCCAGGCAGGTCGCGGCCAGGAAAGGCGGCTCGGAGGACGGGCGGGCCGCGCCCTGCCCCGAACACCGCCGCCTCCTGCGTGCCTGAGCGTCTCCGCAACCTCGGCAGCAGCTTCCCCTTCTCGGCCCCCTCGCTTCGCCTCCGGGGCTGCCGTCAGCCAAGCTTTGCTGGGGGGGGGGGGGCGCAGAGGGCAAAACCAGGGCAAGCCGGGGGGCCGCTGGGCAGCCCCCCCGAGGCCCTGGCCGCCCACCTCCCCAGTGACCGAGCTTCCCCTCAAACCCCTTTGGGTGTCGGCGGGGCCGCCAGCTCCCTTCCTGCCCATCAGGCCCGCAGCCCTGGGCCGAGGCGGGGCAGCAGGCCAGCCGCTGGGAGGGCAAGGGCGGCCGCGTCTCGGGGATGCTGACGGAGTGTGGGAACGGCCCGGCAGAAGGAGTGGGACGTCCCATCTTCCGGCCTCAGAAAAAGCAAGGCAGCCGGAGGGGTCTCTTGGGACAGCCGAGAAGAGCCGCCTGGGCACGAGGGTCTCAAGGGAGCATCGCAGCGGGACACGGGGTGGGGGCGGTGGAAGAAGAGCCGTCCCCAAAGACAGGCGCCCTCCAGGGCTGAAGGAGCCCTCCCCCCTTCCCAGCCAGCCTGCGTTCCTTTCCCAACGGGACGGGGGCTGCCTCGTCCCCTGGAATCTGCCCCTTTACTCCGCCCGAGAATAACTGGACTTTCAGGCTCGGGCCCGGGAGAACAAAGGCCTCATTAAAGGCGAGGGAAGAGCCGGGGCTTAAATGGACAAATGTGTTGCAATTCCTGGATTCTTGATCCTCTTCCAGCCCTTTTATGCAGGCCAGGAATTTGGTAAATAAGGGGGATTTTGGCTCGCGGGCAAAGCAGGCGCGGCGGAGGCCTGGCTCCCGCGGTGAGGCTTGAGGAAGGGGCGCTCAGAACCCCCCCCCCCACTCCCGCAAACAACCATATTGTGTTTTTGTGGTGGGATCCTTTCCCAGCACAGCCCCGCCTCCCCCCCCTCAGGGTACAAAACGCCCGTCGGTGAAGGGAAAGGAAAACAAATCTGCCAGCATTTTTTGCAACTTGAGTCATATCTCAACCCTGGGACGAGGCTGCGAGAAAGGCAGAAATCCTACAATCTCACCAGATTTAAAGAGGGAGCTCTGCATTTCCGAGACAGGCAGGCCTGAGCGCGGCCTGCCATCGGCTACCTGGGCAGGTGGATTCTACATCCTCTCTCCCGGGTCCCGGCACAAAAGAAACGGGCCCAGTTTCTCGGGACCTGTAACGGTTTCACGGAGGGCTTTTTTTTTTAACTTCTAGCTGTCTTCGGTTCCTCCTTTGGCTCGGCCTGACTCTTCCCCCCCCCCCCCGCCGCCCCGAGAATCAGAGCCTGAACGCGTCCGTCCCTTCAGCACCCTCGAAGAAAACGCCCGCCCGGGGTACCTACGACTCAAGCACCGGAGGAGGGAGCGCGATCCGGAGCGCCCGCCGCCGCTTCCTCGCCGGAGTGCGCTGGAAGCCGCCCCCGCGCCGGGACAGCGGCCGCCCACCCACCCCCTGCAGGCCGGCTCAGCCCCTTTGCGCTGCCTGCCAGACCCCCCACCACCACCACCACTACGGAGGAGGAGCGGCCCGGCGGGGGGTGCCCCGCGGGCTTCGGGAACCGAGTTCTCCGCAGGGAAACAGGCAGCAGCGCTGCAGGAGACGCAAGACCGGCCCAGCTCGCGCCAAAACTTTGCGCCCGGCCCTTTTCCCCGCCCGGCTTGACAGCTACAGTCCTCGGGGGTCCTTGAGCCCCTTCCACCGCTGAGCGAGCCCGAGAGCTGCCTGCGAGACCCTCCCTGGGGAATGCTGATCCCGACATTCCCCGCTCAGCATCTTTCTCCGGGGGGGGGGGACCATTTATGGGCTTAAAGCCTTTTTCTTCCACAAGGGGTACTCAGGCCGGGCAGGATGAGATCTGTCCCCCTCCCCAAGAGCCCACAGAGGAGGAAGGCCCAGCAAGGCTTTGCTCTGGGCTCCGGATTCCCACCAGGGAGGAGGAAGCAGCCCCCAATGGGCAGCTGGAGCCAAAAGGGGGCCTGTCCTTTCCCTTAGCAGGATCCCCCTGGCTTGCCTGCTTGGCAGAAATGGGGAGGGGGTGTTTGCACAGCTGCAAACACAAGAGCCCCCCTCCCCACAACACAGCAGCCTTCTCCCCCTTCTGGGAAAGTGTCCTTGGACTGCAGCCCTGGGCCACTCTTGCCATCTCAGTCATGGGCCCTATTCTTAAATTTAATTTTTATTCCCCTATAACCATTCCCCACCCACCCCCAGACAAATTCAAAAAGGAAAAAAATAAACAAATCAATTACTGAATGAGTTTTATTTTCAAATATTCAAAATAGGGACAAGGAGCTTTCCTAAGTACTAAAGTGTCCAGGGAAATAAACCAATATCTTTTTAGAAAAAAAAACCCTAAATACAGATATTCTGCAGCAAAAATGGACATCCGTCTGCTGAACAGGAAACGGCGACAATCTGAACGGTGTGGACGAAGGAAGACCACCAAAAGCAGAAGGGAGGGAGGGAGAGAGGGAGGGAGGGTGTAATAGAGTTGGGGTGGGAGCTACCCAGGCTCTATGAGAGGTTGGTGGGGTGGCACAGAAGACACCATCGGCCTCCCCTCCCACCTCCTGGTTTGTCTGTGCATTTGAAGAGGTCCGTTAACTGGAAAACTGCTCCCCTTCTAAGCCTAAGAAAAACAAACTCAGTAAGCTATGAAAAAAAAATTCTGAAGAGGTGCGTCTCCTGGACAGCCACAGACTGGTCAAGATGGCAGACCGGGGGGGGGGGGGGGGGAAGGGAAGGGAGAGACAAAAACCTCCAATCTCTGAAATTGAAACCCGGGTGCCAGGGAGGCTCTGAGGGCAATTGACAAACTAAAACCAGGAGGGGGGGGAGGGGCAGAGTGTTGCCAATTCACGAAAACAAGACCGTGCTGTGGGCAGCAACAGGACCCAGACATGGTCAGGAACACAAACACCCATATATGCTAAGGGGAGGAGGGGGGACGCAGCCCCACAGCCAAGCAAGACGTCCAGTCCCCTGCCCTCCAGCTGGGACGTTCTCAGGGGTGGGGTAGGGCAGGCAGCCGTCTCCCGTCCAGACAGGGCTCCCTCCTGCCTTGGCGGTTACTTCAAAGAAAAACTGTTAGAGGGAAATCAAGAAGTCTCTTGAATCAAGGGGGTGAGAGCCCCCCAACTCAAGTAGACAAGGACCCTCTGCTCTTTTGGAGGGGGGGGGGGGCTGTAGCAAGGTGCCTGGCTGCACGGACTCCTGCGACGGTTTCCCCGGCAGGCCAGGGGGCGTTGCTGCCTGGCAGACAGGATCCCACGTCAGCCATCCTGCTCGGGACCCAGCGCGGCCCCCCTCGGCTGGGAAGGGGCTAAAATCCGTACTTGGCCTGGGTCTGACGTCGGCTGAGCTTGTTCTCTGCCCAGCTGTTCTTCAGCTCCAGCTCACGCTCTTTTGCCTGGGGGCAGAGAGGGGGGGGGAATTCAGCAAAAAGGCCCACCGAGCCAGAAAGGGGAGGGTGCTGACCCCACCAAAACAAAGGCCTCACCTGGTGGATCAGGTAGGTGATCTGGTGCTTTCTTCGCTGCTGCCCTGTGGGCTGCTCCCCCTTTTTCTGAAGGGAAATGGGAAGCTGAGGGGCCTTGGGCCAAGAAGACCCACCCTACCTAGCCCTGCTTCTCAGGGGCCCCCACCCGGGAGGGGGCAGCCCCGGCAGACCTTGCTGAAGGACTTCATGCTCTGCTCCTCGGTCAGCGACTTGGTGAGCCACTGCTGGACTCCGCTCAGCTGGTCGTCGCCCCGGATCTCCACAAAGCTGATCTCTTCTCGCCCGCGGTTGCGCTTCCCTTGCAGACGCTTGAACTGAGCGGGGCGGGAAAGGGACACGGGGGTCGGGGAAGGGTCTCTGCCGCCGGGCGCCCAAGGCAGCCCGAGCCCCTCCCCCAGCGAGGCTCTGGGCATCCGGGGCGGGGAAGCGCCCCCGCGAGAGGCTCCGCGGGGCGGGAGAGGCGAGGCTCACCGCTTCGTCGTCCATGAAGGAGGCGGGGGCGGCGTCCGCGGTGCCCTCGGGGGGCGGCCCCAAGCCCGGGTCGTTCTCCGGGTAGTAGCCCCCGCCGTAGTAGCCCTGCGGGGAGAGAGCGGTCAGAGCGCCCCCCGGGACCCTCCCGCCAGCCTCCCCCCCACAAGCCCTGCCAGCCCCTCACCGCGAGGGGCGCGCCGTAGTCCGGGGCGGGCGCGGGGGGCCAGCCGGGTGGGGCGGGGCGGGCGCCGGGGGGCGTCCTGAACTCCAGCGGGGCGTCGGCGCCGTCCTGGCCGTCGGGCTCGGTGCCGGGCGGGAGGTCGTCGGGGAAGGCGGCGGCGGCGGCGGCGGGGGGGGCCGGGCCGGGGGGCGGCGGGGGCATGGGGAAGAAGGGCTGCGGGGGCTCCGCCTCGCCCTCCTGGGCCACCTGCCGGGCCACCTGCCGGGCCGCGCTCTTGGCCGCCGCCTTGATGGCCGACGGGGAGGGCGGCGCGGCGGGGTCGGTCCTGCGGGGCTGCGGAGGGCCGCGGCGGGGCTGCGGGAGAAGCGCCGAGAGACCCCCGAGCCGCGCGGGCTTCTTGGGCGCCGGCTCCTCCTGCTCCTCCTCCGAGTCGGACTGCGGGAGAGAGAGGCGGAGAGGCGGTCAGGCGGCGGCGGCGGGGCGAGCGGAGGGCTCGGGACCCGGACCCCGCTCACCTCCTCGGGCAGCCGCGGCGCCGGGATCCGCACCGGCTGACGCTTCGGGGCCGGGCCGGGCCGCGCCGGCGGCAGGACGGAGAGGAGCCCCCGCGGGCCCGTGGACGCCCTCTCGCTCTCCTCCGCCGCCGCCGCCTCCTCCTCCTCTTCTTCCTCTTCCTCCTCTTCCTCCCGCTCCTCCTCGCTGCTGGCGTAGGCCACTAAGGACATGGCGGCGGCGTCGTCTACGCGACTCCCAAGCTTCGTCGGGGAGCTAGGCCGCGGCTCCCCTCATGGCAACGGGGCCCGCCGGAAGACGACCGGGCGCCCCTGCCGCTCCCGGCACTCGGCCCCGGGCGGCAGAGAAGCCCTGGAAGCAGAAAGCGGCCCCGCACCCGCCGACCCGCCTTCCTCCGCGCTCCAGCGGGGGGAAGTGGACTACCGCTCCCATAAGGCCCCGCGCGGGAGGCCGCGATTGGCTCGTCGGCGCGCGGGGCCCGCCGGGAAAGCGAGGACGGGCGGGAGGTTCCAGAGAGCGCCTCTGCTCCCGTCGGCCCTTGCGCGGCTGGAGGGGCGCCCGCCGAGTGGGGGGGGGCGTTTCCCTCCAGGCCCCTCGCAAGCCCCGCCCCGCCCCCTCCGGCCGGAGCGGAGCCCCCCATCAGCCCCCCCGGGACCCCCGCCTGCTTTCTGCGCTGCGGGCGAGGGCCGTGCGGGGGGAGGGGCCCCAGTAGCCAGGCAGCCCCCCAGGAGGCCGCCCCCCCCTCCGTCCCCTCGGCCCTCCCCCCGCCCGCCGCCCCGCCCCCCGCCCCCCCCCTCGCGCTGCTCCGGCCTCGCCAGGCGCCTCCGCCCGCTGCTCCCTCAGGCCGGCACGGAGGGAAGAGACGGAGACGGAGACGGAGGGAGGGAGGGAGGAGGGCGGCGAGAGCGGCGGCGGCGGCCTCTTCCAGGCGCAGCGCACGGAGGCGGCCTGGGCGCGCCTGTTGCTGGGGAGGCTCGGCGATCGCTCGGCCCCTCCGCCCGCGCCATGTCCCGCTCCGGCCGCCCGCGAGACTACAAGTGCGGAGACCTGGTCTTCGCCAAGATGAAGGGCTACCCGCACTGGCCCGCCCGGGTAAGCCCCCCCCCGGACACCCCCCGCCCGCTCCCCCCCCGCCTCCCCCGAACGGACGGAGCGGTGGGCCCTGCAGACACGGGGGGGGGAGGGGAGGCTGCCAGGTTCTCTCGGGGGGTCGACGCCGGAGGGAGGGGGAGGGAGGGGGAGGGCCCTCCGCTGCCCAAAGGGAGAGAGACGCGCTGCCTCCTCCGCGGCTTTTGCGTCGGACTTTGCGGCCTGTTTGGTAACCCTGCTGAGGACTAGGAACGTGGTTCTTTCCCCATCTTTCTTTTTTTTCTTAACCGGGGAATGGCCAAAGCAAGAGCCTTCGTGCCTTCTGCAAGCAGCCGAGATCGCTTTGATAGAAAGTCACCCCAAGTTCAGCCATTCAAGGGCAGCCTCGGGGTGGGGGGCCTGGGGGGGGCCGGTGCCAAGGCAGGCAGGCCTCCTTCCCTCCTTCCTTCCTTCCTTCCCTCCTTCCTTCCTTCCTTCCTTCCCTGCCTTGGGGGTGCTAAGGGGGGGGGGGGGGCGCGGGCCCCCCCTACAAAGGAGGGAAGGGGGGGGGGGGGCTGTTTGTAGCGTGTGCCCGCCCGCCTTTGCCCTGGAAGAGTTGCCGGGGGGAATTCTGGGAGTTGAAGTCCCAGCTGCCAGGGTTGGGAAACTCCGGTTAAACAGCCTAGCAACCACAGGGATGAATCACTGGCAGGTTTTTTCTGAACCGGCCCAGCTTTGCCCACTGGCACCTGGGTGGCTCAGGCCGTCCGCCAGCCGAGCGGAGGGAGCGCTGGGGGCCAGGGGGAGCCTTCAGGCTGCTGGAGGGGAGGGGAGGGGAGGGGGCTCCCTGGGCAAAGAGCCTAAAGTCCAGCTGGACTTCCTTCCGGGGAGGGGGAGGGCCCAGGAAGAGGATCCGGTGGCCGGCTGGGCCTGGCCCTTCCCCAGGGCACAAAGGAGCAGGAGGGAGGGGGCTTCCTCCCAGAGGGGCCCTGCTGGCCTCCTGCCCTGCAGCTCCTGTGGGGCTTAGAGGGGCCCTTCCTCCCAGCCACCTGGTGCGCTTGGGCAGGGTTTCTGTGCCCCCCTCACCCCCACCCCCAGAGCTTTCCCATCCCTGCACCCTGCAGTGAATCACTCCCAGAGTTATAAAAGAGCCCCCAAGACCTCCTTATGAGGGGCGGCATTGATTTGGGTGAAAGGGCAGTTTCCACCCCCTCCCCTAATTGGTAACCCTGCTTCCTTCCGACCCCGAAAAGCTGGAAAGTCGGGGGGGGGGTTGGTGGTGGTCCATCTTCCAAAGCCGGGGGGGGTCTTTTTCTTGGCCTTCTCTGGATCCAGCAGTTGCACCCCTGGGCGAGTGCAAGTTCTCCCAAAGAGCAGGGGTGAGGCTGGAGCTCTTCATGGAAGTGCATGAGGGGCCATGTGCTTGTGACTCCATTGTGTTCCCCCTGGCATTGGGCACATGGGGATCTCGCCCTCCTTTCGTGCTTGGCACATCATTTTCTTTTGCGGGGGGGGGGGGGGCCTCCCACACCTCTGCGGGGGTGGCGGGGGGGTGGTTGGGGGGGGGGGGGGGGAATGCCCCTTCTCCTGAGGCCATAATGAGGGCCTTTGTTCCTGCTGTGCATCAGCCACCAGAGCTGCACAAGCATGTGGGCAAAAGATGGAACCCGCAAAGGGCAGAGGGGGTGGGGGAGACACAGAGTGGGGGTGTTTGCCCCGAATGCCTGCAGCCTTTGTGCAGGAAGAGCCAGGAATCTCCCTCGGCCTGGGCTGGGAGGAGCCCCTGCCAGCCGCAAAGACACCTTATCTTGGGTAACCATGAAGTAAAAGTTCTGCAACTTTCAGAGTGGGCGGGGGGGGGGGGAGAATAGGCTGGAGGTGATTACGATTCTCCAGAAAGTCAGACGGGGGAGCAGCAGTCTCCCTCGGGGGATCCCAAGATGGCCAAATTGTCTCCTTCCCACCCTACGTCTGGGCCTTGCTTGTGGCAGGCAGTGCCCCTCCTCACTGGAAAGGGTTACCCCCCCCCCCCCTCTCCTTTGCAGTGGGGCAGCCTCTTCCCTGGCCCAGCCCCTGCTTTTGCTGCTGGAGGGGGCCTTCCTGAGGGACCTGGACCTGGACTGACTGGCCGGACAAGGAAACCCGAGGCCTGGGGGGGGGGCTGGCCTGGTGACTAAGCAGAAGCCGCCAAGCCCCTGAGTCGGGAGCACGGGGGGGGGGCATGGGGGGGATGTTGGCAGCCGGGCCTCCTTGGAGGAAGAGCCGGCCGGTGGACGGGTCACCTGATCCATTTTGCATATTGACCGTGCTGGGCCAGGCAGTTGCTTGGGCAAAGTCTGCAGCTGGCTTTCAGGGAAGCCTACTTGGGTTGGGCACCCGGCGTGCAAAGGTAGACTGCCTTCGTACCTTTCACGCAGGGCCCCTTCCGGGCTCTCTTGCGTCTGGTTCCTGAGCAGACCGGCCAGGGCCCTGGAGAGAGCCTTGTGGGGGTGGGGGGCTCCAGCCCCCTGGGTCCTCCCTGGTTGCTCCTCCCCCTTCCGCCTCCCGGCTCCTGCGAAACCAGCTGAGTTTGCTCTGCTTGGGGCGTCTAGACAGGGGCTTAGGGAGGGCTGGGGAGGTGCCAGGCGGTGCCCCAGTGCTGGTTCCGGGCCCCCAGCCAAGAGGACATTCGACAGCCCCCTTTCTCCCCCCCCCCCCCCATAGATTGATGAGATGCCGGAATCAGCTGTGAAATCAACTTCCAACAAATACCAGGTCTTTTTCTTTGGAACTCATGAAACGTGAGTAATGCCAGGGCCAGGCTGGATCAGGGCCTTCCTGCACCTCAGGAGGCACTCACAGGAGGGGAAAAAACCCCACTCCCCCACTGATGGGGGGGGCATCCTCCCTTCCTCAGCCTTGCAAGGTAGACTGCCTCTGAGGCTGGAGGGGAATCACTTTCTTCCAACGGCTAGGAAACATGCCCTCCCCGCTCTTCAGATGCCCTTTTGATGCCAGCCAGGTCTGACAAACACCCCCCCCCCCCCCGCAGGGCCTTCCTGGGTGCCAAGGACCTCTTTCCCTACGAAGAGTGCAAGGCGAAGTTTGGCAAAGCCAGCAAGCGGAAAGGGTTCAGCGAAGGCCTGTGGGAGATCGAGAACAACCCCACCATCAAGGCCTCGGGGTACCAGGTGAGTGGAAGACGGTACTCCTGGTCTGCTTCGGCCCTGGGCTGGCTCAGCCGATGCAGCCACGAAGATCCCCTGGGCGGGAGGGCGGGACAAGGACCCTTCGGCAATAACTAGGCTGATAAAGAGGGGAGTAAACAGAGAAGCCAGGGCTGAGTCCACTTCCCCTGGGGAAACTGAGGCAGCCTGGACCCGGGGTGACTCCCACTAATGGCAGCTTGCTTTGGCAGCCGGCTCAGAAGAAGCGCCCCCTGGAGGAAGGCAAGGCCAAGGAGGAGCCGGAGGCTGGCAGGAAAGGGAGCCCGGAAGACAGCAGCCCCGAGGAGGAGGAGGAGGAGGAGGAAGAGGGGGACCTGGTGATTGATGAGCAGGTCAGGGAGAAGAACCAGAAGGCTGCCCACAAGAGGAGGGCCCCGGAGGCCCCGCAGGTAAGCCAGCTGCCGGCCTTGGTGGGAAGGCGGCCCTGGGACTCTCCCACTTTGGCTCCCCTCCGTCCACACCGTCCCCACTGAGAGTGGCCTGCCCCCTTGCAGGATCCCTCCCCCAAGCGCATGAAAGACGGGGAGGACCAGGCGGAGGCAGCTGGGAAGAAGCCGGGCTGCGAGGACGCGGCCCAGAAAGCCGGGAATCAGAAGCCGGTTCTGCTGCAGCCAGGGGGCGAGGGGAAGAACGGCGGGGGTGGCAGCCCCCCCATCGACGTGCTCGGAGGAGACGAGAGAAAGCAAAAGGCTGCCCAAGAGGAAGAGGAGGAGGAGGAGGAGGAGGAGGAGGAGGAAGAAGAGCAGGAAAGCAGAGATCATGAGAAGAGGTAGGCAGACACAGTGGAGATAGGGGAGCTGGGTGGAACCTCCATGGATCAGCAGAGCGTATCTTGGAGATCACCTGCTGGGGGAGGTGACAGAATCGCTGGTCACCTATGCAGGACTCCGTTTCCATCCTGCTCTTCTCCTCCTGCAGCCCGTAGCCGGCCCTCTGCTCTTCAGCCCCCTCCGGCCTCTGGGTTTCCCTGGTGCTGCCAACCAGATTGCATCGTCCCCTCCTTCCGTGGCGCTGGCGGGAAGGGAGCGCGATCCAACATTTCCACCCCAGGAACAGGAAACGGTCTCTGCCCAGCCCGTCTGCATCTCTCCTGGCCGGCCGTTTCGCCGGTGCTACGCTTTGAGCTAGTCCTAATTTCTAGAGGGAATATACTGATCGGTCACTTTGGAATAAACGCAGCTGGATGCCTTTTTAAAAAAAAATACTGCCGTGCCTTGTCGTTTCCTCTTCGGGCAGCAGGGGCCGCCACAGCCGCCCCCTTCGCCAAAACGGGGGTAAGGGGCTCCTGCGAAGGAGGGGGGATTGCAAGGCCTTTTGCACAGGGTTTGGGTATCCTCGGGCCTCCCTTGGGGAGAGGGTGCCCATCGGCCATTGCAACTGGTGGGTGGAGGAAGAGCTCCCTGCGGAGAGGGGGCTTCCTGTGAGGCCTCCTCGGAGGAGGAAGATGCAGCCTGGCCCCGGCTTGCCTTGTTCCCAGCATTTGCACAAAGTTCCCCCCAGGAGGGGTCTGGGCACAGTTTAGTGAGGGGTTCCTGCAAAAGTTTGGGGCCGGAGGAGCCAATCCAGAGAACTCCTGGAATTGGAAGAGGCCAAGGGACCATCAAGCCCAGCGCCCTGCCCACCACGTCCCCAAGACCTGGGTCCCTGGCTTGTATTTGAATTGAGTTTGGTAGGTTGGGTCCTTCCCCAAACCCACTGCTACCCCACAGGGTGTTTTCTCCCAGCGAAAAGAAAACTTTGCCAGAGATTTTGGGAGGGTTTGCGGTGGGGGTCCATCTACCTCTTCTATGATCTCTGCCTGTCCTGTCAGCAGAGCAGAGTTCTTGGAGGGGGGTCCTGGAAGGTGGGGGGGGGCGGGAGGTGGCAGCTCTGACCTCACAAAGCCTCGGAATCCGCCCCCCCCTCCCAGAGATGGCAGGAATCTGCAGCAGCAGCAGCAACAACTCCAGACCGGCCCCCTCGGCCGCGGGATGGGAAGCTGGCTGTCCTGTTTAGGGGGCAGGTACTGATGGGACAGGAGGCAGGGACCCCCAACCCCAGATGGACCCCTTGGCAGGAGGGGTGCTGGGTTGGGGGAAGGCGCCCCTCTCCCTTGGCTTCTTCCCAAGCACACATCAACAGGCGGGGATGGAAGCTGACCCCTGCCCACCCAAGGGTGCTCCCAAACTCCATTCGGTGGGGCTGGGCTGGGCGGCCCTCTTTTCCTGTCCTTCCTCTTCCAACCAGAGGGATGCCCTGGATGCCGTTGCCCCCCCTCACCCCCCTTCCTTTCCTGCAGGCCCAGCCGTGACGGCAACCACGAGTGAGTGGCCTCTGGGAGCCCGAACCTCCCTCCAGCGGATCAGGCCCAAGGGAGGCAGTTTGCATCTTCATCTCCTTGACCCTGGTTGGGTTGGAAGATCAGAGCCCATCCCAGATGGGCAGGATCTCTGGGGAAGGGTGGGCTGGGAATCCAGTGGCTCCTATGAGGGATTGCCCAACCCCCCCTCCGGAGGCCTCAGGTGGCTCTTCTGGGCAGCTCCAGGGGGGCCTCCCAATCCCCTCAAGGTGGGCCAAGGGCCGGCCAGAGGATGCTGGAGGAGGGGGGGATTTGGCCCTGGGGACCCTTGTCTGCTCCTGCTGACCCTTCTTGGTCCTCTCAGCAGCCTCCCCAGGAAGAGAGAAGAGAGAGAAGATGGTGAGCGCTGGCTCCGTTTCTGCCCCCCCTCCCCCTGGGCAACCCCGGGATGGGGCCGATCCTTCCCTCCCTCCCTCCCGCCCGCCGAGGCTCAGGGACAGCCCTCACCGACCCGCTTCTCCTGCCCCTCGCAGCAAGGACGCCGCCTTCGCCTTCCCTGCCGCCTTCGCCTCCCCCGGCCTCGGACTCGGGCTCCCTCGACTTCACAGCCCCGCCGCCTTCGGCCACCCAGCCTGCGGGGCGGGCGCTGGGCACCGCGCTCAGCCTGGAGGCGTTGCAAGAGCGGCTGGAGGCGCTGAAGGCGCTGCAAGGCCAGTACCTCCGGGGGCGTAAGTATCCGGGCTCCTGGGGCCACTGATCCCGCCGCCCCCCGCCCCGCCGCCGCATCCTGCCCTCTGCTCTCCCTCCGCTCCAGAGCTGAGGATCCGACGCACCTGCCGGGACTTCCCGCGCGCCCTGCGCGCCCTCAGCCTGCAGATCTGCCGCAGCCGCCGGAGACTCATCCGCGCCGAGGTCCGCCTGCAGCGCCGGGAAACGGAAGGTGCGCGCGGCTGCCGGCCGCTCCCTCGACCCCCCGCCCCCCCCCCCCCCCCCCCCCCCCGGTGCATCGGCCGACGTTCTTCTCTGGTCCGGCAGGCGCTTTCCCCAGCCGCCCCTCGCCGCCTCCGTCCGAGCTGCTGGCCTTGGTCTCCTCGCGCCCGGGGCTCTCCGCCGCCGCCGCCGCCTCCCTCTCCGGCGGCTCCCTGCTGCTGCTCCCCGCGCCCCCGCCGCCGCCCGCCCCGCCGCCACTGCCGCCTCACCTGCCCGACCTGCACGAGGCGGTGGAGACCTTCCTGGAGCGCCAGGCGCGCCACCTCCACGACCGTGAGTCCGCCGGTTGGGGTGCCGCCTCCTCCGGGCCAGTCCCAGGCTCCGGCTCCGCGGCCAAGGAAGCGCAGCGGGACGGGTTGGAAGCCCCCGCACGCCGCTCTCCCTTGCGCCCGGGACAGGCGGGGCGCTGCGGGATGTAGGGGGGCTGCTGGCGGAGCCCCGAGGCTGCTCTTGTGCTTCCAGGGCAGAGAGACTACCGGAGCTGCCACGAGTGTCTCCGCTCGATCAAGACGCTGCGCGGCCAATTGCGCCGAGTGAGGAGTAGGCTGTGGAGGGTGGAGGCGGAGCTGGGCATCCAGGTGCCCCCGCGCGAGCTCTCCGTGGAAGACCAGGAGGACGACGACGAGGAGGAGGAGGACGGCCCTCCTTGGTTGCCCCCCGCGCTGCCGGCTGCCAGGAGGGAAGAGGCGTGGGGCCCGAGCGCCCAGAACGCGCCCCCGGTGGATCCACCGATCTCCGGCCGGCTGCTGGAGGCAGAAGTCACTGCCTGCCCTTAATAAAGCTTTCGGAAAGTCTTCTGCTGTCGAAGCCACAACGCGGGGGGGGCTTCTTTTAAACGCACCCCGAAAGAAGAGGGAGGGGCTATGCCTTGGCGACCCCCAGAAAGAGATGGGCTGGGCTTCCTGCGAGTAATGAGAATGTTAGCAGCTGGTCTGGAACCTCTATTTATCCCCAGAGATGTTGCCAGTTCCTGAAAGCTAAAATTGTCTTCAATTCTACTGTTTGTGTATTAATTAAAATCTTTATAGTCCCCCCCCCCCAACACACACACACCCAGAGGTAACAATTCACTGAGGGGAAGCACAGGGGATTAACTCAAAGGTGCTTTTTCAGGAGGCAACTGGACTTCCTTGTTTTTCTTTGAAGACCTTTGGCTTCTCATCCAAGAAGCTTCTTCAGCTCAGACTGGATGGTGGGGCTTCCATTCTCCACCATCCAGTCAGAGCTGAAGAAGCTTCTTAGGTGAGAAGCAAAACATCTTCAAGGAAAAACAAGGAAGTCTACTTGCCTTTCCCAGGCCAGCATTTTGCAAAGGCTGCCCAAAGCCAGCAATCCTTTCCCCCGCCCCGCCCCCGTTCCAGGCCAGGAGCAACGCTGGTGCCCACTTTGCTGGCCTTGGCTGGGGACTGAAGCGAGTTCTGGGCAAATAAGCTCTGGCAGCAAAGAAGTGTCGATGGGAAATTGAAAAGAAGAGAAGAGAAGACTCCTAGAAGCAGTGAGAAACAGCTGGTTGAAAACTGCCCTGGAGAGGCTGCATGGATGGTCTCTCCCCATCATTTCCAAAGGGGGAAGATTCCTGTTCTCTAGCCCCATAGTTAGAAACGTCTCAGGTGCTGGATTTGCACAGAACTGACCGAAAGGAAAAGGGGAGATTCTGGAGTGGTAGGTGCCTCCCATGTTTCCAGGAGTGGCCTTCTCAGCTCCCTCTTGGCCCTTCTGTCCACCAGAGGGCACCCTTGCACTCTTCCAAGGGAGGCTGGCTATCCCTTCTCTGGGATCCTACCCAGCCCGGCCCCCCTTTGAAATCATGCTTCCCCCAACTCCTCATCCACTCCCCCACCCCAAACTCCCCTTTGGCTTCTCTCTGTCCTAAAAACCTGCCTTTTTGACAAGAAGCAATAACGTATGTGGGGTGCATAGCATGAAGACTCCCCCCAAATGATGCCATCAGTGTGTTTGGCAAAGAAGGGAGCCCCACTCCCACCCCCCAAAGCCTGCCTGGAGCCCAACTCAGCACAGCTGTCTTGAGTGCCACTCGGGGTCGGTTTCTCTCTCTCCTTTTGCCCTTTTGGCACTTTCTGCCCCACATATTTTAGAGTTCCCCCCACTCCCATGGGCATTATTTGCTTCTGAGGCGCATGGTGGTGTGGATTCAGAAAAATTCGGGAGTTGGGGAAGAGAGGCAACTTGGAGACCCTCCCTACCAGGGAGATGTTGAGGAGCCTCTTGATTTTCTTGGGGGTGGGGCCACCACCGCCAGAGGGGAGCAGCTGAGAGGAGGCATTTCCAAGGCTCCTTTCCTCCCACCCGGCTTCCGGAGGAATGCTGCTCTTCTCGGGCGATGGTGGGGGGGAGGTGTTAAGCCCAGCCTCCTTGGCCAGGAGCCTCCCCTCCATATGAATAGCAGTGCGGAGCTGCCCATCCCTTGTTCACCAGCCAGGCTCCTCCAGTCGGCCTTGCTCTCTCTTGGCTGGACTCTGCCTCCGAAAGGTGTCTGGAAGATGGAGACCTTCCTCAGCTCCTCGCGGTCTTTGGGAGAGGAGTCTCTCCAGATGTGGGACCTCAACAAGCGCCTGGAGGCCTACTTGGCCAGGGTGAAGTTCCTGGAAGAGGAGAACGAGCTGCTGAAAGCCGAGATCCAAGGCCTGAAGGGGGGCTTGGTGGAGACCCCCTGGAGGGCCAAGTATGAAGCGGAGGTAGCCACGCTGCGGGCCACCCTGGACCAGGCGTATCAGGAGAAGTGCGTGGTGGAGCTGGCCAGGGACTCCCTCTACGAAGAGGTCCAACAGGTGAAGAGCAGGTGCCAGCGGGAGAGGGCAGCCCAGGAAGAGACCAAGATGTTCCTGTCCCTCAGCAAGAAGGAGATGGAGGAGGAAAAGCGGGCCCACATTTGGCTGAGGGAGAAGGCCACCCAGCTGGAGAAAGAGATGGAAGACCTGGTGGAGGCCCACCAAGAGGAGCTGCTAAGGCTGGACCAGGAGATGACCAGCTTCTCCCAGAGTTTGGATGGGTTCCGGGCGGTGCCCGTCTGCTTCCAGCCGGTGGAAGTGGAAGACTACGCCAAGAGGCTCACCAACATCTGGAAAGGAGCGGTGGAGACCTACAAGATGGAGGTCTCGCAGCTGGAGGCTTCCCTCTGCGAAGCCAAGGAGAACCTCTGGAAGGCTACCGAGCGCAACCGGCAGAACCAGCTGCAGCTGCAGCAGCTGGAGAAGGAGCTGGCCAGCCTCAAGGTCCGGAAGAAGATGCTGGAGGACAGCCTCTCCCAGCAATGGGCTCAGCAGCAGGGGGACGCCGAGAAGCTGCAGGTGGGTCTGGGGTATCTGGCCCCCGCTGAGTCCAGCAGGGCTCGGGGATGCCCGCCTGCCTGCCTGCCTGCCTGGGGTGGCTTTGGGACCAGCCCTGCCCCTAACGGCCACTTGCTGGGCTCACCGGTGGGCAGCTGACTCGAGAGTGAGCTGGTGGCACCTAGAGGGCTGTTGGTAGCTTGGAAAAGGGGCTTGTAGGTAGGAAATGGAACATTGCTGGCAACAGGGCAGAATTGCCTGGCATTTCCTCTAAACCAAGGCTGTGATTCAGCCCTTGGCATCTGGTTGAGATCCAGAAGCCGGGGCTGGGCAGCTTGAGGGCGGTGGGGACCACACATTGGCTGGGGAAGAGCTGTCCCTTGTGAAGGGTGTTCCTCCAGAGGATGCCCCCCACTCCCTGTGCCATCTCCATTCATAGCCTCCTTAGAGGGGGAGGGGGTTGGGCTGTCTCTGGAGAAGGCTTCCTGAATCCCACAGGGTACTTCATGGGGGGGGGGGTTGTGCACCCAGCCCCCTGTTTGCTGCTTGGATGTGAAGGACCCACTAATTCTGGAGGCCTCATTTCGGGGCCTTTTCTGGAAAGAATTGCAGATTTCCTTTGGCAGATGCAAATCCCAACTGTGCCCCAAGCGGCCCTTGACTGCAGGGGCGTGGGGGGCTGGGAAGGGGCACCTCCAAAAATAAATGTTTTCAAAGAAAAGAAAGTTTGGCTTCAACTTTTCTTATCCTTCCAACACTGAAGGGGAAGGGGAAATACAGCCTCCCGGAGATGTGGGGCAGTCAGTCCTTCCCCCCACCACCCCACCCTCCACATTCTTTGCATCCAAGCTCAGCAGGAGGGAGCCACGCCCTGACCGTGGGGTGGTGGTGGTCTTGGAATGGAGAGGAGGGGGCTGCAAGGCGAAAGCGACCTGCCTGGCCTGTGCACTTGAATCACTTTGCTGGACCAAATCTGAACGAAACGGGCGAGCTAGGCTGAGCTTTGGAAGAGGCCCGGCTGAAGCAGAACAAAAGAATTTTTTTTTTTTTTTTTTTTGCCATGCTTGAAAACTGAGCGCTGGGCTGCCACACCCACTCGCATGCCAGACACGCGGGATTTCCCTGTAGTTGCCGGTGGGGAAGGAGTGGGTGTCCTGCTGCCCCAGAGCCCAACTGGACCGTCCTGGGGGCCTCCTGCAGCATCCCCCCTTCCTTCCCTCTGGGCGGCCAGAGGGCAGCTCCCCAGGGCCGCGGCTGCTAACCCCGCCGGTGTCTCCTTCTCTGCCGGACAGATGGCCATGGAGGCGCTGGAGGAGGAGAAGCAGTCGCTGCGCGGCCAGATCTCCCAGGTGCTGGAGGACCGGCAGCAGCTGATGCACCTGAAAATGTCGCTCAGCTTGGAAGTGGCCACCTACAGGTGAGGGAGGGACGCCCCCTCACGCAGCCCCGGGCTCCCCCTCCGCAGCTCTAGAATAGGGGGCTCTAGAATAAGGCCAGGGGGCAGCCACCACCTTTACGCACAGCACCCAAGAGCCCCCTGCCCCCTTCTTCCTCCTCGCCAAACGCGCCTCCTTCCTTGCAGACGGCCTCGCTTCTCTCCCCCGCCCTGAAGCAGAATCTCATGGGAACCTCCCCTCTGCCCCCTACCCTTCTCCTTCCCCAGACGGTTCCCACACAAAAGGAGGCCCGTGGGGGGGGGAGTCCTGTTGCATTAGCATGAGAATGAATGGCCCCGCTGCCGGTAAGCGGGGGAGGGCTGGCGGCCAGCAGATTCCGCATGATGTCACCACCATCCTGCTCCTGCTAGCCCCCTCCCCCTCCTGATTCGCGGGGGGGGAGGTGGGGAGAGCCTTCCAGCGCTGGGAAGGTGGAGAAAAGCCTGGCAGAGGAGGCAGCTGCGGGAGGCCAGGAATAACCCACCAGAAATAAGCCTCCCCCCCCAGCGCCTGCCGCCCTCCTTTCCCGCTCAAGAATCCCTCTCTGCCTTGCAGGACCCTCTTGGAAGCCGAGAGCACCAGGCTGCAGCTGCCGGCAACTGATCTCCAGCTGGCCAGGGGGCTCAGAGGTAGGCATGAGGTCGGGGGCTTCAAGGGGAAGCCTCAAGAGCCATAAAAGCCTGAGCCCACTCCTCCCGCTACAGAGCTGCCCTTCAGCAGGGAAAGTGGGGGCTTTGCTGAGCCAGAAAGAAAACTTACCTGGGTCACACCTCCCTGTTTCTATATCCAGCCCCCCTTCATAATTTCTGCTTCCCCAGGAAAATGTGGGTTGCCCTGAATTCCTTTTCACAAAGAAGGATGGTTAGAAAAACCCCTGGCTGTTTGGAGGAGAGTAACCCCTCCTACCCTTGAGGACGATTTGCAGACCTTTACCGAGAGGCTCTACTCTCCTTCCCCCTCCCCAGATGGGCCAAAGTGGGGCAGATCCACTCCGGTGGGTCAATCTTAGCAGAGCATTCCCTGGTTCCACTTGAGTCCAGCAGCCTTTTCTCATTCTCCCCATTTTTTGTTGCTTGCAGATGCTACAACCGAATCAACTCTCGGCAGGCTGCAGGGGCCGTCAGTGGATCGGGGGAGCCGGGATGTCCGCCCCAGCCCTGCCGCTCTCCCTAAGCTTCGGGGTTTCCAGAGCAAAGTCGAGTCGCCCTCCTGGGGGGTCAAGACCCCAAGCTCGGCGGCCAGGGAGTTCCAAAAGGCCAACGCCTCCCTCCGGCACTCTCAGGCCACCAAGAGCGCCGATGGGCTGTTGCCCCCGCCAAAGGAGCCCTCTGCTTTTCGGCTGGACTCCTCCCAGCACAGCCAGAGGGTGACGATCACCCAAACGGAGAGCCTGGCCCAGTCTGTCTTCTGCACCCGACCCCCACTGACTTTCAACTCCGTGGAGCCAGAAGAGGCTTCGGGAAGGTCCATTGGGAGCCTGGATCAAGGAGAGGAGAGCGAACAGGAGGCGAAGCCGGAGGCCGAAGGTAGAGGAGAGGAGGGAGAAAAAGCCTCTGGAGAGAAGGAGGAGGAGGAAGAAGAGACACAGCTCAGCCGTGAGCCACCAGCAGAGAGAGAAATCCTGAACGGGCCTTTTCTGAGCCAGATGGTTACTGAAGCCGTAGAAACTGCGATCCAGGAAGTGAACCCCCAAGAAACCCACCTTGAATCCAGCTTACTCAAGGCGGTGAAAAGCCAAGCAGACGTTTCTTCTGACAGCTCTTCATCCCTGGAGGAGGAGAACACCCTTCCCCTAAGTAGCACCGAGGGGCTGGAGAAGGCCCAGCAAGACCAGAGAGGAGGGGGACAACCCACCGACCCCCTGGAGGAGTTCCAGGTGTGTGAAGACTTTGCGGAGGTCAATGGTGGCCAGGAAGCCTGGGCTGAGCTGCAAGGAACTGAAGAGGCTTGGCGGGCTCTGAAAGCAGAGGCCTCCGTGGCCCTGGGAGCAGAACTACCGAGGGCAGAAAGGATGGAAGGAGGAGGAGGAGGAGTTTTGGTCCCTGGAGAAAAGGAGACCAATGAAGAAACAGGGTCTCCAGAATGGGAGGAGAGGGATGTGGATGAGGAGCTGCCTGCATTATTGGGGGGGATGCTGGGCAACGCAGTGGGAGAAGCACCCAAGAAGTCAGAATTTGCTACGGAGGCAGCTACAAATGTGAATGGCAGCCAGGAAGGCTGGGAGCTTGGCAGCCCCCCAACTGATGTCCTCGAAGGAGCCCCGGAAGTGAACATGGAGGAGGTCTATGGAGGGGCTGAAGATGTAGAAATGGTCAGCCAAGAAGATCTCCTCTCTGAGGACAGCAAGGAGCCCCAGAGCCCCCCCAGGAAAGATAACCAGCAGGCAGAGCTGCTTGAGAATGAGCACCTGGAGGTGGAAGGAAGCCCAGCCAAGGAGGACCGCTCGCCCACCACCCATACGGCATTGTCTGCGGGTGAACCCCAGAAAGCTCTCTTCCTGGAGATGGAGCAGGAGAACGTGGAGAGCCCAGAAGAGCTTCTTCATGAGACCGATTCTGCTCTGCCAAAGAATGAGGAGAAGGATCTAGATGCCGAGGTTTTCTGCATGGAAGATGCCCTGCCCAGAAGCTCAGGTTCTGCCATAGATGAAAATGGCACCTTGACAGATGAGCCAAAGGGGGTCGAGAGCAGGGAAGTCATGGAAGAGGAGGAGGAGGAGGAGGAAGAGGAGGGAGAAGGCGTTGTTGGACCTCTTCCCACAGAAGATATGGGAGATGAAGGAACAATGGAGACCGAAGGCTACTTAGATTTGGAGGCACCCAAAAGGATCTTGGAACTGGGTGCGACCTTGCCCAGAGAGGACCTAGCAAGCATCCAGGTGCAGGAGACACTTCAAGAAGAGCAGAGAACGAAGGTAGCTGAAGAGCAGCTCCTGGAGGAACATAAGGAAGGAGGAAGAGGGCTCCCAGAGACCCCATTGCAAGACGAAAGTAGCAACTTGGAGGAAAGAGACTTGGTGACAATCTCTGGAGGGCCAGAAACTGAACCCCTCACGGATGTCCTGCAGATGGAAGATGTACGTGGTGCTGCTGTGACTGAGAACTTGCTGCAGAAGAAGGAAAATGCCCCCGAGTGCTCTGATGACAAAGGATTGGGCCTGGACAATCACCAGGCAGGAGAGCAGCCTGCCGAGGAGGCTGAAGACCCCTCCAGGGAAGAGACCACCTGGCCAGAAGAAGTTCAAGAGGTGGGATCCCCCCCAGAGGCCAAGGCACCTGCGGAAGACTCCGTTTCCCACAGGGAGGATTCAGGGTCCGAGGAGACCCTCGAACATCCAGACTTCGTCCCAAATTCCCAGAGTGAGAGAGGTGGGGCTGAGGAGGAGAATGCCCAGCTAGGGGAGACATGGCCAGGCCACCCGGCTTTAGACAACGGGCTGGCCATGCTTGAGACTCCATCCCTTCCTTCCTTGGAGAGGGAAGAGGTGCCTCTTTTGGCCCAAGAGGCGGAGGCCCCCATTTTAGAAGAAGGCCCTGCAAGCCTTCTGCTGGCCAAGGAAGACGGAGTGGAGGAAGGCCCTCCAAAGGGAGGAAGCGATCGCAGGCCACAGGCAGATGGCCCCTGCTCAGAAGAGCCTCTGGCCACAGGGGATTCGGCCGAAGCCGTGATCCAAAGGTTCACGGAGGATCAGGGCCCTGGGGAGGAGGAGGTCCCCAGAGAGGATGAGCAGAAAGAACTGCAAGGGGCCCCTGGCCTGGAGCCAGAGGAAGACCCCTGGCAGGAGGGAGAGGTGGCCAAAGGGCCAGCGGTGCCCAAGGAAGAGGTGGTCGCAGAACTCCCTTTAGAGCCAGGCGAAGGCTTTGGGTTCCCAGCGGATGGGTTTGACCCCAGCTACACGCAGCAGGAGGAAGAAGAGGAGGAGGAGGAGGAGGAGGAAGATCAGGGGCCCTTGGAATCGAGTGACCAAGATTCTACGGATGTGGCCCCTGCAAAGGTTTCACCCCTGACCAGCGTCACTGATTTGGGAGAAATAGTGCTGGAAGGGGACGGCTCTCTGAGTGGCCCGAAGGGGGCTGTAGAATCTGACATGCTGGAATCCTGTGAGGACGAATGTTTCCATGTCTTGGACCCAGAAGATCTGATCCAGCAGAAGTTTGTGACCGTGGAAGATCCCCCAGGAACCAGCTTCCCTGAGACGTTCCCAGAGGACGTGGTGGGTCTTCCTCTAGAAAGCAAAGGAGACCCCAATATTCTGGAAATTGTAGAACAAGCTCTGGAGTTCAACCAAGAGTTGATGAAGGCAGCTGAGGATGAGCTGGGAGGCCTTGGCAAAGGGGCCCAATACTCCCCAGAAGAAAGGTCTCCCTATGCTTCCCTTGTATGTCTGGACCAGGGACCACCCCAGGTTTCCACAGAAGCTCCAGAAGGCTCTTCTCCCATCCCAAGGGAAGCCCACCCATTGGGGGAGAGCCAGGCTAATGGGCTTCAGGAGGAACCAAACTTGGATGAGTTCCCAAGCGAACTTCTCAACGGCCTCAGGCAGGGCAAGACAGACCCTCCTGGAGATGAGGATTTCATCAAGGAGGTGACTATCGCCCCACAGTTCTGCACAGGGGACAACTTCCCCATGGCAGAGACCCTGAGCCAGACTCCACCCCCAGTCCCAGCCAGTGAAGAAGGGTTTAGAAGTGGAGACACCAGCCCTGAAGTTCTTGAGAAGGTTTCCCTGGATCAGGAAGGCCAGGAGCTCCTAGATGAGAACATCCTGGGTGACCTACGGCAGAAGACCTGCGTGAAAGGAGGCAAGGATACCAAGCTGGAGCCCATGCCCTTCCTGTTTGGGGATGAGATTCGGCGCCAACCCTTGGAATTCCGGCCGGAAGGGGACCTGGATCTCCAGCCCTCGGAAGACGACTGAAAGGTCCCCTTTTGGCCATTAATTCCAGCCAGTGACAAACAGTGTGATTCCTGCTAAACCTGTGACCCCTTCTGTCTCAGCCCCACACATTTTTCTTTTTTTGTAGCTACCTTCCTTCCCTCCAAATTTGAGACCGCCCCGCTGACAATCAAAAGCTTGGATAGGCAGCGTTTTCAGACTTTTAACTTTTTTCATGGTAGGCTTTTTTTTAAAGAATACTTTTTTAAAAGAAAAAAGGCACTCAAGTCCAGCGTCCTTTGTCTTCACCTTAAGTGTAACCAGCAATTTGGCAAAACTTTTGTGTGGTTTTTTTTTAAAGAAAATGAAATGTTTCATCTGGCTCTAAGTTCTGCCCAGCAAGAAAAGAAGTTGTTTAGTAAGATCCGGTCTCAGACCTTGTTTTGCTAAGTGAGGCACTCTGAAGTTTTCCCGGCAAACTTTTACAACGTCCCCTCCTCCCCACCGTTATCTGGGTCAGAAGTGCTTCACCTAGTGCAGAGTTTGGGTTCGGCAGCTGCAGAAGACCCAGAATTCCCCAATAGAGCATGCTGGCTGGGGCATTCTGGGAGTTGAAGTTCACCTATCTTACAGTTGCTGAGGCTGAGACACACGGATCTAGAGGGAGATTTTTTTTCTGATAGTGGCTCCTATAACATGCCAGTGTGCCTTACTTTAGGAATACATAGAACAAACTGGAGTTTTCAGTATAAATGTGATCTGATGCTGCTCCCTTCTCATCCCGGTCTTCTCTCCTTGATTTCCCAGGACTCGCTTTTCCTGTTATCCACTCGCCATTTATCTCTGTGGGGGTGGAGGGGGTTGGGGGGGGGCAAAGGTGCCTCTGCTTTTGAATGGGACAAATCTAACAACCCTGGTAGAAATAGTTGGCGTTTCGGTCCCTTGGAAGGAACTCAGAACCTCTGGCGAGTCTCTGCCAGCCTGGCTTCATCTGCCCAGCTCACAGAGCAGAAGTTTCCAACCCAAGCGTAGGTTTGATTCAGCCCCTCTCCTCTCTTTTGAACGACAAGGGTTCGAGCACCCATCCAAGCCCAGCCCAGCCCAGCCTCAGAACATGGGCAGAGTTCTTCGGAGGAGAGCTAAGGACGGGAGACCGAGAGGGATGCTCCAGAAACAGGTTCCAGTGTCATTTCTCTCCCTGCACTTCAGTGCCTTCTACGATAAAGCTAGGATGTTAAAAAAAAAAAAAAAAACCGAGCTCCAGTCGGTGCCTCTGAGACACTAATAAAGCAATTGATTTCTTATCCTGTACAAACTCTTTCTGTGTTTTGCTTCACCCCGTGTTCGTTCTCGGGAGAGAGAAGGTCACTGCCACCATCGGCCATACTGAAAAAAAGCTGAGGCATAAAGAGACAGGGATGAAATAATTTTTAATACGCAGGCAGAAAAGACATTTTTCTGTCTGTTTTTCTCTTTCCTTCCGCTCTCTCTTTATTAGCTCTGCTTCGTCCCTGGGCAGGTCGAATATCAGATGTTTAGCAGCCAATATTCTAGCCAAGACGTGGGGAAGTGGAAGAGGGAGGGGCGGCCACTCCCTTCACCAGCCGGTGGGTAGAATTCTTGCAGATTCTTCCTGGCTGCAGAAAAAACAGGTGCTCTGAGCAACTGCGGGCAGGGTGGGACCGATGACCTGCCCTCTCTGCTCCCTGGTGGGGACTAAGCAGAGAAAAGGGCACTTTTTATAGCTAAGACCAGATGGTGGAAGTGATGGAAGACCTTAAAATATGCATGTGACTACTGATGCAGCCAAAGCTCCAGCTCCCTGCAGAGCAGAAATATTTGGAGGAGTTGGGAGAAAGTTAAATGTGGCTGCCTCCCCTCCCCCCCATAAGGGGCAAAAATGGACAGCCCACCACCTGTTTCTGCACCCGTCACTCGTGCCTGTTTTTAACGCTGAAACAGACCCGGGGAGGGCTGGGCAGGGAGGGCTTCCTTCCTGTTTGGCCCAGCGTGGCACACAGTTTGGATTCAAAGTGTTCAAAAGCACAACTTTTAACAGAGAGAAACAAGCTGCGGAAATAACAACAACGTTCTTGAAAATAGAAAATATTTAGCAAAGGCTGAAACCTTTGGAACCGACAGCAGGCTGCAGGGGAAAAAATGCAGCTGCAAAGCCTTGGTCGGCTGGTTTTCCAGGGGCAAAGCTGCCACCTGCAGCCGTGGCAAAAATGAGCAATTCCGGGCCTCCAAGGGCTTCTGGCAGTTCTCTGCCCAGGTTCCTCGGAGGTGGAAAAGGGCAGCCTGGTGATCTCTGGGGAAAGCAGACCTGGGCCTCAGCCAGGCGGCTCATGGGAGGCGCAAGAGGACTTGAGCCTGATAAGAGGATGCCAGGGTGAAGCAGCCAGCGGCCAAAGCCCTCGGGTGGCAGAGAGACCAGGACAAGGAGGGATTCCTGGCCTAGGGGGCAGAGATCTCCTCCCTCCCGGGGGGGGGAGGGCAAGAGAGGAACCTGAGCAGAGATTTGCATTTCCTGCCAGGCGAGGAAGAGGAGGAGGGGGAGCTGGGCTCTGCCCCAAACTTCCTGATAGGTCCCAGGTCCTTCCAAAGGCTGAAGGGCTTGGAAAGCAGGAGCTGGCTTTGAGCTTGGGTTGCCTCAGCCAAGAAGCCCCTTCCAAAGCCAGAGAAGCCCCGTCCTCTGGCCCAGCCAGTCCTTTTAAGGGCAAATGGCAGGGCTGAAGTCACACCGCTGGAAAAGCAAACCTCCCTCTTCTATCGGGAACCAGACCTGACTCAGAGGCCTTGGCATCGCCAGGGGATGAGCAAAGGCTGTTTTCAGCCTGCTGGCTGACAAAAGATACGCTTGCTAGGTGCCCTTTTTGGGGGCATTGCCCTTATTGGGGGAGGGGGCACAGGGTTTTGGCAGCTACAAGCCCCTGTGGAATGCAAGGCCTTGGCGGAGAGGACAAGGGGGAAGCCGAGCGTCTCCTGTGAGGAGACCCCCAGATGTCTGAAGCACAATCCATCCCGCCCAGAGGTGGGTTTCAGCAGGTTCTGACCAGTTCTGGAGCAGAAACTTTGTGTAGTTCGGAGAACCAGTAGTAAAAATTCTGACTGGCCCCGTCCACATCTATTCTCTGCCTCCCAAGTCCCAGCTGATTGGGAGGAAATGGGGATTTTGCAGTAACCTTCCCCTGACACGCCCACCAAGCCACACCCACCAAGACATGCCACGCCCACCATGCCACACCCACAGAACCAGTTGCAAAAAAATTTTGAAACCCACCACTGAGATTCCCACCCCTGGATAAATCTGGAGCTACTTTGGAACTGTGGCCCTCAATCAAGGCTGAAGTCTCAGCGGTGACTCCATCTAACCAAGCAGGGATGGGGGGGGGATCCCGTTTGCTTGGTGGATCTCAGAAATGGCTGGGCGGTGGCTGTGGGTTGGCCGGAGAGGTCGGGGCGTGGGTGGGCATGTCCACAGGCCCCCTGCCCACCATTGCTGCAGATAAAGAGGAATACTGAAGCTGCAGCTCAGAAGGGGCCATGCCGGGCTGTCGCATCCCAAATGGCACCACAGCTCTGGGAGAAGCCCCCTCCCCTACGGCTGAGCGCTTCAGTGGGCCGCTGAATCTCGGTGATCCCGGGAGGGGGGGCTTGTAGCCAGGAGCATCGCTGTGCTGGACAGAGAAATGACGGCCCGGCTCTCCCTCCCTCCCTTGGTGGTGGCTCCCCATCCATCCCGCACACCCCCAGATCCGTCTGGGCTGCCCCAGTGCAGCTCCTTTGTCTGCAGCCACAATTGGCCAGAGTCCATTCAATCAGGAGCTCTCTGTGGCCTGTCTCAATGGGGGCTGGGAAGGACTGAGGGTGGGGGGAGGGCAGGGTAGCCTCAAAGCAATGACCTCACTCAGCCCAGCTCTCAACATCCGCAGGGCGTAGAAAGACAGGGTGTGTGTGTGTGTGTGTGTGTGTAGTCCTGTGTCTCACACACTCAAGCTCTGCTCAGGAGCCTTGCTCAGCAGAGCTTCTGGTTGCCCCAAGTGCTTTGCCTCCTACTCACCACTGCTGTGTCAGGCCGTTTTTTGTGTCTGCTCCCTCGGTTAGCTGGCTTTCCCTCAATTCCTGAAAAAATCTCATTTTGCCGCCACCCCCCAAGTCAGGGAACAATGGAGCAATGTGGCCACATACACCCCATCCCACCTGCTGCCTGGTTGCGAGGCAGCAAAATGGGCCAAGCCGACTCTCCTTGTTGGGGGGGGGAGGGGGAGGGAGAAAATGAAGTGGAATTGAGCCTGCGAAGGACATGCTGGTGGGTTTTTCCTCCCTCCCCTCCCTGGCCATTGTTCTGTCCCCCCATTACTCCATTGTAGTCAATGGGAAGCCAGTCACTTTGGGGGGGGGCTGCCACCTCTAAACAAAGACTGACTCAGAAGTCCAGCTCTGAAGGCTGACCAGGCGAACGGAGGGCAAGGGGCATCCTGATTTGTGTGCTGAGGCCAGGAAGTGCTCGCGGGGGTGGGGGGGGAAGGCTGGCCACCCCTTGGACAAAGTGGGGGCTTCCTGAAATCATGAAGGTAGCGTGATTGCTCAGTCCCCTGGGCCCCTCACTGCAAGAGGGCCCCTGGAGCTGGTTTTGCTGCCACAGACTCAGAGGGGAGACTTCCCCAATTCTGTGTGTGTGTGTGTGTGTGCCAGCTTGCTATACTCAAGCAAAAAGGACCAGACATCCCAGCTCCTTTGTACCATCTCCCAGGATCTCTGCACCAGGGAGACTTGGGGCCTCCTGGGGTCTGCCTGCCTTTGGCTTCTGTGGCTGGCGTGAGCTGACCCTTTGCATTTCAGCCTTGCAGTGTCCAGGCAGGAGCCCCCCTCCCCGAGCAACAGGGCGCCCTAAAGGACGAGACGAGAGTCCTTTGCTCCCAGATCTATTCTGAGACCCTCCCTAATCAGAGAAGCATGGCTGTGGCTCCCGCCCAGTGGTCATCCACAGGCCCTTCCCGTCTGCAGCTGCTGCCTTCCTCAGCCCCCTCCCCAGCACAGGCACGCAGTGAGGAGGGGGCAGCCAAGATCACAGGAGACCCCCTCACCTTTGACAGAGCTTCACCGCAACAGATTAAAGCCTCACCAGCTGTGCAGGAGGGGATTCGGACTCTCCAGAATGCAGCCCCCGCCCCCAGAAGAAGAGGTCACAGCAAGGGGGTAACTGAGCTGCCAGCACTTGGGTTTCATGGAAACGGGGGGGGGAAGCGGGGAGCAGATGCTGCTGCCCCTCCAGCCCCTGCCTGGGACCCTCCACCTCCGACTGGAGGCCAGGAAGAGAAGGCCGGAGAGCAGCACGGTCAGCATTGGGCTCCCTTCCAGGGGGCCATTTCACACAGGTGGGGGCTGCCATGAAGGAGGCCTCAGGCGGGGGGGGAACCTCCTGCTTGCCTCACCCCAATAACCGATTCTTTGTAATCCCTGTGGGAGGGGAGAGGGTGCCCATTACAGGACCCCAAAATTGCCGGGTTTGCCACTGGGATGCAAAGTGTCCGGGACCAGGAGGTTTCAGGACAACCCGGAAAGGAGTGGAGTTGGCGCCATCCATTCCCAAAGCAGTAAATATTGTGCTTTGCCTGTAATTAAAGTCCAGCCGGAGAGGAGAGGAGGGACAAGAGGGGACCCAGACTCGCCTCCAGCCAGCTTGGTCTGAGGCTTCCTTTGGAGCCTGGAAGTGGGCAGCGGGGAGGGCTGGGGGCAATGGGCCCATGAGGGGGGGGTGCTGGAAGGGGGCAGGTCCATTGACTGGCCAGCCCAGTGTTTCCTCTCTGGTCCCAGGACGGCAGGGGGCCGGTGCAGCAGGTGTGTTTGTCAGCTGGGCACGAGAGACATCCAAATCCACGCTTGGCACCCTGCCATTGAGCAGAGAAGACTCGGAGGAAGCCAGCACGAAGCTCCGGGCACCTGTTGAGTCCTGGGGGAGAAACACCCATCTGGGGGGCTTCATTGTAGTGATGGAGCCTCCCTGATTTCACTGGATGGAAATGGGACCAGGGAGAAGGTGCTAAGACCCTCTTAGCTTAGTGTTCTTGGGGGGCAAAGCCGAGGGAGCCCTGCCCAGATGAGGGTTCCTGGCGCTGCATGGAAGGTTTCTTCTCATCAGGGAGGCAGGAGAAGACCAGCAGCCAGTGGACTGAGGGCCAGGAGACCCCTTGCCCTCCAGCACATTTGCCAGGCCATAGAAGGAGATCCCATCAGCTTTGGTAAAGCGGGGCGGGGGGCAAGCAGGCCCCCTCCTCCAGAAAGCCTCAGGGCCTCCATCACTGGTCCTTCTCCAGTCCCAGTCAGCCTCATTCCTGCCCCCACAACGCCTACCCCCAGCCTCCCCAGGGGTCAGCTTCTTGCAAACATTCCCAAATTCTGCTTGCAGCCAAGAGGAATCCAAGGCAGGTTCAGCTCGCCCAGGGGAGGAGCAGAGTTTATTTTCACACCAGCTGGTGCCAACTGTCTGCCAGGGTCCGGTTTCAGCTGTGGTGTGTGTGTGTGTGTGTGTGTGGTTGGAGGGATGATTTCCTTGCTTCAAGCCTTTGGAAGGGGCTGGTTGGTTCCTCATGCCGTGATTTTGTGCCCCTCCAGTCCTCCAGATGATCCCCCTCCCCAAACACATAGGAAAGAAACTCTGCAGACCCACAGGAGAACTCCTGCAGGCACAGAAGAAAAGGCAACCAGTTTGGGTGGGCTATGGCTAGGCTGCTTGGCAACCCCCTCAATTTCCGGCTTCAGTCCTTTCGAGGGACAGACCTGGAGGCGTCTTTGGGGTCCTGCTTTGGCTGCATCTGCTCAACCAATCCCACCCAGAGAGATAACTGGGTTCGAGATAATTTAGGGTAAAGCAGATGTTCCCCCGTGGAACTCACTGCCGTGTGATTTTTTATGAGTTTCCTGAATGCCTCTTTCTCCTTCCCTTTGTGTCAACTTGCAGCAAAAGATGAAGAGAGGGGGAGGGAAGGGGGGGAGCTGTGTGTCTGTGGACTCCAGAAAATGTGGTTCTTTTCTCCCCTTTCTTAGGTGGCCAGCTTCCCCTCCCCTCCCCTTCCCTCCCTCCCTGGCAGCCTCTGCAGATAATGGGATGACATCAGCCACAGGCAGCCGCTGAGTAATGCCTCCCTCTCAGAAAAGGCCTGGAAATGCCATTATTCCGAGGAGAAAAGGTCGCCAGAGAGATTGGCTGGAAGTCCCTTTCCTGTTTTCCTCCTCTGCTTCCCCCCCCCCATGGAAGTTACTCAGCCCCCAAGTGAAAAGGGAGATTGAAAGAGGCTCCTATTTTTAGCCTATTCTTTGGGGTGCTAAAAGCCACTCTCTTTTTTGAAGTCCTATTTTCAGAGGGCTCTTCAGCCGCAGTGACGTTCTCCATCCACACCCACTTTACAACCACAGACCGACTTGTGGGGAGGGGGAGAAGGGGGGGCTTTGGTGGCTGGAAAATTAGCAAGCCTCTGGTTCCCCAAAGGGCTGGAAGCTGGTGTGATCTCTTCCCGTGCAGTTGGAGGCCCCTGGACCCGGGCAGGCAACTGCCACCTGCCTTCTGCCACCCATCAGTCCCGGGGGACCTGCCGAGCAGCAGCAGAGGGCCCCCAGACCCTTATCAGTCACCAGCTGGGTATGTGGAGCCGCTGCGGAGCTCAGCCAGCTGTCCAAGTGAGGCAAGCCGCTGATTAGGAGCCAAGCGAGGAGCCCGGGCGCTCCCTAGTGGTGCAGCCATAGCCTTCTCCGGAGCCCAGGATCAAGGCAAGAACAAAAATCCCTCACAGGATCTGTTGGATCCCTTAAGAGGAGGATCGCCAGCCCGCCCCGAAGCTCTCTTTTCTCGGCTCCCTTGCTCAGAAAACTCTACTGGACTGAGCTCGACACTGAAGTTTCAGCAACGCTGAGCTGCAACAGCTTCTGATCAAACCTCTTTTAACAATAATATTGAGAACTATAATTATGAAGTTCGAGAATGTAACCGGGAGTTGGGCAGCATATAAATGATAACTGCAATCAATAATGTTTTCATCATTAGGTAATAATACTTCGCATGGTTGTAAATAATATTTCAGATTGCTTCCTATGTAATAAATCATACTGTAATGCTTTAAATTTATATACATTTATATATACCCTATCACCCATCTCCTCCCACTTATGACTGTATGACTGTGACTTTGTTGCTGGTATCCTTACGATTTATATTGACTGTTTCCCTATGACTATCATTAAGTGTTGTACTTTATGATTCTTGATGAATGTATCTTTTCTTTTTAGTGTAAGCACCAAGACAAATTCTTTGTGTTGGCCAATAACATTCTATTCTGTTCTGTTCTGTTCTGTTTCTGTTCTATATGCCGCCCCACTCCCACAGACTCTGGGAGGTCAGAGCCTCCTCCTCCTCCTCCTGATCCTCGATACCTTTGGAAAGCAAATTATTCCTTCCTTCCCCAGCGCCAAAATCCCGTTTTTTAACTGGGAAAATCCCGAAACTTGTGGAATAAACACATCTACAGGCGCAGAAGGGCCAACTTTGCGCTACTTCCGCCCTCACTGCACCCTGGCCAATCAGAGTAGCCGGAGGGCTTAACGTGCGCCCAATCAAAGGCGAACGTAAAGGCAAACGCCTTCCCGCCCGAACGGCCCAATGGCGACGGCGTAGGGTGGAGCCTCCCCGAGAGGGGTGGGAGGGGGAAAGAGGCGGGGCCTCTCCGGGAGAAGCTCGGCTGGCCAATGGGCACGGGGGAGGGGCGTGGCCCCATTCCAGAGAGTTCCGAGCGGGGGCGGGGTGAGTATCGTGGGGTCCGTCCCGTCCCAGCTGGGGAGGATGGGAGGTGGAGTCCCGAAGGCGGGGGGGGGGGGGGGGGGGGGGGGGGGCGGCCGGGGGGCGGGCCGGGGGCGGGGGCGGCGCTGCCCGTGCCAGTCCCCGGTCGGCACCGCGCTTCCCTCGGGCGGGGATCCCTCGGGGGGACGCCGCCCGCCTTGCCGGGGGTTTGCCGGGGGGCTCCGGCCACGGGGCCGAGCGCAGGAGGGCCGCCGGAGCCCTCAGCCCCAGAGCGCCTGGCGGGGGGCTTCGGGCCACCGGGGCTTTCCCGGGCTGGGCAAGAGCGGCGGCCGGACCGGCTGGGCAAGAGCTGCGGTCGGACTGCCCGTCGCCCGACCGAGGCGTCGGATCTCGGGATCTTTGCGGCTCGGCCTCCGCGGGGAAAAAGCCTTGAATCCGATGGGTTTCCTGGCTTTGATGTGGGGGCTGAACTCCTGGAAAGCGCCGCGGCGAGCGGGCCTTTGATGTGGGGCACCTTCCCGGCTTCTGGCTCAGTGGGAGTGGGGGCCACCAGGAGATCAAAGGCAGCTGGGAGCGGAGTTGGTTCTGCTCACTCAGGAGGGTTTCCCAGCCTCTCCCATCCAGCCCCGGAGAAGCCTCAGGAGGTGGAGACTAGTGGAAAGGAGTGGAGGGGGGGGAGCTAACAACAGGTAGTCCTTGATTTACAAAACCACATTTTTTTTGTGCCAAAACTTCCGTTTACAGCTTTTATCATCACACTTATCTGGTGAATCACATGGCAATCGCACTTTTCTCCCCCCCCCCCATTGATTTTGTGGGTGGAAAGCTGGCTGGGAAAGTCACAAGTGGCAATCACATGACCCCGGGACCCTGCAACCGTCCTAAATACATGCCAGTTGCCAAGCATCTGAGTGGTGACCGTGGGGGATGCTGCAACGGTCATAAGTGTGAGGATCGGTCCACTCTTCACTGCTGTTTTTACTTTGAGCAGTTGCTAAACAAAAGGTCGTAAGTCGAGGACAACCTACAACCCAAGGCATTCAGTTCCTTTGGAAGGAGGCCGTTTCTTCCCCTCTCTTACTCACTCTGTAACCCATTATTATTTGCAAGAGGAGGCCAGGCGTACATGAGTAGGCTCTGCTCCTCTCCCCTGGGGGGCGTCATTCTTCCCCCCCCCCGCATGACGTCCCTCGGCAGGCAGATGAAGCTCCTGCATGTGACCTGTGACTCCTTGCCTGGTGCCTGGGCTTAGGTGCACCAGAGGGGGGTTAGCAAGGGCGGGGGGGCGGTGGGGCTGGCCTGAGATGAGACCCGAGGGCCCCAGGGCTCTGCAGCGGATGCGTGAGTAAGTGTGCGAGTGCCTGGCAGGTGCCTAGCGTCACTTGCGCTCACATGCCTGCCCGTCTAGTGCCAGCCTGCCAACGGCTGTGCATGGAGGTCTCCCAGCAGTTCCTTTGAGGTGGGGAGGCCGGATTCCACGGCATCAAAGAAGCGCGGCAGGAGTTTGCAGGGCCGGGTGCTTGTTTTGGCCCAGCTGCTTGGGCGAGGTGGCGTGAAGGAGTTCCCGGCTGCCGAAAGAGCTGACGGGGCAGGGCCGCTCTGTGGGTGGTGGCAGCGGTTGCGTCTCCTCCCCCCACCCCGCGCTTGGGTGCCTGACGGAGCCCACAAAGTTGCCACCGGGGAGATTTCTAGGTGAGAAACTGTCCGCTCAGCAACCTTGTGGATTTCCAGGGAATCGGCCGCTTTCAGGCCTCCGGGTCAGGCTCTCTAAGGAGACACAGGAGGACTCCGCAGAAGGTGGATCGTCACGTCGGGGCTCTGGAGGGAGGGAGCTGTGAGGTTGGCAGAGGCAGTTGTGGGGCACTTGGGCAGGAGGGTGGCAAGGCTGCCTGGGGACAGAAAGGAGAGGGGCTGCTTTGCTGAGTCCAGGGAGGCTTCTGACCGCTCCCAGAAACTCTTTGGGGACGCCACCCCTGCCTGCCCATCAGGGACCCAGGAAACAGGCTGTGGGGCTGGGGAGGGAGGGGGGCTGAGCCTGGTGGGGCCGAAGGAAGGAGGCAGCCTTCTGCTCCGCCGTGACTTTCCTTTGGGGCGACCGATCCCCTGGGCTTGCCGAGAAGGAGCCAAGGAAAGTAGGGCAGGCCGAGCCGGCTGGGCCGGTGTGCACCCATCTCCTCCTCCATCTGCCCTCCACGCCCTGCAAGGCTGAAAACTCACACACGCTCATCCTGTGGGGCAGGCCGGCTAATGAGCGCCTTGAGATGCTGACACAGCCCCACGCCCAGCTCCGGCTCCCTTGCCAGGCTATTAAGCTGGCCGCCATGGAGGCTGGGCGGAGGAGGGCCTGAGCGGCAGAGGCTCGGTTGCTGCTGCTGCTGCTGCTGCTGGAGAAAACCCTGCCGAGCCGCCTGGCTTCCGGGAGATTTTTAGGCTGCTTGTGTTCCTGTTTCCCCTCCCTCGGATTGGCCCCTTCCGTGAAACCTGCCAGCTGTCAGAGTCGGGTGGCGGCTGGTCTGTGGCAATGGGGCACAGAGTCTTGTGGGCCTCTGACTGATCGTCTCATTGGCTGGATCCGCTGGAGGCTGCCCCATACCAACAGCCTCCCCTCCCCCCCTTAGGGCCCCCTCCGGAGGAAAGATGGTGAAGGAAACGGGATACTACGACCTGCTGGGCGTCAAGCCCTGTGCCACGATGGACGAGATCAAGCGGGCGTACCGGCGCCTGGCGCTCAGATACCATCCGGACAAGAACCCCAGCGAGGGGGAGCGGGTAGGTGGGGAGAGCAAGGCGGGCACGACAAGGGGGGATTCTGCCAGCTCTGGGGTTGGTTTTAGCCTCCCTCTCCCTCCTTTCCCAGTTCAAACAGATCTCGCAGGCCTATGAGGTCCTCTCGGATCCCAGCAAGAGGTCCGTCTACGACCGAGGCGGGGAACGGGCCATGAAAGAGGGCGGCGCAGCCGGGCGGGGCGGCTTTGGGCCCCCAATGGACATCTTTGACTTGTTCTTTGGAGGAGGGGGCCGCACGCAGGGCCCCCGGGTGGAGAGGAGAGGTAGGCGAGCTTGGCCGGAGGGGAGGCTGTGCTGGGACTGCATGTAGGGCAGGTGGGCTGGGTCGGATCTTTCTTGGATGTGGGGGCTGGAAGGCAAATGATGAGCCTGATCTGGGAGGGGACCCCGATTTCCCTGCCTTCTCCCCATCCCTGTTGGTGCCCAGAAGGTGCAGGGGGGGTGCTTGGTTTCCTGGGAAACACCCCCCCTCCAGGTGTGCCCCGTTGTGTCCCGTGGGGCTCCGGACTCTCTTAAGGGAGGCCTGCTCTGGCTGGCTTCCCCCTTGCACACTCAGCCCAGAGGGAACCGAGGCTGCTGACGACAAGCCCCATCCTGCCCAAATCCCAGGGGCTCCGTCATCGCAGCCACCGCCTCCCCCCACCCCTCCGTCTTCCTCCTTCCTGAAAACAGCCCTTTGTCTCGGGGGTTCTCCCTCCGCAGGTAAAACGGCTGTCCACCTGCTGACCGTCACCCTGGAGGACCTGTACAACGGGGCCACCCGGAAGCTTTCCCTGCAGAAGAACGTCATCTGCAGGAGCTGTGGGGGTGAGTGGGGCCACGGGGCTCTCCCCCCGGGAGCAGGGATGGGGGGGAGTGAGGGGGCTCCGCCTGCCGTGTTGGGAGACTTGGGGAGCAGGACGGACCTGTTGCTGAGCCCCAAAGCTTCACCCGATACCCGACTGAGCCCATGGGCCAAGTTTGCACAACGCATCTTCAAGCTCTCTCGTCTTGGGCGTGTTCAGAGGCTCAAGAAGCCACAAAAATGCTCCGGAGCTGGAATTAGCCAAACGGAGCTGGCTCAGCGGGTGGGTTTTGGGCCCCAGCGGCTGGGCGCAGAGTGGGGCTTGGAGGGGTCCCCTTTCAGTCTGCTGTTTCTGAGCGGCATCGGCTGATTTTGGCAGGACGGTGAGGCCGGGTGGGGGTGGGGGGGTGGGTGTTTCTGCAGGATCACCAGGAGGCGGGCAACCAGACCGCTGATGGGGAAGACCCATCCTCAGGCAGGCAAGAGGGGGAGGGTTCCTGGGACGGAGAGCTTTGCTGTGGGGCAGGGTGAGCGACAGGCTCCTCCTGTGCTTCAGCCCCTCAGCAGAGACGGGGGGGGGGGGGGGAGGAGGGCCTTCCCCTGCTGGGCTGGAGAATCAAGTGGGGTTGAGAGAGGGGGGGAAGGGCTGGGCCCCTTTGCAGGGGTCCAGGGTGTGTGGCCCCCAGCGATGCCACCCTTGCGTCCTCCGACCGACCGCTCTGTCTTCGCAGGCCGTGGTGGCAGGGAGGGCCTTGACGTCCGATGTCCCAAGTGTCATGGGACTGGCATGGAGGTCATTGTCCACCAGCTGGGGCCCAACATGGTGCACCACATCCAGGCCATGTGCTCGCAGTGCCAGGGCCAAGGGGAATGGGTGCGGCCCCTCGACCGATGCCTCGCCTGCAACGGCCGGAAGGTCATCCGGGAGAAGAAGATTCTCAATGTCCACCTGGACAAAGGTGAGCCCTGCAGGGGGTGGGGGGAGGGCAGGGGGGGTTGAGCTTTGCTGGCTTCCTTTTCCCGGTTGCCCCTTTGCTGCAGCTCCCTTTCTGCCTCCTTGGGCCCCCTTCGCACCCCCAAGGATGTCGGTTCAGTTACAGAAGCCCGGCCCCAGATTCCTCAGTCCGTTGTAACCTTGGTTAGTTTTAATCTTCCGGCTGATTTAACTCATTAACTCAGGCAGACTCAGCCTGTTGCCAAGCAACGGACCCTCCCTGCCTTCCCTCCAATATATTGGGAGAGTCGCTGCCCCATGGATGGGCGAGGAGTTTACCCCACAGACTGGCTGCTCCTAGCCCACGGCTCTCGCCCCCCCTGCCCCCCCCCCCAGGCATGGCTGACCGGCAGAAGATCACCTTCCACCAGGAGGGGGACCAGGCCCCCGGATTTGAGCCCGGAGACATCGTGATCGTTCTGGACCAGAAGCCACACCCGGTCTTCCAGCGCAGCGGCAGTGACCTCATTGTCCGGCGGGAGGTGCCGCTGGTGGACGCCTTGTGTGGCTGCAAGCAGGTCATCCGGACCCTGGACAACCGGAGGCTCCTGGTCTCTTCGCGGCCCGGTGAGCAGCTGGGGGGGCCCTCTGGGCTTGCGAGGAGGGAGGGAGGGAGGGGCCGGCCCCCCTCGGAAGCCAAAGTGGGTCTCGCCGGTCCCTTTCCTGGGGGAGAGCCTGGGAGCCTTTGGGGTGGGGCTGCTGCCCGCCCTTCAACCCTGCTTGCTCTGCCCCACAGGCTGCGTGATCAAGCCGGGGGACATCCGGTGCATCCCAAACGAGGGGATGCCTGTCTACCGCAGCCCCGGCCAGAAGGGGAGGCTGGTCATCCACTTCGAGGTACGGAGGCCCTCGGCTCCCCCCAGCCGGTTCCTTTGGGGAAGTCTCGGTGAGGTTTTCTAACTCGCTAGTCTCACCCAGGGCCCCCCTCCCCCAACCTGCTTGCTCCAGACCCTGATCTGAAGGAGGGGTGGAGGAGGAGGAGAGCCAGAGCCACTTGGGGCCCCCATAGCTCCCCGTTCCTTCGTTTTCCAATTCCTGCTGCTTGTCCCGCTGGGAAGGAGCCTGACTTTCTCCCCCCCCCCCCCCCCCCCCAGCTCCAGCTCCCCACACTCCTGCCCTTCCTCCTCTGCTGCCCAGGTGAAATTCCCGGAGCCCGGCTGGCTGCCCCCCCACCAGCTGCGCCAGTTCCAGACCTTCTTCCCCCGACACGAAGAGGTGATGGCCACCGAGGACATGGAGGAGGTGGAGCTGCGGGAGTATTTCCCCCAGCCGGACTTCTCCAGCCGTCGCTTCCAGAGTGACATCTACCACGAAGGCGACTTTGAAGACCCTCTGCGCCACAACGTCCAGTGCCAGACCTCGTAGCCCCCCCCCGTGTGGCCTCACAGGGGGTGGGGGAAAGCCCAGGATGCCTTAAGAAGCACAACTGCCGGTGGATGTCCAGTCAGAGCAGTCAAGGGTGCAGACAGTCCCTCCTTTGGCCAAAGGTCCCCAACCCTCTGCAGGCTGGCTGCCTCTGAAAATCCCCGTTTAGCTTAGGGAGTCTTAGCTCCCCCGAGGATCCCGGCCTAGAAATCAACTTTAGAGCCTCAGCCGGACGTTTCCCCTTTGTGCCCAACTGCTCTGAGCCTGCCCTCATTTGCCAGCTTTGGACGATAATGCTGGTTTCTCTCTAGGAGACCCCGACTCCAAAGGGAAACAAAACACTCAGGCCCCCCGTCTGCTGCAAGGCAGCATCCAGGATTAGTCCTGACCTTGGCTTGTCCGTCTTCTATGGGCAAGGGGCCCCAGGGGCCGTGGGAACGCGTCCATCTCCCAGCTGATTCCTAGGCCTTTTCAAAATCTAGCCAGGATGGGGGTCTTGCAGACAAACCAAGTGGCAGCTGACAGGCGGGGAGCTGGACCTCGGCACGTCCTGGGAGCCCCAGCAAGGGAAGCCCCTCTGTTGACACCAGTGGGGGATCCCTTCATCTGCCGGTCTGCTGGTGGGTCGGTGGGCTCCCCTTTGCTTTTAAGTGCCTTCCCAGTTGTGCCATTCATCCTGGGTGCTGCCCCATCCTCTTTCCACCATTGCATTCGGAATAATAGCCGGCCTTTTTCAGGTAGCATAGTCAGTGTTAGGTGTTAGCAGCCGGGTGGGGGGGGGCTCTCTTGCCCTGAGCCCCCGTCTGGCATGTGGGGCCAGGCGAGACGAGAGCCGACCCTCCTTGGTTTCCAAACCCAGCAAAGCTTGGTGTCTGCTGAGGAACCTTCGAAATTCGTTCCCCACTTTTTGCTTTTCCTCTTTTTATTTTTTTCGCTTCTGCTCTTCTCTGCCTCCTGTCTGCAAATTGACTGGAAGAAACGTAAAGACGTTTTGAGCGTCTGTGGGAGTCGGACGAGGCCCCGGGTGGCTCTCCGGGCTCTGCAGAACTTAACTTGAATTTTGCTTCAAGGGAAACAAGGAGATTCTCTAGATCACTGTCTGCCTGGTTATTGATACTGTCCCTCCTCCTCCGCCTCATCTCCGCCCCCCCCCCCCCACTGCTTTGTTTGGAGTTTCGTGCAATGGGACCCACCGTCCCCTCGCTCGCTCGTAGCTTCCTCTGGATCAGTGTGCGAATGCAGCCCTGGATGCCGGTTGCAGCTTCTGAGCTGGATGGCCCACTTAGGGGTCACAATAAGCCGATTCCCCACAAGGTGGGATGGGTGCTGGGCCCAGCTGGCCCCTCCCCACAAACTCCCAGCTCTGCTTCTGATTGGGGACCAGGAGGCAGTCTGGGAAACGGGGGTGCTAATGGGGGTGCTGGGGCTGCAGAAGGGAGGCTCGCTCAGACGGGGGAGGATTTGCAGACATTCCACCAACCAAGCTTTGATTTGCCAAATTTTTATGAGGAGCTGGGGCTGCAGAAAGAAGCCTTTTTTTCAGCACACGGTTTCCGATTTCCAAACGGAGCTTAATTCTCTCTTTGAAAGGGCAGGAAAAGCAGAGCTTGGCTGCCAGATTGGGGGCCTTACGGGGAAAAGGGGTCGGGGGGATGATGCTGAGGCCTACGAGTCCAGTGCACGGAGTCTCCCTGGTCGGGGTGGCTTCGCCTCCTGACCGTCGTGGCCCTTGCAGAGGGTTCCACAGGGGTCCCCAGATCCCCGGGAACATTTGGGCCGGTGGGTGCAAGGAGAGGGAAGAGCGTGGGCTGCTGGGGACCCCACACCTTTTCCGTCCCAGAAGGGCCTGAGGCTTGCTTGTTTGCGTGCACCCTCTTTTCTCCAGGCACAAGAAACCCGGCGAAGAAGGCCCTTGCTTTGAGAAGAGAGGGTCCACGTTAGGGGCTCTACTACTCCCCAGCTTTTTTGAGGTATCCTCTCAGGGGTCCCTGTTGCCGGTTTTTGCTCCTCGCGAGACCAAAGCAAGTGGTGGTGGTGGGGAGTTTGACCTCTCCCCAAGCCTTGGACAAAACTTCATCCCAAGGCTTAGAAGGGTTGATGGAAAGCTGGGCGACAGTGAAGCCTGCCCCCTGGTGGCCACTGGGGGAAATCATTCCTGAAACAAAGATCTCTTCTAGGCAGCAAATTATGCCCCTGGTGGACTCTTTACAGAACTGCAAAGGGGAGATTCCTGGAACTCCCCATCCCCCTGGATTCAGAACAAAAATGACGGAACAAATCTACCCTGTTATTTTTTTCAAGGGAAAAAAATGGCTTCTTGTCATTTGGGAAGGGACGGAGCTCGCTTCATGTGCCCTGGGAGACCCTTGAGCTCTCTGATGTGGTGGACAGACGGGGCTCAAAGGCATCGGCCAATTGTGATCCCAAGCGGGCTGGCGTCAGCAGGTGCAGAGAGCTACAGGTGGCCAAGGGCACAGGAGTTCAGGGCTGTCCAGGAGCCTTGCGGATCATCCCTCAGCCTCCTGGAAAGGAGGTGGGCTGGACCCCCCCCAACTCCCCTCCCCCAATCGGTGCAGAGCTGGAGGAGGGACCACCAGTCTCTCTGGCCTCTGACCTGCCGGGCGCCGGGAGAGAGAGGGCCATGACAGGCTTTGTCTGAGGATGAAAGGTGCCCCTTTCAGAGTGAGGAAGGAGGAGGGGGGACGCTTTGTTCTCCTTCCTGGGAACCCGAGAGGGAAAGCGGAGCACAAGTTCACGCAAGCGAGGTTGCCTGGGATAACGCCAAAGGCTCTCAGCCCCAGAATGCAGGAGGGGTCCCTGGCTTTGCCATGGCAACGCAGGGGGGCTTGATGGAGCGCTTGCCTCTCCAAGGTTGGGCCGACCTGGCCGGGAGCAGCTGGAGCCGGGCAGGGCAGGCAGAGGGTCTCTGCAGCTGGCCTGGCAGAGTGGTGAAGGGGGCAAGTCTGCCTCCCCCTCGGGCCAAAGCCCCTGTGCCTCTGCTGGCCGGCTGGGTAGGGGGTGGCCACCTTGATTTAAAGCTGCCAGGGATTTCCGAGGCCTGGCACCCCCAATCCTGAAGCAGTGCAGGTCCAGAACCCTTTAGAAAGACCTCACCCTGGACTCCAGGGGCCCCAATTTCACCCTCCCCTCCCATAATGGGGACCCCCCCCCAAGGAACAGCAGATCCTTTTGGGTTCCCCCTCTGGAACCCTAAAAAAGTGGGATGGGGGGTCCAATGGGGTGGGAATGAATCAAAAGGGCTTCAGAGATGGTTTCCTAACCCCCCCCCCAAATTCCCCAGTTCCAGGAGAGACAAAGTGCCAGATGGTGAGGTCGAGAGGAGAGACTGGCAAGGCGAGGGGGGCACCAACTGGGCATGGAGAGTGGTGAGGCTAGGAAATGCCACCCGCATCATAGAAAGGACGGAGGCAGGAGAGCTGGAAAAAGCTTTAATGGAGGCTGGGGGGGGGGGAATGAAGGCATCTTCACAAATGTTACAGACTTCGCACTAAAAGGAAAGGGGAACGGGTGGGGGGGACAGATCTGCGCCAGCTCTTCGGTGGATCAGTGCAAGAAGACCTCTACTGCTGCTTTGGGGGTTCAGCACGAGGAGCAGCACACACCGGCCAGGAACAAAGAGGAGGGGGCGGCAGGGACACCTGAAGGGAAGCCCCCCTGCCCCACCCCAAAGGGGAGAGCAGGAAGAGGCTCCAGCTTGTAGGGGCCACGTCCTGACCCCCAAGCTTGACCCCGGATTCCACTGTTAAATTGCCCAAACAAGGCAGACCTCGGTATGCCTCCTCCAAAGGGGCAAAGGGGGGAGCGGGTCAGGGAGGGGGGGCTCTGAAGAGGAGGGGTTGCTTCAGCCCCCTCCCTCCAGCCAGGTAGAAGGACCATTCTGAAGGGTTTGCAGACAGTGCCACAGACAGAGAATAGGGGCCAGGCAGTGGGGAAGGCTGGCATTGGGCTGCAGGGCAGGGATGCTCCTGGGATGTCCGGTCTGCCCCCCCCCCCTCGTGTCTGGTGCTGGCCGGAGGCCTCTCACTCGCGGACGTAGATCCTCGTGCAGACGACGTCGTCAGCCTTCATAGTCTGAAAAGCAAAGGAGGAACTGAGGGTGAAGCAGGAGTGGCTCTTGCCCTCTTGCAGGCTGGGGAGCAAAGGGGCTGAAAAGGGGGAAGAAGGGGTGTGAGGGGATCCCCCCAGGCTGCCCCCCCACAAATCTGGACCTTGGGACATGGGAGAACTACAGTTTGGATTTTTTGCTCTTCCTGCCTTCCTCGGGAGGGAAAAGGGCTCTGTAGGGGGGGAGGCTTTCCCTGCAGCTCCCACCTCCTGTGCCCTCTGGGGGGAGGGGGTTTTGAGAAGGTGCAGCCGAGGTTTGGATGTTGCACTGTGTCTCGCAGAGCCCAATCCTGGCATAAGTCTGTACTTTAGGCCAACAAAAAAAGAGCGGCTGAGAAAGGAGGGGGGCGAGGTAGAACCACAGCACTGGCTGGGTCCCCCTTGCCAATCGAGAAGAAAGTGGGGTGGGGTCCTCACCAGAATGAGCTCCCCGTCGTTGGTCAGTTCCCGGGACCAGCTGGTTTGGGGCCCTTCTCCTTTCAGCAGCTTCTGCTCGCACACAATCTTGTTGTTGTTCTCCCACTTGGCCAAACTCTGGAAAGTCGGGAAAGAAAGCAAGTGCCCCCCTCTTGAGCAAAGGGGCCCGCTGAGGCTAACGAAGGCACACAGCCCCCTCCCCTCACACTCATTTGTCACCCGGCAGGTGGCTGGCAGGAGGAGGCGGCATCGATGCGCCAGGAGTTTCTTCCACTTTGCAGGGCAGCTCATCCATCAGTGGGGAGGAAGGGCTGGCCGAGAGGGAGGGGGCAGCCAGAGGGCAGAGGCTTTGAAAGGCCACAGGAGTCACCCCCCCCCGCATTGATGTCATTGTCTGCCCGGAGCCCAAGAAGGCCTGGGAGAGCAGAGATGCCTCTTCGTGGGTTGAGCTGCAGAAAGGATTGGGGAGGTGGGAGGAGGGCCAATGGGAGGGCATCTTCTCTCCCTCAACTTGGCCTTTTTGCAGGGCCAGCAGCTCCCCGCCTTTTGCTGCACCCGGTCCAACTGGGGAGACAGCTGGGCAGGGGCCATCCTTGGGGGAGGGGGACAATCACAAAAGCCAGCGGCCCCTTCGCAGGGAGGGGCAGCCTCTGTTCCTCACAACAGCCTCTGTGCAGCTGGAGCCCTGCATTGTCAAGGGAGGGGCCGCCTCACCCAGCAGAAAGGACCCCTCCCCTGGTCCAGGGACACCATCTCCCCCCAGCCACAGGCCTTCCTCCCACCTGTCCCTCACCTTGCAAGGCCTCCCGTCCACCGTCTGCTCCTCAAACTCCTCCCCGACCTCAAAACGGACTTCCGTGGTGCGCACTGTGGTGGAGGTCTTGATGTAGAAGGAGGGTCCCTCCTGCTTGATCTCCACTGCTGGTTTGGAGGCTGCAGCCACCGCGATCTTCCGAAGCATCACGTTGACCCCTGGAAGAAGACGGGGGGTGGGCGAGATGAGCCGGTCCCCGAGGGACCCTGGGCGAGACGTGGCCTCCTGGACTGAACTGGGGTGAAACCTGATCCCCCTCGGACCGAATCTGGGATCCCCAGTGAAGGTTGGAGCTGCTCCTCTGCCATGGATCCTGCCCACCCTGGATCCAGCTAGCCAGGAAGGGGAGCAGGGGACTTCTCCTCCAGGAGGGGTTTTTTTTGGGGGGGGGGGGCGTTGAACCTTTAGGACTTTGTTTGCTGGAGTCTGGAGCCCAGCTGACTTCCACCAATGCAGCCCTGGCTCGGGTTCAAGAGTGACTTTTTCCTCAGTGGCCCAGAAGAGGCCTGTGGCTGAGTCACCCTTTTCTCAAGTGCTTGCCAGTCACACCCGTTCAAATGGGGCTTCTTCACTCCTGTGTTTACAGCTGGGCCCAATTTGCAAGGGACACACCCAGCTCTCCAACTGTGGGGGCCCCCATTTTGTAATGCCCCCTCCTCCTCCCTCCTCCTCCCCCGCCCCCGTATGTGCACATTCCTGTGTGTCTTTGCAGGACAATATTTGCTGATGCTACAATGAACCTGCTCGTCTTTCTGATGCTTCTTACTTCATTGGTATCATTCTTTGACTTTTTGTTTTCTTTCTTAAAACGTGCAAATCACACACACAAATCACACACTCACACATTTGCAGATATGGGCCTTCAGCCAGGTTGAAGGAGCGGCATATGAGGCAATGACCGGCTTTAAGGAGAATTGGGGCTGAGGAGGGACATTGTCATGTTTCCGAAGAAACAGTCATCCAGAACTTGCACAACCTCAGTCGAGGGAAGCTGCGCCAACGGTGTTGTAGGAGCTAACAATTGTGCAAGAGGCAGAAGAGGCAGAGAGGATGTGGGGAAACTGTGGCACGAACTTCCAGGCAGCCTGGCTGAATTCCAGGAAGGTGTAAACCGGGGGGAGGGGGGGCTCCAACCTTGGCAACTTTAGACCTGTGGACTTCAACTCCCAGTATTCCCCAGCCAGCTAAGTCAGGCAGATTTTTCTCCTCTGCATTGGCTCCCACTGCTTTGTTTTGCTTGCTATTAAATCAGATTTTCCAAGGGGTCTGGATCCAATCAGCGTCGTAGCTGAAGCTTCCCTGCCTGTCCTGGGCAGGCAGTTTTCAACCCCGTCTGCTTTCTTTTTCCAATGGTGCTTATCCCACCCCATAACTGGAATGAGAGCCTCCCCCAATGAAGCAGAAAGTGGAGAGCAGCAGGGGCATGAAGGAGCCTCACCCTTTCGAAGCAGAGATGGGGCCAATCTTGTTTCAGTCCGTGTGGACAAATGTGTCCTGTGGCCCTTGGCTGGCCGGAGTCAGCTGGCTGCCACATTTCACTTAGGTGAGGACAAGATGCCATCCCAAGGCGTGAGCAAAAATGGCCGTCTTGTGAGGGAAGTGGCCAAAGAGGGAGAAAACGAAGAATATGTGTTTGGGGGGGGGAGTTTCGAGAAAGGGGGCTAGGACAACGTGGCAGGCTGGTGGGCCACTTAGAAAGCCTGCCATTCTGGGGGGGCCCTCACAACTTTCAGGGACATCTTGGTGGCATCAACCGTAGAGTAGGATTAGGCCCCCAAAGGCCTAGATGCTAGATTGGCCACTGAGATAGACTGCCTCTAGGGCTGGAGGATTCGCTTCACTCTTCTTCCCCCAAGCAGCTCCAGCCCAGACTTGCCTTTGTGCTTTCCGCCTCCTCAAGAGCAAGATGGCTCTTGATGCCCTTTTATCCCCTTTTCTCCAGGAATCTCCTCCCCAAAGAACTGGGCCACAGCCCTGGCTCCTAAGTGGCCCAGGTTCCTGCCAGTCCCTGAGCCCCGGACGCCTCCCCTCTTCCGCACAGATGCACAAACGCACATCTGAATTCCACTTCGGCCTCTCCTCCACCCTCCTCCAGGCATCAAATTATCCCCGTCTGGGAGGCAGGAGGCGGAATTATGGGGAAGAGGAAACCTGAGGATTTGATATTTATCCTGAACTATGCTTTCCCCAAGCTGGAAGGAATTTGCAAACCCGCCCACCCCTCAATCTCCTCCTGCTTTGAAAAGAGAAAAGGGGAGGGGGCAGGTCTGAGCTAGAAGAGCCAGGACCTCCCCCAGAAAGAAGACAGGCTTGAAAAGCAGCCCTTTCCCCCTAACTTTGCTAGCTTTAGGTTGATGGGTGGGTGGGCTCCAGCTTGCCTGGAAAAAGTGGAGGTTTTTTTTTTTCTTAGTTGAAGGTGGAGGAGGGAAGGCAAGAGGGTGGGGGAGGGGGTGGATTTTCCATCCTGGCTGCTCCCCTCAAGGGCCACGGAGGACTGTCTGGGTCAGGGGAGGACCGGGCAGAGCCGCTGTTTGGTGGCTGAATCATTGACCCGGGAGAACCCGAGCCTCCCCTCCCGCTTCGGCCTCCCCAGCGGGGCAAATCCCCCAGAACTGCTGCTGAAAAGAGAGCGCTGTTCTGCCTCGCGTCCTTTCTGCCTCTCTAATCCTGGGAATGAAAGGGGGAAAGACAGACAGACAGACGCGGTCTTGAAGGCTCACCTGGGGTGTCGTCCCCCCCCCCCCGATCTCTCCCAGGGAGGAAACGGCGCTGCTGAAGGGGACAGGCTGAGACGGGAGCAAGGGCTCGACTCCCCCCACCCCCGCTGTTTCTCGGGTTCCATCCTCCCGGGGGAGCGAAAGATGCTGGAGAAGCGGTCCTGGGAGGGAGGCGCCCCCAGAGCGCGGATCCCCATCTCCGGGGGTGATCGGAGCCTTTTCAGAAGGGTCCCGTTCCTGAGGTCCCTCCCGAAGCCCCCAGCCCGCCCTGAGCAGCCGACGGTCCCCCGACGGTCCCCGCCTTTTCCTGGCTCGCTGCCGCTCGAGGTCGCGGGAGTGGGGGTGGCTTCCCCGTCCCCTTCCTTCTCTGCGTGGTCCCCGGACCCCTTCAGCCCAACCCCCCAAGCGCAGCCTTGCGCTCTCCCCGGCCGGCCCCGTCGCTCACCCAGCGCCTTCAGCAGCTCCTCGAAGTTCTCCGAGCTGAGCATCTTCCAGCTGCCGGTGAAGTTGGCCATGGCGGCGGCGGCGGCGGCGGGGAGGTCCGGCGCGAGAGGAGCGCGAGCAAAGCTTCTTCGCCGCCGCTGCCGCTGGTGGCTCCGCCGGCGCGCCTCGCCTTAAGAGCCGCCCGCCCGCCCCTCCCCGCCCCTCCCCTCTCGAGGAGGAGGGGGCTCCCCCGCTCACCTGCGCGCTCCCCGAAAAGGCGCTTTCCAGCCCCGGGTCCTGAAGGGACGCCCCGTCCCACTTCATCGCGGGCAGCAAAAGCCACCTGGAGTCCGGCCTCGGAGCCTCCCTGGATGTGGGCTTCGCAAAGGGTCGGCATCTAGGCGACCCTGGGGGGTGGGGGTGGGGGGTGATGGGTTTGGGACAGGGACACCCCAGGCCGATGGAGAGTCCTGCTTGGCTCACCACTTGGCCGGGTTTTAGGTACCCTGGAAATTTTAAGTGGCTCCTTGCAGGGGTTCTTTGCTGGTTTTGAAAGGTTTGGGGGACACAGGCTGGTCTGGAGAGACTGGTTGCCTGGTGCCCCCCCCCCAAATTGTGTTTGTGTGTGTGTGTGCTCAACTCCTGAGTCTGAAGTCTCTCACTGGCCAGGCTGAATAGAGGCCTAAAAGCACTTCAAGCCAGCAAGAATTGAGGGAGTCCAAGTCAGCCACTTTTGTCTGGGAAAACATCCCATCTGGGATGAACTGCAGCCACAAACCAGCTCTGCCCTTCAAGGAGAATTAAAGTCCCCCCCCTCCATTCTGGCATCCCTTCCCTTTTAAAAAGGAAGAGAAAGAGGCAACCACATCTATCTATTCATCCCATGAACTCAGTTTATCCCCTGTGGCAGCCGGCTGGCTTCGTGGGTGAGTGATGCTCCCTGTGCATGCTTCCATGGGGGGATGGAGAAGGGGGGCAGCACTTCCCCCCAGGGGCCGCCCTGCTGGCTTCGCCAGAGGTGGCATTCAGGGGCCTCGGGAGCCAAGCCGGAGAGGAAGGCCCCAAGATCCCCTTCTAGCAGGTTTCCCATTACAGAAAGACCCAGAGCATCCATGGGGGGAGAGGGGAATGCGCTGCACTGCCAAGGTGGGGGGGAGGCATGGGGGAAAGCCCCCCCCTAAACAGAGGGCAGTTCAAAAATCCTGGCTTGGCAACCTGGCTTTTGTTTGCGGAAAGTTGGTGGGTTATAGGAGGAATTTTCCAAAAGAAAAAAGCCCACCTCCCTCCTGCTATGTGGGGAAGGAGCTGATCCTCTCCCCACTGAAACTCAATCCCTCCTGCTTAGGCCTTGTGAGGTAGCGCCCTGTGTAAAAAATGCTCCTGGTTGGGGTAGGAACCTTGTCCCAATCTTTCAGGGTGATCTCTGGAAAAACTCTCCCTTCCAGCCACTGATCAGGATCTTTTGAGAATGGAGGGAGTGCTCCCCCATTGGGGGGAGGGACACAGCTGCTTTCCAGGCAGCCCCTCCCACTTGTTGGTGCCTGGACCCCTTCCAGGATCAGGATAGCAAAGGCAGCTCTGGAGATAGATGAGGGTTCAAAACAAACTCTGCTGCAGGCAAGGTCCAACCTGCCCATCATCCACCCATCTGCAGGCACCAGCCTTGGGACAAGGGAGATCCCCCCCCCAGTGCAGGAGGGAGGGTTAGTTCCCCCAGGCAATTGTTCCAGGAAAGCAACATGGGAACTGCCCCAGCCCCCTCGGGCTTCCTCTAGGGAGGCTCAGCCCAGCCACCATCCAGGGAGGGGGTGTAGAACCCCCCCCCTTTTCAATGTTGGAAAGCCAGACCACCCAGGAATTGTGCAGAGCAACTGATCAGCACTCTTGGGCTAGTCCGTTTTTCAGGAAAGGCTCCTGGGTCATAAACCTCAGCCCTGGAGGCCTTGCAGTCCCAAACCCCCAGGGCCCCCCCCCCCGGGGCAGGAAGGCCGAGCAAGGCAGGGCAGAGAGGAAAAGGGGAGAGTGGAGGCAGAGAACCAGCCTTGGGCAGGGCCGGTCAAGCACTCCTGTTCTCTTTGGGCTGCGGCCAACATTTGTGCAGTTGGGAAGGAGCGGCCTGGCGCTGCTGAGGGCCCCTCGCTGGGCCCTGCAGGGCTTATCCTGCCCCCAAAAAAGGTTTGGGAATGAAGACCACATGGGGTCCCTCCCTTGTCTTCCAGCCCAGCCCCAAATCCTGCCTGGCCTGATCCCCCTGCTTAGTCCTTTCAGTGGGTTTTCTCTCCCCCCCCCACCCTGTGTGTCTGTGTCTCTCTGTGTGTGTGTGTATGCTTTGGCAAGAGAAGCAAGGAAGAGCCTGAAGACATCTCCTCTCTGTTTGCTTAGCGCTCCCCCTCCCAAGTAACATGCCATGCATGATTGAGCAACCTGGCGCGTGAGCGGGCACACACACACACACTGTGTAATGGAGGCATTAAACGATTACTCTCACCCACTTGACAGCCTAGTTGTACTTTTCAGTCAGATCCTTTATGAGGGGGAGGCTGTGCCACTCTTCAAAAGACCCTCTACTTGCTGGCACGTTTGTCCGCTCGGTGCCCTTTGTTGGACCCAAGGCCTGGCCAGGTCAACTGGACGACCTGGAGAGCCTGTGCCAGCTCTATGGTCAGCTTCCCCTCCCCTCCCCCCAGCTCTGAGGGATGCCAACAAGACCTGGGGGGGGACATTTTCTGGCCCCTGGAGGAGAGAAGCTGGAAGGTCCCGTCCCTGTGCCTTGACCGGGCCCTTCCGAAGTCAGGACGGAGCCTCCAGCTTCGGTTCTGCTTCCATTAAAAGAGCCATGCCAGGCTGCAGGGGTTTGGCCCGGACTTGACCCAATGGTCGTCTAGACAAAACGCAATTCTGCCCAGAGGCTGAAGATTTCCTGGGTAGCCCCTGGACCAACCAGCGGCTGCTTTTCCTGAGGTTTGCTGCAAGCGGAATCGCTCCAGAAACAGGGGGTAGGGAAGGTCCCTCAGCACAGCAAACCCCTCGTCCCCAGCAGAGCCCGGCCAAAACCAAACCCACCGAAGAAGGAGGTGACGTTTGTCTCACGCAAAGATTCCCCAGGGCTGCCCCACTCTGGAGGGGTAGGAAGCAAGCGGCGCCCAAGACACAAAGCTGGGGAGGGGAGCCAAAAGCTGCAGGGCGCATGCGGGCCAGGCTGCCTTTTTCCCAGCAAAACTTCCAGGGTCTGAAATGTGGAGATGATTAGATGATCAGAATCTGGACCTAATTGGCTCCAGGCAGAAATCCGGCCGCCTGTGAAACACCAGAGGGAGGCTTGGGTGGCGGGAGGGGCAGAGGGGGCCGCAGTGGCTTCGGTTCAAAACCAGCTTCCCCACCAGACACATCCGAAGAGGGAAATCTGGCCGGTTCCCCAGTTTGCTTCCCGCGTGCTGATGGAAAACCCCGTCTGGGCCGGCCGCTTCCTGACCAAGCAACCGTCTGAGGCCGGGGAAGTCACACCCGGCTGGCCCCGCTTTGCAGAAAAGAGGCCCCTGTTGTGAGGAGGGCCACAAGGCTCTGATTTCTATGGGGCACAAGATATGGGACAGGCCGAAAAGGAGACAAGGACACAGACGCCAAATTGGATTGTAGGCAGCGTCCCCTGTTGAGTTGTAACCCTGAGCAACCTCCCAAATGCCTCCCCTCCCCCTCGCAACGTACAATTCTTTCACCCAAATTCTGCCACTGTTGAGAACGGAGAAGACACCTTGGCAGAGATTAGGCCAGGCCCTCCATTGGGCAGGCAAGGAGGGTGGGAACATTGAAGAAGTAGGAGATAGTAACGTTTGGAAGCCGCTGAGGCAGACCCCCTCCTGTTGATTCACTCAAGTATAAGAAGGGGGCACGAAGGGGAGCACAATCAGGCATGCAAGCCCTAGAGATAGGCCAGACCAGGAAGTCAAAGCCACAGGAAAGTCGAAACTGGTTGCTGGGAATCGGGTGGCACATAAAGTTAATAAATTATGATTTATATGTTATTGATTAGCTATACTGACTGACTTTGGCAAGACCGGTCGGCTGTACCCCCTTCTCCTTTTGGTATGCTTTGGGGACATACAGCCCCCCTGCGTCTCCCCCAACAGCCACTTGTTGTCTGAGCGCTGGCTGGGAGGGAAAGGTTGTGGGCAGCTGGCAGCAGAGAGGGCCAGAGCTGCTTCGCCCAGCATTTTCCCCTTCCTTTCCTCTCCTGTTCCCAGCCTTCTCCCTGCCTGCCCTTTCCAACCTCCTGGAAGCCCAGCCAAGCCAGAGAGAGCAGGAGTCCTGCTGCTGCAGGGTGGGAGGACGAGGGAGCCGGCCGGCCAAGAGCCACGAGGGGCAGGAAGGAGACGTCACTCTCTCTTCCTCTCCAGGTGGGCTGGCAGGAGAGGCTGCCCCTCTGGAACAGCTGCTGCGGGGTGGGGGCGGCAGGGCAGGGGGCCAGTCCCTCCTGCGAAGGAGCAGCCGTGGCAAGAGGCTGAACGGGACCTCGCCAGGCCCTCGGATGCCTGCCAGATGAGGCCAGGTGACCCACAAGAGTGTCTGCTGCCTCCCAGACCTTGGGCCAGGACGGTGGTCAGCCCTGAGCCTCGGGGTTCTGGCAAGCACATCAGAAAGCGGATGCCCAGAGCGAGGCTGGGCTTGTCAGCAGAGCAAGTTCTCCTCTGATGGGTGAAGCAAAGAACTAAACGGCTCCTTTGTTCTGGCCAAGTGAGGGCTTGTTGACAATAAACCACCATTTTAGCTTCTCCTGATGTGGGCCTGTCCAGAGAACCAGACTCACTCTTTGCTGCTCCCCGTTTGCCGAGAAGCCCCCAAGAAGCCCCCTTACCTGGGGAGCCTGGAGAATTCCTGCCACGTGTCTCCCCCCCACTCCCACCATTGCCACGCTCTTGTCCCACTGCAGGAGCCCGCTGCCCATTTTGGGGATGTCTAGATGGAGCCCCAGCCGCTCTTCAGTAAGGGGGTTAAGTTACTCTCTGCTGCTATGGTAAAATTACAGCCCGGCTCTTTCTTCAAAGTCTCAAACGCTGAGAGATAAAAGCCCTCGTAAGCCTTTTGCAGGGGAGGCAGGGGCAGGTGGGAACCAATCCAGCCCCCCTTTTTCCCATGCCAAGCCCCAGGTGGAGATGGAGTGCCTACAGGATGCCCAAGCCCCCCCCCCCCATGGCAGAGGCTGGATGGCAGCCAAGGAAGAAGGGGGGAAGCCATGGGGAGTGACTCACGGGTGTGTGTGTGGGGAGGGGGCAGTGAATCCCTCCTGGATATTCCTTAGTTTACCCAGCATTGGGTGAGACGGAACACCCCCCCATCCCCCACTTGGCTCCGGTCTCATCTGGGGGCTGGGCAGCCTGAGTCACCTGGAGATGGCCCTGCACGCAAACCCAGCATTAATTTTCCACCTCCCCAACCCACCATAAAGGGAGCCCCCTTCCCTAATCTCCCCCGGCCAGATAAAGCCTCCTGGGGAAGGAGAAGAAAAGGCTCCATATCCAAAGCTCTCCGGTTTCCGAGCCGGGTGAATTTTCTCATCTTAATGTGATTATGGCAAAGGATTTTTTCTCAGGCTCTGCGAGGAGGAGGTGGCAGCACCGGAGTTCAGCCGGCAGCCACAGACCCTTCCAATTAGGGGGAAGGAATGTGGGCCCCTTCCTTGCCCTGAAGGGCCGCCCCCGTGGCTGCCTGCCCTCCTGTTGCCCCCCTCAGCAGAGCCCACTCAGCCGATCAGGGTTCAGGCTCAGCCCGGTTGGGGGGGGGGTGACTTCATCGCTGCCCGAATGGGATCCGGTTGCCCATTGTGGAGACAGCAGATTAAGGCAGCAGCTTTCTCTGGTCCTAGAAAGATCCCCGGGGGAGGGGGGCTCGGAAAGTTAAGATCGAGAGGTTCCAGAAAGAGCAAGTCCACGGCAATGAAACACCCAGCTCAGGAGCAGTCTACCCCCGGCAAGAGCTACAAATCCAGGAAATTAGTCAGTGCTTAGTCAGCTGGCTAAGCCGCCCTTGGCTTAACCAAGGTTTACTGACTAAGCAATCCTGGATAGCTTCCCCCAAGGCTGAAGGAGCAACATCTCTGGGTCTCCATCTGTCAGCGAGGGGGCCGGGCTGCCATCTGGAGGCAAGGGGGGGGGGCTTCCTGGCTCTGATTGACAGGGACAGAACAGGTTTTAATGACTGGCCAGCTATATAACCTGAAGGGGAAACTTCTGGTCTAATTGTTTCCAAATTGAAGACAGACATAAAATACGTGTAGAGCAGCACCCTTTGTGGGTCCTTTCAATGTGTCTCTGCCCCCCTCCTGCAAAGGGGCTCCCCCTCCCTCACAAGACATTCCTGCTTTATTGTCGGATGATGGATGGATTTTAAGGCAGGGTGCGAAGTGTTCAGTTACACAAAGAGGCTGCCTCCCGTCTCCAGTTTCTTCCTTGCCTCTTTCCGGAATTAAAGAGAACAGTTGTCCCCAACCTGGCCTGGCCAGATGTGTTTGGCAACCTCTCCCATCAGGGAGGCTGGAGCGGTTGCAGCTCTTTACATGCCCAGGAACCAGTGGCCACTTCCCTCTGGAGGGCAGGCAGCGCCCAGGAGCCCAAACTTCGGGAGCCACTTTGCCAGCTGGGCAGAGGAAAGGCTGGCCCAGAATTTGCCAAGGTTGTGGGGGGGGGGGGAGAGAGAGACCCTTTGTAAATTCCGGGTTCACATCCCCCCCCCTTGTCCTTTGCTCCACTCTCGGAGAGGGGAGGTTAAAGAAACAGTCGGTGGGATAAATAATTAAAAAAGCAGGAGGTTGGGAAGAGAGGAAAGGGGAGGGGGGGCTGGAGGGCAAAGGGGGAAAGAGAAAGAGACCAAGTGTGAGATTCCCACCTGGTATTAATTTTTAGACTCACATCTCTCAGCTTATCTCCATAAACACTCAGCCTCTCTGGGTAATTACAGGGTCTCTGCAGCTCAGCCAGGGAGCCGAGTGGCAGTTGCTGGGTGGTCTTTCCCCCCCCTCTGAGGTGAAGGCAGGTTCCCGCAGGGCTGGGCAGGCAGGCAGGCACCCGCCCTGGGACTGGCTCAAAGCCACCCGGTCACTCTTCAGAGCTGAAGGGCCTCCTTACGGTCAACGGTCCAGGCAGAGTCCAGCCGAGCTGTGGCAAAAGCAGCCACTGGAGAAGCCGCCTTCACACATGCCAGGGCCCTGGGGAAGGTGCAGACCCCAACCTACCTGGGAGCCTCCAAAGCCTGTGGTGAACACCAGTCCTGCAGGGGAGGGCAGTGGATTTTACCCTCTCCCCTCCTGGCTTCGAGGCCAAGGGCTCCCTGAGTGAGCTCACCGTCCAAAGGGCTGAAGGTGCCCTGACACAGCCCAGCCCACCTGTGGGGCTCCCATTTGCAGCTGTCCTGCGAATGGCCCAGGGGACTCGGGGTGAGCCCCAAAGAGCAGTCCTGGAAGGGTGGCGCTTCCACCCGGCTGGGTTCTTTGGAGGGGCAGGACTGGCAGGGGCCTCCGATGGGCTCCTGGATCTGGCTGATAAGCGGAGCCTGGCTCAGCCCAGCCCGGGAAGGAACAAGCTGGGCTGAGCTCCCGCCAGTCAAGCCGGGCTGTGGGGACAATGCCCGGGAAACGGCTTGGCTGGAGTGGTGGGTGGCTCGGCCTGTCAAGAACGGAGGATCCCAGGCTCCAGAGAAGAGGAGCAGAGCCCCCCCACGATCTCACCCTGGTCAGAGGCAGTCTGGATGAGGCCCAATCCAGAAGAGCAAGGCTGGGGATGATGGTCCAAGGCAGAGACAGATGGGATTGATCCAAGGGGATCAGGCATCCGGGGAAGGGGCTGAGGTGATGTGGCCCCTTCCGGGGGTGTTTGCTTCCCCCTCTTGCAACACCCCCCCCCCAGATGGGCAAGGGGATGGGGCACCTTTGCTCTAAAAGGATTCCCTCCCTTGCAAATCAAATGAGCCCCCGCCAGAGTACCGCAGGAGAGCGGGAGGGGTGGAGGGAGGGGAGAAGGGGGCTTCCGGCCTTTGTCTGCTCCTCCAGCAAGTCATAACTTGTGCTCCTCAGACTCTTTACTCACTTATCCAACAACTTCCTGAATTCCTGGGAATGAAGTTATTCCTTCCAGTTTTCTTTCAGGAGCCGAAAGGAAGGCGCTGGCCTGGGAGGTGGGGGGTGGGTGTCGCTTGGGGGGGGGTGCAACTGGTTGGCATACGCCAGAGAGGGGTATCGGTCCCACAATCCCGGATGAGCCCTGGAAGGGGAGTGGGAGCTCCCAGCACTTCTCCTGACCCCGTTTGCTGGTCTTGACCCTGCCTGACCCCTCAGCCCAGCCTGCCAGAGGTTCTTTTCAATCACTCTTTACTAGAGTCGTTAGCCAAGATAAAGGCCCCTTTTTGAATGCCTGCGATCCCCTTAGCCTGTTAATTCACCCGAGCCCAGCCAGTCCATGTGGGGTTCGGTTCTCAGAGGGGGCTGGCCGGCCGGCCGCCTGCTTTGGCCCCGGGGCCCAGAGGTTCTCCTCCTCCTCGTTCTTACAAAGCTGCCTTGGAGAAGAAAAGCTTGCGGGTTGGAAACGGGCGGCCAGAAGACTCGCCCCATCCCCCACCAGTTATTTGTGGGAATAAGGAAAGAGATGTGCCAATTAATACCTCAGAGGGCTGTTCGTTAATTTTTGGAACGTGGAGAGTGGAGCTAAAGCTAACAAAGGGCTGCCCTCATGTTATCATACCGTTATAAACTGCTGACTGTTATGAACATTAACTCTGGCCAAGAGAGACGCCCTCCTCCTTCAGCCTGGATCTGGGGGGGGGGGCGGCTGCATCTAAGCACATCCCTAATTGCTGACATGAGGACTTTTGTGGGGGGTGGGGGGGAGGAGGCCCATGGTGCTCTAGCAAAGAAAGGGGGAGAGGAGAGCAAAGCAAAGGAGGGGGCCACCCACAAAGCGCTCTGGATGGGCCCCAGGCGAGCAATCCATCACACCAGCAACGTTCAAAGCTTTGTCTGCACAGCAAGCCCCCCCCCCATCGCTCACCTCCCCTTCCTCACTTGGCAGCCTCAAAGAAAGCTGAGCTTCCCCCCCCTTTTAGATCCACTATGGTCTCCTGCTGAGAGCTGTCAGACCTTCAGCACCCCCCACCCCATGGGGGTAAGCAGGTGCTGCAGGGGATCCCTGGGCCAGAAATAGGGGTCTCTGCCCTGCCGCTCAAAAGCAGCAGGAAGCAGCTCCCTGCAGGCCTCAAACTGCATGAAGCAGAAGGAAAGGCTCTGGGGCACTGGCAGGCGAAGGGATCCCCTTTTTAAGAAGCCCCCTCTTGTCTTTTGCAGATGCAAGAGGTTGTTGCTCATATTCAGCCAAACCACCTGGTGCAGGCAGCCTGCTTTCCCGGCACCCTCTTTCCACTGGGGCTGTGGCCAAGAGGAACAGCAGCTTCCATCAATTGGAATATGATCATCAGGAACAAACTCCCCCTCCCCCCACAGCCCAAGGGGGTGCCCAAAGGTCAGCTGACCGGGGTGTTTCCGCCAAGGAGCTCAGACCAGACAAGTCAGCTTTCCCCGAGGAGCCACCTGAGGGATACAGGCAGGTGAAGCTTTTTGTTTGAGGGCAGGCATTTTTTAATTGAATAAAACCCTGTTACATCCCACACACCAGGCGCATGAGTTATGCTACTTCTACTGCTGCACCCATCCACCCCCCCCCCCCCCCCACCCAACAATCCAAGCCATAAAAACCAGGCACCTCTCCTGTTCTGATACAGACGATGTGCCAAGATCGGAAAGCGTGCTCTGGTGATTAAAAGTCCCCAGCGCCTCTTGGAGGACCAAATCCTGCCACTGGAGGAGAAGTGGGAGACCAGAAGGGCCTCCTTGCCCTCACGGGGCCCAATGCAGCTCCCAGGCTGCTGCTGAAGGGAGCAGTCCCGAGTGGTCCTTGCAGCTGGGGTGCCCCCAACCTTCAGAAGAGGGGAGCAACTCCCGGCTTCACTTTCCCGATGCCTTTTAATAAGGCAGGCTCAGCCGGCTGGAGGTCCCAAGGCTCCATTAAAGCGCCAGCCTTCAGCACCAAGGAGGTTGGCGTTCGGAGGACTGCGCCCAACAATCCCACCGGTTGAGGAAACCCTCCGTGGTTGTGGCCCCACTCCTGCTCCCTCCCCCATCCCTGGGGAGGCATCAGCACCCCTCAAGCGCTGGCAGGCAGGCCTTCCTCCCCACCCCCAGGGCAAGATCGGCTCCAAGAAGCCTGCAAGGAACACACCAATGTGGGCCTCAGCTGGAGACAATGTAATGGACTCGTCCTTCTCACCCCCCCCACCCCTCAGGTCAGCTACGCCTTCTTCCCCTCCTCTGCCCCTCCCTCCAAAAGCTTCTGCAGCATCTGCAGCTCTCGCTCCATCAAGTCCAGGCCAGCTGGCTCTTGGCCAAGGGCCGTCACGTGGTGCCCGGTGGTCCGTCCTGGAGGGGGGAGGTGGCCAAGTGCCTCTCCCACTCCACCTCAATCACCTTGTACAGCTCCATGGTGGCCCTGGCATCTTCGACCGACGAGTGTCCGTTGTGACCAACCTGGAGGGAGGGGGGGAAGGGAAAGGAAGTCTGAAGGCGAGTGTCATTCTACGTCCTGCTGCAGACTTGTTCCCTGGCTACAGGGGCACCCATTCTCTCCCCCATCCTCCCTGCAGGACGCACCCTAACGCAGCCCCTGGTCTTAAGAGAACCACCCTCCCAAATGAGCAGCTGGGCTCAGCACCTGGGCAGGTGTGCCCGGCACCTGTTACCTGAATGTCTCGATGCAGGAGCTGCTTGGTGAGTCGCTTCAGGGAGGCTGACTCATTCTCGGGAAAGCCAGCCTTCCGATTGAGCAGGGGGATTTTTGAAGTGTCCCTGGTCAAGGATTTGGGGTGGAAATATTTGAGGGCTTTGAAGTCATTGTGGATTGCGTGCCCAATGACAATGTTCCCCGAGAGAAGCTTAAGAATCTGGAAAGGAAGCAGAGGAGGAAGCTTGTTCAGCCCCTGAATGCACCCATGGCCTCCTAGACAAGACAAGAGGAGATGATGCTAATGCCCAAACCAGAAGACGCCCCTATATGGGCACCGAGAGAGGGGGGGACTAAAAAAGAGGGTGAAGAGGCTGTGCTATCTCACCTCTTTCTGGGCTAACTTGAAGGGGACGGCGTCTCTCATGTGGTGCTGCCTAATGCCACTCCACCGAGTCCGGTAATTGGTGATGGGGCTCAGGGGACGGATGTACTTATCGTACATCACGTCGCCATAGTAGCCAACCACGCTACATCGAGCCAGGTCACTATTGCGCCCGCCAGGCCCGGTGCCCACCATCTCACAGTCAATGGCCACCATTTTGCTAGGCTTGGCTAGCACCGGCGCATCGGGGAGGCCACTCTTGAATTCATTCAACAGGCTGATTCGGGAAACATCCCCCCGGCTGCAGAGGGTCCCATTGGATTTCCCAGCAACGCTCCCAGTTTTCCTTGAGGCCGCAGCAGCTGCCGAGGAGCTGGAAGTCCGGGATGCGGGATCCACAGCGCCTGAATCGGAGCTCTCCTTGGGCAGCATTTTGAGTCGGCAAGGGGGCCCCTCCGCCGGTAAGCCTTTGCTGCCCTCTTTCGCCTCCACTCTCTGCTTCTTCTTGGCCCTGTCGGGTCCCGCGGAGCAGCCGAGCGAGGCATCCCGCCTGGGCATGGGCGGCTGGGAAGGCAGCTGCTTCTGCTTCAGGAAGCCCTTCCGCTCCAAGAACTGCCGGCGTTTGATGAAGCGCTGGTGCTTCTTGTTGCCCCCGGAGCTCTTCTGGGCCGGCTGGGGGAGCACCGCGTCCAGGTTGAGCAGGATATCCGACATGGTGCCCAGCGGAGGCACCGGATCAGCAAGGACAGAAGCAGGCGGTTGGCTCTCTAGAGGGCTCCGGCTGCAGGAGGAGACGGGCAGGTCGGCATGGCTGCCCTGCAAGAGACGGACGGACGGAGGGGAGCAGGAGTGAATCCCCGGGAGCCCCCCTCGCCCCTTCCTCGCCCCTAGGAAGGAGACCCCGGGAGAGGAGAGAGTTTTGGGGGGGCACTCAGCCCCTCGGCCTCCCGCTCGACCCCTCCCCCCGGGCACCTGAGCGGCTCCGTCCAGGCTGCGAGGCCGGGGGGCGACTGGGGCGTGGCTGGCCGGCCAGGCTTCCTCCTCCTCCTCCCGCGCCCAGGAGGCGCCCCCGCCCGGCAGGCCCGGCTTTGTGACCGCGGCGGGGCTCCGGCGGCATCACAGCGGCCCCGCCGGCCGCGTCACGGGCGCCTCCGAGCCCCCCACCTCGCCCCGCCAAGGGGACCGCACGCCCACCTGGCCCTGCCGCCACGGCACCGCGCCGCCGACCCGGATGCGGAAGCGCCGCCCGGCGGGGATACTTCCGGTAACACCGGAAGTCGTTTCGCCGGCTTTTCCCGAAACTTGGAAACCGACGCCGCTCGGCCGCAGCCTCGCCCGGCCCGGAGGGGGAGCTCGGCGGGGGAGGGAGGGATTTGCAGGCCGACCGACCGACGGGCAGAGGCTCCCTCCGTCCGAACCCGGAAGCGCGCCTCGGGCCGTGGGCGGGGAGGTCGGACGGTGGCCGGCCGTGGCCAAACTTGCCCGCCATGCGCGGCTTCGCCCTGGAGCAGCAGAAGCGCCTGGCCGCCAACCTGGTCCGCGTCCTCGCGCTCTACCGGCCGTTGACCGACGCCTACGTCATCGTAAGCCCCGCCCGCCCCCGCCCCCGCCCTCCCGGGGCCGGTGGTCTCCGCTGAGCCGCCCCCGCCCCTCTCCCCCTCTCTCTCTCCCGGCAGGAGTTCTTCAGCGACGACCTCTGGGGGCGCCTCCCCCGCGGCTGGCAGGCGGCGCTGGGCGAGCTCTCCCCGCCGGAGGTGGCGGCGCTGCTGCTGCGGAGGGGCCGCCCGGGCGAGCTGTGGCCGCTCTCGCTGCTGGCCTTCCGCGCCGCCGCCCACGCCCTGCCCTTCCCCCGCCGCCCCGCCGCCGCCCGCGAGCCCCCGCTGCCGCCCCGCTTCCGCAGGCACCTGCGGCCCAAGAAGCAGCACGAGGTCCGGCGGCTGGCGCAGGTGCGGGACGGGACGCGGGGGGGCGGGGGGGGGGGGGGCTGGTCCGAAGAAGCCCCCGGCCCTGACCGCCCTCTGCCCGGCAGGTGCTGAAGCGGCTGAGCGAGCTGACCGGGTGCCGCCGGGTGGTGGACGTGGGCGCCGGGCAGGTGAGCCGCGGGGGCGGGGGTGGCTGTGGGTCCCCCTGCCCTGGTTGGCCGTGGGCGCCTCCTCGGCATCTGCCTCTCCTCCCGCAGGGCCACCTCGCCCGCTTCCTGGCCTTCGGGCTGCGGCTCTCGGTCACGGCCGTGGAGGGAGACGCCCGGCTGGTGGCTCAGGCTGCCAAGTTTGACCGGGCGCTGGCTCTGGAGCTGGAGAAAGAGCAGGCCAGGCGGCAGGTGAGCGGGGCGGAAGGGAGGTAACTCCTGAGCTTGCCCAGGCTGCGACTTTCCTGACTGCGGCCCTCTGTCTTGCAGGCTCCAGACACCCCCCGTGTCCAGGGGCCGAGCCACGTGGTGGGCTGGGTCAGTCCGGGCGCTCCGTGGCCGGAGTTCGTGGAGCTGCTACGCTCGGGGAAGGCTGCAGGAGATGGGAGTTCAGCCTCTGGCCGCCCACCCGCCGAGCCTTGTGAGCCGAGGGAAACTGAGGCTAGAAAGGGAGGTGCAGACCGTGGGGGGGATGGGCCAGAGTCCCTGGAGCAGAACCCATCAACTCACCTGCAAGCACAGGAACCCCAGGGGGCGCTTTTGCTCACTGGCCTGCATGCCTGTGGGGACCTCAGTGCGACCCTCCTCCGGCTCTTTGTGGCCTGTCCTGACATTGTGGGCATCACTTCGGTGTCCTGCTGCTACATGAAGCTGAGCACCGGAGAGGACGCCCAGCCCGGCTACCCCCTGAGCGACTGGGTGGCTGGTCTGCCCGGCCACCGGCTCTCCTACAAGGCCCGGGAAGGGGCCTGCCATGCCATGGAGGACTACATTCTGCGGCTGGAGCACGACAGTCCTTCGCTGAAGACGCACTGCTACCGGGCCAGGCTGGAGACCCTGATCCGGGCCATCGATCCCACCAAGAAACGCCTTGCGGTACAGGCCATTCCCAAGACCCACAAGATGACTTTTGAGCAGTAAGCGAGCCCAACCTCTTTCTGGGAGCTGCGGGGGCACCTTCCCCAGCTGGTGGGATTGGTACCACCCCTCTCACCGACACCTGCCTGCCCCCAAGAGCTCCGTTCAGAACAGAAAGTGCAGCCTTTCCTTCCCGGGCAGGTATGCTCGCCGGGGACTGGAGCGTGTTGGGATGAGCCCCAGTGGGCCCCTGGAGCCAGCGTCTCCGGCTCAGCAGCGGCGGGTGGTGGTCTTCTTCAGCCTTGCTCTCCTGCTGGCCCCCTTGGTGGAGACCCTTATTCTCCTTGATCGGATGATTTACCTGCAGGAGCAAGGTAAGCTGCGCCTGGGGTCTCGGCATCCAATAGCGCCTCCTTGCCTCAGTGCAGGCAGCACTTTGGAGCAGAGAGGGCATGGTGCAGACCCCCAAGCCAGGGCTGCTGCTGGTGGTTCCGTCTTTTCTGATTCCACCGCTTGCTTTTGAGGGTCTGGGGGGAGCTGTGCCAGGGCTCCTTGCTCCTGACCCCCTTTGACAAGGCTGCTCCAAGGCCACTCCCTTTCTCTTGCCTCCCCCCCAGGTTTCCCCTGCGAGCTCGTCCCTCTCTTCAACCCAGCGCTCTCCGCCAGGAACCTGGTGCTGGTGGCTGCCAAGAAGGTGCCGCCCTCCGACCTCTGGGGCCTGGCCGCAGGAGACTGAGGAGGCTCCTGCCCTAGATGGGCCTTTTCGGTGTCTGATGCAGAAGCAGCAAAAGGACTTGGCCTTATCATCCCCCGGAGTGTCCCGTTACACCCCAGCCGAGCAAGCCCATGGACCTTTTGGAGGAGGATGAGGGAGCAGGCCATAATGTTTGTGTCTCTCCCGTCTGTTGTGCATTTGTAATGACAGTACACTTGTTTTTCTATTAAGGGATATTTATTGTTGGTTTTTGATAAAAGAGGGCCCGTGAACGCTTGTGTGAATGCAGAGCTTCTTTGACTCCTGCTGTGTCTCCTTCCCCAGGGAAGGAGGGAGGAGCAGAAGCCTCAATACCAATAAGTCTTCCTGTGCCGCCGTGTCTCTACGATTCCCATCCGCTCCATAATTTCCTCTTGAAAGGTCTTCAAGGACGGGGTGTACGTCTTCTCCAGGGCGTCCTTGGTGGAGGTGTCCTTTGGGCCATCTGAATTGGCAAGGAACAGGGCGGGAGAGAAAAATCTTTATCAAGCCAGTTCAAGATTCCAGTACTCATACCAGCCGGCCCCAGGGCAGGGCCTAGCAGACGTTGTCGAAGGTGACCACTGGCTCATCCTCCTCCCTTCCTTGCTCAGCAGGGAAGCTTCTTACCGACCCACAGCTCTGGGACGATGCCGTCCTCCCTCTGCTCGACAGGTTTGGGGATGATCCGGCCTGTCCGGATGGAGACCCGCACACGCTCGCCCTGTTCTGTGTAGCGCCAGGCCACTTCAGTGGGCAGCCTGAGGTCACGCAAAGTGGACACAACGGGGAGCATCCATAAGAGGCCCAAAGTGAAAGTAATTGGAATTATCACGGTCTGTCTTTAGAACTAGGACCAACATTTCTTATAAGAAACAAAATGCCAACTGTTTCACAAACGCCACCCTCCGAATACAAAAAATACAGAAGGCCAATATTCAGTCCCTCACCAAGAGTTTGAAAAAAAGGAAAAACAATAGGAATCTTGAGGGTTTTTTAAAAGCAGCCATCCTGGCAAATGCCCCTCTGGCCGCCTAAGGGCAACTCATTTTCCGACAGGAATGATTTGATTTTGTTGTGGGGCAGAGGTGGGTTTCAGCAGGCCTGACGAGTTCTGGAGAACCGGTAGCAGAAATTTTGAGTAGTTCGGAGAATTGGTAGTAAAAATTCTGACTGCTCCCCCACCATCTATTCTCTGCCTCCCAAGTCCCAGCTGATAGGGAGGAAATGGGGATTTTGCAGTAACCTTCCCCTGGAGTGGGGTGGGAATGGAGATTTTACAGTATCCTTCCCCTGCCACGCCCAGCAAGCCACACCCACAGAACCAGTAGTAAAAAAATTTGAAACCCAGCACTGTTGTGGGGGGAAGGGCACCACTTCCCTGGAGAGGGACCCAGGGAGGGAGAGGACAAAAGTCACCCCACAACTGCATCCCCCAGACACTCAAACGTTTTATGGCCCCCAAAGGGGGGGAGGGGGAGGGCAATCCTGCCTTACCTGTCAGTGGGGTCCACCAGGCCCACCTCCTTCAAGGACAGCGGCTTCTCCCGGGCAAACATGGCCCTGCCGGCCACGGTGTCCGCGTAGTAGTAGCCCTGGTGGGGGGGAGGGAAGCATAGCGGAACCTGCAGCCCTCGTCCCAGGAAAGCCCAGGGGCTGGGGGAACCTTTTGCCCCGCAAGGAAGGGCTTCCCGTAGAGGCCGAGCCTCCCACCCCTTACCATGTTGAGGCGGTCCAGCAGCACCGACTGCCGCTCCTTGTCCACCTGGATGACCTGGCCTTGCTTGCCGGCCTCGCGCCCGCTCAGGATCTGCACCTGCGGGGGGGGGGGGGGGGGGGGGGGGGGGGGGCGGCGGGGTTGGTCGGGGGCCCCCTGGCGGGGGGGGGGGGGGGGGGGGGCGGGGGGGCGCCTGCCTTCAGACGTCGGGCTGCCAACTCACCGTGTCCCCCCGGAAGACCTGCCAGTCCTCCTCCGGGATGGGCGCCAGCGCGGGCTTCTTCCTCCGGGGCGCCTTCCCCGCCCGGCCGAGCTCGGGAGCCCAGGGGGCCGTCAGCTTCTCCGCCATGGCCAGCAGCCGCGTCAGCCTCATGGTGCCTGCAAGGGGCGCAGGTTGGGGAAGGGCTCAGCCGCCTCGCCTCCCCTCCCCCCCCCCCAGCAGCCTCGCGTGCTGCAACCGGCGCCCGCCAGCCCCCGAGGGACGCCGCGCTCACCTGGCCCGCCTCGGCGCTTCCGAGCCGCTTCCCGGCTGGGCGGAGCGACCGCCCGCGGTGCATCCTGGGATTTGCAGTCCTCAGCAGGCGGCGGCGCTCTCCAGAGCTACGAAAGTGCGGAGCGTCATAGAGCCTCCTCCAACTGCCCGGTTCGCGCACCCCATTCGCAGAGCCTTTGTCGGTCTTCCTCCTGGGTGCCAAGCTGGCCTGGACGGCAGGATGACAGCGGCTGGGCTGCATCGGGGGTGGACTTCCATCCCCGGAATTCCCCAGTTGGCATTAACATTGAGGGTCTAAATCCTGCTTTTTTTTTTTTTTTTTTTACTGCTGGCTGTGGATGGAGTGTGCAGTGTCAGAATCTCCCTGTGAATTTTCCCATTTTATTCTGAAATGTTTCGGTTTCTGGATCAATTCTGCTATCCTTTCTTTTATGTACATTGAGAGCACATGCACCAAGACAAATTCCTTGTGTGTCCAATCACACCTGGCCAATAAAAACTTCTATTCTACTCTATTCTACTCTACTCTACTCTATTCTTTATTACAGAGAACTGGAGAAAACGCATTTCACAGGACAACAGAATAAACAGTCCTTTTTAGCTACAGGTTGCCTGATCGATTTCCCCCCCTCCCCAATTTGGGATTGTCTCTGCAGTATTATTCACTGGGCCTTTATCAAAGGAATGCAACCCTCCCCTCCCCCTCGCCATAGGGGAAGCAGCAGAGCAGAAATTTTGGGGAGCAGCACTCAAAAAAAAACACCCAGGATTTGTGTGGTTAGAGACTGCAGATCTCTATTTATGCTGCCCTCCTGCTTCCAGAAGGCCCACCAGCCCCTCTGTCTGCTTTCCTCGCCTCTCAGGCATCCCCGTTAGACAAAGGGGGGGGTAGGAGGGAGGTCCCGGTCGCAGGGGCTCTCCTGGGCGCTCGGCTCCTCCTGCTCCTCCTCCGGGTCCAGCTCCTGAGGTGGGACTTGAATGCCCAGCATGGTCTCTACGTGCCATAGCCTGGTCTTCACAGCTTGGAGGTGCTCCCTGAGGATCTTCATGGACTTCAGGCAATCGTGGCAGCTGCGAAGATCCTGCCTGCCTGGAAGGAGAGAGCCCCATGAGAGGTGATGCCTGCAGAGGGGGTACAATCTGGGCCTTTTTAGCTCAGACACCCAACCTACGCTCTTGGAAGTGAGAAGACTGGAACTCATGCGCAGCTTGTAGCTCCTGAATCAGGGCCATGATCTCCTCTGGAGGCACAGGAGCCGGAAGGGCAGGCTCTGGGGAAATGTCCTTGGGGGCTGACGGGTCAGGAACCAAGGGGTCAGCCTGAGCCTTGCCTTCGGGATCACCTGCTGATGAGAGGGGAGGTAGAGTTAGCAATGGCAGCTGCTTGGGCACCTTGGCTGAAGGTCACCATTGTGGGGCTTACCATATGCAGCAGCTGGACCTGGTTGGGGCTGCAGCTGAAGAAGACAACCTGGGAAGCAGGATAGGAAGGGCACAGAACATGTTAGTGGAGGCTGTCTCTCTCTTCCCCCCCCCCCCAAGCTTCTGCCCTGGTTCAAAACGCAGGTATCTCTCCAGAGCCCCCAAAGATCTCCTGGAGCTTCAATCTCTTCTCTGAGTCTTCACTCGCCTTCCCCTACAACGGAGTCCCTTTCAGCTTCGTTCTGGGTTTCCCTTTTATCATCCTCGGAAAGCCTGCAAATACCGAGCAAAGTGTGTTTGTAACACAAAAAGTTATCCATGGATCCACGGCAGCCAAGGATTTGGGAATATCTAAGGTATCCCAAGCCTGGTTTCTCCTTCCAGCATCAACATCTCCCTCATTTGCCCAGCTTTACGAAGGCAAGGTTTCCTTTGAGTTCCAGAGAGGCAGTTACTTACGGTCTGTTCTTCTCGTAGATGGATCTAGAAAAACAAAAGAAAAATCAGCTGCCAGGAAATTAAGCCCACCGGTGCCCAGACATGAACACTGCCAGTGTGAGGTAGCTCTCCTTCCAGTTAAGGAGGCTCTCAGGGGATGGTCAAAGGAGGCCACGCTGATCTCCGGGGTTGCCCTGCTCCCAAGGCCAAACAGACATGGCTGTGAAAGACCCACCCTGGGAACCTTTGGGGCTTTCCTGCCCAATTTGGCCTTACCTGCGGAGATGCCGATTAAGAGAGAACCAGTTCTGCATCCTGATGCCAGCTGAGCTGTGGCTGTTGGAATCTCAAGGCAAGGTGGACGGCTGGGTTCCACCTTGGTTGTGAGGTCATGCCCTACTTTGAAATGCAACAGAAGCAGCACTGAAGTCCACTGCTGGCTGCCAGGGAAATGGTAACTGAACCATTCCTGGAAATCCCTGACCTGCTGGCAGAGCAGTCCAGCACCACAGACGTTACCATAATGTGATCAGTTATATAAGCAGGCGGGAAGCTATAAACACTCTTATAAAGTGGGAAAATGTGTGTGTGTGACGGATGGGGGAGTTTTCTAGCAGGCTACCCAGACGGGGCTTCCCTCAAGAACTCACCAGAGGACCGAATTCATGGCAAACTGTCTGGTCTTGGGAAGGTGCCTAGAGGAGCCGGGCAATGAAGAGGCGCAACGGGGGACCTCACGCAGGACAGGAGGGGAAGGGTCCCGAGCACAGAGCCCCGTCTGGGGCGCCTTCCCCGCGGCTGCTCCTTTGCAAGCCTTCCCTCCCAGCTGCCGTTCGGCCGCTTCTCCGCAGTGCGGTGCTGCTGCCTCGCAAGAGGAGGGGGGCTTCTCCCGCCGCCTTCCAGGGATGCCCTCCTGGGGACCCACCCAGCCCAAGGGGAGCCCTCCTCCTCGGCTCCGGCCAGGCTCCCCTGCGCTCCCTCGGGGGCTCCAGGGCCACGCAAGGGGGGGGGGCGGCGGCAGCAGCAGCAGGAGGGATGGGGCTTCAGCGCTTCTGCCCCTTTGATTTCCCCAGCCGGAGGGAACTTTCGTTTTCTGCTTCAACGGGGGCAGCGCCGGGCGGGGGGGGCGGCGGATGCGGGGGAGGCGGTCGTAAGTGCGAGGACCGGGCTGAAAGTCCCTTTTCCCCTCCGGAGGGGCAGAACTAGGAGGGGGAGAAGAACCTGACGATGATAGAGAGGAGGAGTAAGAGCGGCCCGCCCTGGCGGGTCGGAAGTGACGCGCGCGTTCGCCCGCCCGTCGCCTCTCCCGGAAGTGGCGCGCGGTGAGTCAGGGCGTGTGGGCGGGCGGCCCGTCGACGAGGCGTTTCCGTTTCCGGTGGCTGGCGCTGGAGGTGGGCGAGGAGCGGCGGCGGCGGAGCGACGGGAGGCAGCAGCAGAAGCGGCAGGCCGCACCCACCCGCCGACGGAGCCCCAGCCGGCCGGCCGGCGGCCAGGTGAGCCCGGGCGAGCGCGGCGGAGGGTCGGGCCTTCCCCGCCAGGCACCGGGCGGCGGCGGGTCCTCCGGGCCCCATCCTCCCCTCCCGGGCCCTCCCCCTCCCTCCGCGTCCCGGGCAGCGGAGGGCGGGAGGGCGGGAGGGGATCCGCCGCCCCTGCTCCTCTGCTCGGCCGGCCAGCGGGGGGGCGTCGGCCCGTGCGGGGTCTTCGGGCGCCCAGACCGCGCGATCCGGGGCTCCCCTGCCGAGAGGGCCGCGGGCGGAGGAGGCAGGACGGTCCCTTGGCGGCCCCTGATCGGCCAGAAGAGCCGGCCCCGGACTGGCTTCACTCTCCAAACACGGGCGTGGCGGAGGGAAGGAAGCCGGCGGGGAGCCTCTCGGACGGGAAGCTTCCCCCGACAGCCGGCGGGTCGCAGCGGTGGGAACTGGGCGGCGCGGGCGGGCGGTTCCTCCCCGAAGAGGCCCCTGGGCAGAAGGGAAGCCCCGGACTTCGAGACAAGGGCGCAGAATGGGGGGAGGGGGGGCGTCCTTTCCCCAGCAAACCGGCTGATCCCCCCCCCATTCCCCGATCGGAGCGGCAGGCGAGGAGACCCTCCCTCCCTCCCTCCGCAGGTGTGTCAGCCCCGGGAGCCGTTCTGGTGTTGCTGTTCAATGCCGTGTTTACAATCGGCAGCCGCATGGGGTGGGGTGCGATGGCCGTCCTGATAAAAGCAGCGAAAGCCTGGATGGCGCTTTGCGGGAGCTGCCTGGGGGCGGGGAGGATGGGTTGTGTGTGCTGGGAAATAACCTAGAGCACCTAGAGCTAACCCTGGTTTTCCTTCCTTTTTTCCCCCTTGCCTCCGGCCACCCTAGCAGGAGCCAGAGACATGAAGGCAGGCTGTCCCATTGTGGAGAAGCCAGAAGGAGGAGGAGGTGAGGCGGCTGCTGGGCAGGCTGGTTTTGGGGCTCCGGCTTCCCTGGCCTGTGGCAAAGATGGCAAGGCCTTGGCTGGAGGACCAGGAGACAGGGTCTTGTTTGTCCCCTTCTTTCCTGGGGGGTGGGCTCCCTCCGCAGACCCTTTCCTACCGGCCTTGGCCTGGGCTGCCAAAACCTTTCCTGGTGGGGCTGCCAATCCCTGCTCTGGGGCTGGGAAGGGGTGCCCGGAGAGCGTGGCAGCGGCTGTGCCCACCTTCTCTGGAACCGCAGGTGGCTTCTAGTTCCATGGTTTCTCAGCCACAGCGGCCGCATCACCACCACTCAGCTCGGCAAGGGGCAGAGGTTACCACTTCTTTCTGACCCCCGGTTTTGCTTTTTGGCCTGCCAGGCTATCATTTCCCTGACTGGGCGTACAAGACCGAATCCAGCCCAGGCTCCCGCCAGATCCAGCTCTGGCACTTCATCCTAGAGCTGTTGCAGAAGGAGGAGTTCCGGCATGTGATCGCCTGGCAGCAGGGTGAATACGGGGAGTTTGTCATCAAGGACCCAGACGAGGTGGCCCGGTTGTGGGGCCGGAGGAAATGCAAGCCCCAGATGAACTACGACAAGCTGAGCCGGGCTCTCAGGTGAGCCTGGTGCCGGTAGAGAAGGAGGGATGTTGACACGAGGCCCTTGAAAGCAAACCTTTGGGATGTAGATGGATCTGGAGTTTTTCCGGTGATCCCTGACATGGGGAATGCCAGCAGTCTTTAACGGGAAACAGCCGGGAAAGATGGTTCTGGAGCAGACCTGCCCCTTGTTGTCTTTGGGCGCTGGGTTCCTTTATCAAGAGTTGCTGAGGCTTGCTGGAAAAGTCCATCTGCATTCATCAGAACTGAAGCTCATTGATTCACCCTCCCTGGCATACCACAAGTGTGGCACCCATATCCCTGCAAGCTCCCCATGGTTTTGGAGGGCCTGCCTGCCCCAAAGATCCTGATTGGGGATAGATTTCCTGGGGGGGGGTGTCCTGTGTTGCCAAGGAGCCACCTGTGTGAAAAAAAATCCCAGGGTCTGAACTTTCCACTCCGGAAAGTTGCTGGCGTCCCTTGGCTGCCTTCTTCAGATCTTCCCCGTGCCCCACCCTCTGTGTTGGCAGAGCAACGGACTTGAGCCAGTGCCAAGCTGTGAGCGCTCGTGGCCCGGGTGGCACGTCCTTGGCTTTTTTTCACAGGAAGCTGAGACTTGGCTGAGTACCCTAGCCAGCCTTCTGCCCTCTGTCCCTTGCAAGGAGGCACGGCCTGCATTTGCATAACGGAGGGGAACTCTCTAATTTGCAGAGCTCATCTTTCCCTCCTCTCTCCCTCTCTTTCTCTCCCCTTCCCACCCACTCTCTCTCTCTCTCTCTCTCCCTCTGCCCCTCCCTCCCTCTCTCTCTCTCGGGATGGGGTAAAGGCCGTATTGGCCAGACAGAAGGGCTGCCGGCCTGGGTCTGTCCTCTGCTACTCGGACGCCTCCCAAGGAGACTGACGGGTGGCTTTCCTCCCTCGGCAGGTACTACTACAACAAGCGGATTCTGCACAAGACGAAAGGCAAGAGGTTCACCTACAAGTTCAACTTCAACAAACTCGTGATGCCCAGTTACCCCTTCCTTAACATCCGCCCCACTGGTGAGCAGTCAGCGGGGGCCGGTTTTGCCGGGTGGGGATTGGGGGAGGAGGCCTGGCAGGTTGGCCAGAGGAATATTTTCATTCATTCCGTTTGTGAGTGACCCTGGCTGGCAACACTGTCACGCTCTCCCTGCAGAGTAGGCTGGGCTGAGGGCGAGTGCCTGGCCCAAAGGAACTTCGGAGAACCAGGCCTTTCCAGTTGACCAGTCTGAAGGCCCAGACAGTTGCCAGATTTCAGCTGCTCCTTTAGCATCTGGGAATCGGGTGGAGGGCAGCTGCTCTCGGTTCACCACCACCCCTAAACTTTCTGGCTGGGCACCCGGCGACGTGGTTTTTTTCCCCAGCCGAAGAGCGGCTCTTTTCTGCCTTTGGCTTTCCCCCTTTCCCGAGTGCTCCGATTGGCAGGGCCTTGTTTCCTGGGGCGGCCAGACCTGCCTGCTGCCATCGTGGGGGCCTCTCCTGCTTCTCAAGCCCTTCTCCAGAAATGAGTTCCACTGCAGGCCCTTTTTTCCTCTGGTTGTATTTACACGCTTGGTGTTCGGTTGGACCCAGCAGCTGCCAACCTGGGATTGCTGCTTTTTCTGGGCTTGGAAAAAATAGCAGCTAGGAGAGTGACGCCCTTCCCTATGTGGGAACCGGTAGCCGCCCCGGGCCTGGCAGAGGAGCTCTGGTCTCCTTGACTGACGTTTTGGGCAGTGCTGGGTGTGGCTGGGAAGAGGGCGAGCCCAGCAGCTTTCTGCCCCAAGTGGACCTCCAGAGCTGTGGCTTTCCTGAAGGGGCCCCTTGCAAAAGGTTATTGTTTCCCTTCTGCCGATGTGGCCAGGCCGAGAGCTCCTTCCTGGTGCACGGAGGCATCCATCCCTCGGGCCGCCCACGGAGGAGGGCCCTTTGCCCCCAGGGAGGCTCTGCGCTTTCGGGACAGGTGCCCTGGAGCAAGGCCTCCCTCCTCGTCCACAGCTCTGGGCTGTGCGGCTTGGCTGTCCTTTCAGCGGGGAGGAGGCCCCGGTCTTCCCACCTCCGACTTTTCCCTCTTCGTCTTTGTTTCTTTCTGCCTAATGGCATGGTTGCCCCCTTGTTCTTTGGATTAGGAGCTCTTTGTTTTGAGGGGGGGATTGTGCTCCTTGCCAGGAGAGTCCGGCCACGTGATCCTCAGCCGAAAGCCAGGCCCCAAGAGAGGAGCAGGGCTGCACCCCCGTGGCCTGGACAAGTGCAGGAACAAGTCCGGGCAGTTGCTCACCCTGATTCCTCTCGGCCACGCCCTGCGCTCCCTGAGGCTGGCAGTGAGCAGAGTGGCTGGAAGCTGCTCCGTGATTACAGCCTGTTTTCTTTCCTCTTGCCTGGGGAGGTGGAGGCCCCACCCTGCTCGGGAGGGAGGGAGGGAGAGGGCCAAGGCTGAGTCTGCGGGGGGGGGGGGGAGCTGCAAGGCCATTTGTGCCTCTCTCCCCCCCCTCCCCTGGGAGGGCAGAAGGATCTTCTCTGCCTTCTTCTGACAGGGAGCCTGCGCAGAGCCTCTGGCCATGCAAAGGCCGGGCATTGCAGAGGGGACCAGGAATGGGTCACCCTGACTGGGAACGTGGTATCCTCAGCCCCCAAGTTGGACTGTCCAACTCTGCCATCCGGGGGTGCAGGGAGGGGAGGACTTTCTAAAGACAGGCCTTGGCTGCAGCTGCGTTCTTAGAGATGGGAAGGGGGTCCCTGGAAGGGGACCAAACCTGAGCCTTTGAGAAAGATCTCTCCCCAGATGGCAGCAGAGAGAGGGGCTGGGCAGACCTTCTCTTGGGCATCTGGGCAGGGTTCATGGGAGGGTGGGGGCTGCCTTACTAGGCCTGGATCTCAATCATTTAATTGCCAGAACTCCCTGACCCCCAGAAGCTGCTTCTGGGGCACCCCAAATCAAGAGAGCCCAGTCCGACTTCCTGTGGGTTTGTGATCCGGAGACCCTCCTCTCACTCCTCTTCTCTTCCCTCCCAGGCGCCGTGCCACAGAGCGCCCCTCCGGTGCCCACGGCTTCGTCCCGCTTCCACTTCTCCCTGGAGGGCCAGTCACCCAGCGAGGACTCCCAGCCGGGCTGCTTCTCGGGCAGAGCCCTGGGGCCGCCGGGCCAGGAGGCGCTCAGCAATGGCAGCGCAGATGAGAAAGCGTCTCCGGCGCTGGAGCTGGATGGGGTGTCACCGGATTGGCACCGCAGGGTCGACCTCTTGGCCTCCCGCAACACAGCAGCGGCACCAGGCACCGTCACCCACCCGAAGCGCAAGTCGGACCTGGTGTTGCCCATCTTCGGCCGGGCCGGCCTCTACCCAGACGCCCACAGCCCCTTCGCCGGGTCACCCCTCCCTCCCCGTGGGGGGGTGCTCAACGTGCCCCTCTCCCCCGCCCTGTCGCTGACCCCCACCCTCTTCTCCTACAGCCCCTCCTCGGCCATGAGCCCTTTTGCGCCCGGTGGCAGCAGCTGCTTCTCCTTCAGCCCCGAGGAGATGAAGCACTACTTGCACTCCCAGGCCTGCTCCGTTTTCAACTACCACCTCAGCCCTCGGACCTTCCCGCGCTACCCGGGCCTGATCATCCCACCCCTGACCTGCCACCCGCCCCACGAGGAGCAGCCCCCCTTCCCCATCAAGCTGCAGCCCCCGCCTGCCGGGCGCAAACACCGGGAGCGCCACGAGAGCGAGGGAGGCAGCGGGCCACCTCCGTCGCCCCCCCAGATCAAGCTGGAGAGGCCTTTGGATGAGGAGCCCGGCGGCACTGACTCCCCAGAGAGGGTCCTGGTGGGGCAGAAGGAGAGCGAGGGCTCGGCCCCCCCACCCCGACGCCCGGAGCTGCTGCAGGAGAAGAGGCTCTTCCTGCACCCGGCCGCCCCGGCGTGGCCTGGCATTTCCGTGGTGCCCAGCCTGGCCAAGAAGCTCAAGCAGGAGGAAGGGGCTGCTGAGAAGCCCCCCCCGCAGGAGCCCGGGTGGGAGCTGGGGGCCCTGGAGAAGAGGGAGGACGCCGCCATGCCACCCAAACTGCGCCTGAAGCGTCGCTGGAACGGGGACCGGCTGGCGGAAGCCCCCGAGGAGACCCCCAGCAGGAAGCCCTCCTGGGCCGGCAGCCTGGACACGCCCCACATCCTGCTGGCCCCCAAGGCTGCGGTGGATACTTAGGACAGGGAGGGAGACATGGGGCGGCTCCAAGGTGTAATGTAGCAAGGTTTTCCTGGCTGGGGGGGCAGGAGGAGGGCGAGGAGGGCTTCACTAAACTTGCGGGGTGGGGGGTGGGGTTGCTTTGTGTGTGTGTATGCGTGTGCACGCGTGTGCATTGCAGGTGAAATGCAGTTGTTCATGTCCCGAGGGAGGGGGACTCCTTGGCTTGCAAAGCCCCCTCCTCAGCCATTTCTGCGTGGCCAATGCTGCAGCAGCGCCTCCAATGGACCCGCTCTCGTTTCTTGGGGGGGGCTTGATAGTCGTGGGGGCTCCTCTGAATCTCTCTTGTTGCTTTCTGGGTGGTCTCCCTTCCCAGTCAGAGCCAGGCAGTGTCTCACATTTGTGGAGGATGGTGTGTTGGGAGGGGGGATTTGGGGGGGGCTGGAACATTGCACTGTCTTTCAATTCTGGAAGTGGACATTTTGGCAGGCGAGATGAAGCCGACAGCCCGCAGGAGGGCTCGGGCTGGTGGTGTGCTGGCTTGGCGGCCTGCAGAGCGACTTTCAGAAATATTGGGGGCGTAGTGGGGGGGGTTCATCTTTAAAGTAACCTTTTTTAACTGTAGAAGAAGCCATGGCAATTTCTGCTCTTGAACCTTCAGGGATGATGTGGATGGGAAGTCAAACGGAGAACCAGATGCCTTTAACGCAGCCCCTCCTTTAGCCCTCCCTTCCTTTTCTCAGTTCCGGCCTTTGAGGAGGGGGTCCTAGACGGAGATTGGTGGGCTCTGAGGGGGAGGCAGCCCAGGGCGGCTCTGCCCTTTTGTGACTGCCTTACTGTGGTCCCTTTGCGGGAGAGGCCCTCGGTGGGGTGGGGGGGCTTCTCTTAACGGGGGGGGGGTGGGGGGGGGGGGGGGGGGGGGGGGGGGGGGGGGGTGGCCTCAGTCACGCCAGGCTCTTTCCTGGTGGGGGGGGGGGCTTTGCGGCAAGCAGTCTCAGTGGGCCCTCCTCTCCAGAGTGGCTTAAGGATTCTGTGGAGAGGGGGGGGAGGCTCTAAATGGGGCTGCCCCTTTGGACACTGACTCTTCTGTTCATTGGGGGCTTCTGTGGGGTTCGTATTTGTAGCATGCGAAGAAAGCCATTGGGTGACTTGTTTGAGGAGGCTTTGTGGGGGGGACACGGGGGGGGTCGTACAGACTGGCGATGGGTCTGGTGTCCGGTCGAAAGCTCTTCCCCCTTGCTTCAGCCACCCCTTGCATGTCCAAGCCTTAGAGCCTTTCTGCTTTGTGGGGGGAGGGGAGGGGAGGGGCCCCCTGAGGTCCTCTTCCCCCCCCCATAGGAAGGGGGCTGGCCATGGGGCCCAAAACTCAGGAACTGAAACGTGAAAGGCCTCCTTTGCCTGGGACGTGCACTCTTTCCTTCTATTGAACCCAAGTGCCAGAAGGGGTGGGGGGGGGTCATGGGGTGGGGGCCGCTGGTGTTCTTTGGGGAGAGGGAGGGCTGGGGATGGGAAGCCAGCACCCTCGCCACCTTGTGCCCGTTGCAATCTCTGCCTCCGGGCTTTGGGGGTGGGGGGGCTGCCCTGCCTGTTCAGGGATACAAGGGCTCAGCTCTGGGGGCTCCAGGGGGCTGGGGGCAGGAGGGGGCTGTGGAGAGCTTACCAGCACCTGGGTCGTGCCTCCTTCCCCAGCCCCAGGCAGGCCTGAGGTCAGACCTCAGAGCTGCGTTGAGGGGCACCCGGGCCTGCCAGGCCAAACAGCTCCTTGTGCCAAAAAACTGAATCCGCTGCTCCAGCGCCGGGGGGGAGGGGGGGCGTCCCATCTGCCGCTAATCAAGGAAGCGTTCATACTTTTGGGAAATGGTTGTGATGTGTTGTAGCCATAGAAAATCTTAGGTGGGTTTTTGCCGTGGCCCCCCTCCCTCCCTCCCTCCCTCCCTCCCCAGGACATGGTAGGGAGGGCTTTGGGATGAGCAGGGCAGGGGGCTGCTGCTTCTGGCTGTTAAAAGGCTGACCATGTGCTCTTGGCAAGGGTATTTTCAGGGGTGGGGTGGGGTCTCAAGCAGCAGGGAAGCCAGAGTTGGGGGCCAGGGGCTAAAAACCCAGAGGGCCCCTGATGCGGCAGGCCCCTTGGCTCCCCATTGGGGAGGGGGGGAGACGGTGTGGGGGGTTCCCCTCGGATGGGAAGAATTTACCTCGAGGGGGGTGGGGTGGGGGGCTTCTCTTCTACCCCTGCTTTGCTCTGTCTCCTTTTCTTTTGCGCCTTAGGGATGCGGGTGGACTGACGGAGGGAGGTCCGGACTGTGGTTCAAGGGGCATCCCGTTAGGTTATTTTCTTAGGAAAAAAAATTCAACTTTAGAGTGTTAAAAGTGGCAAAGTATTTACTGATCACTCCTTTAAAAAAAAGAAAATATTTTTCCATGAGATGGCCCTGACTGAAGAACTAAACACAGCGGGGCAGCAGCTCATAGCTTGAGGTATTTGTCCATGTAAAGCAGGATTAAAATTGTGTCTAAAAAAAAAATGTAAGTAGTCCTCATGCTTTTGTGCAGTGCCTTTAGACGTTCCACTTTCTATACAGTCTTCAAAAAAAAAAACTTTGCATATATATTATATATATGATGTAATGTTATAGAAATATATGTATAATATACATATTTTTTCCAGGGGTATCTGATAGCTCTGTATTTTGTTATGGAAGTTGATATGAGATATTTTACCTCAAATTTTAAAAAAAAAAGTTAAATAAACCTTTTAAGTAAGTCTGCTGGGATTCCTTCCGTCTTTTGCTTTTGGGGAGGCTGTGGTGGATGTTGGAATTGGCGTCTGTGTTGGAGGGGGGGAGGCCTGCCAGGCGGATGGAAGCGCAGGCAACCGGGTCCCCCTGCGTGGTGGTGTGTTTGCGTGAGACTCTCATTCACGCAAGGTGGGGGCCCGCACACGGCCCATGGGGCCTGGAGGACGAGTGGCAGGCTGCTCTGCTGCAAAGGTGGACACTCAACCCCACTGGAGGTCCTTGCCAGGCCCAGCGGGATCCCAGATCCTCGGGCCAAGCACTCTTTCCTCAGCCTGATGCCTGGGGAAAGTTTCCACCCGCTTCCTGGAGCTGCAAGGAGAAAGTTAAGGCAACTGGATGTTTGTTCGAGGCCCGTGGCTTCCTTGGCCAGGGTTTTACAGCTGGGGAGCCAGCTCTGGTGAGAAGGCACCTTTGACCTGGGAGATTACTCGGTCTCAGTTGCACTGATCATCTCGGGTCCCTTCCCAGCAGCTCAAGCAACTTTCCCTTCCACAGCTCCCTCTTGCCTGGAGGAAGGAAGCTGCGCAAGGCGCCTCGGCCAGTTGCCCTGCCGCTCTGTCCTGCCCACAGCTTCGGCCCTTGCTCCGTCCAGAGCTCTGCGTGTCCCTGTCAAAGGCCAGCTAGGGCAGTGGCTGCAGGCTGGGCATGGGTGCCACCGCTCTGCCACGTGAAGTGAGGTGTGTGGGCTTCTGGATGGATGAGAAAACTCCACCTGGGTTGGCTGTGATTCACACGCTCTCCCTCCCTCCCTCCCTCTGGCAGAAGGGCAGGGAACGGCTTCCTTTCAGAACGCTTGTAGCGTAATTGCCTACAGGGAGCCTGTCGCCCAAGGAGTCACACGAGGCTCCCGGGCAGGTTGTGCCAGCTGGGCGAAGAGGGGCGCAAACCGAGGGCAGCTTCATGGATGCCCGGAGGACAGCTGGGGAAACACGCCGCTTCGGCTTTAAACCCGTCTTTACTTCAGCAGGGAGAACTGGGTGCTCGGATTTCTCCAGGCCTCCCCACCTGTTTTCGGCACCCTGGTTCCTTTTCTCCCTCTCTCCTGGTTCCCATCCTGGTGATGCCCAAAGTTTTGCAGCCGTGCTGCAAGACACTTCAAACCCAGCTGCGTGTCGCAAAGTCACATTCCCACTCGCAGGCCAACCAACTTCGTACACTTAGAAAAAATAAAAACCCTGAGATCAAATTCCTAGGCTCATCCTGGGTCCATCAATCCAGTCTCCTAAATGGCGTCTGTGGAGGTTCCCATCAGGAGCTCAGCCTCCTCCCCTGCAGGCTGCAGCCAAGTAGGCCAAGAACACGAACTCGGAGCCTTTCATAGGATCCCTGTCTTAGGCAATGGAAAGCGCCTCCGGCTCAGCTCCTCCTCAAATGCTTCAAAGCAGCCAGTTCCTCCTGTTCCTCCCAGCGGCCTCTGGGGCTGCAGATGCTTTCAAAGTAGCAGCTGAAACCCCTCCTTGGGCGCTGCATGTGGGAAACCAAGGGAGCCCAGGCCTCCCTACTGCGCAGGCTCGCTGGCATCTCGGAAGCTCAGATTGCCAAGGCCAGGGTGAAGTGCCCCCTTCTTCCCCTCCAGCAGAGCTTGAAAAGCAACTGGGAGCAACGCCCAGATAGGACTGGACCCCAGATCCTGGCCCAGTGTCTGTTACCTCTGCCTCCGGGAAACATGGTGCCGGGCTGGGTTTATTGCTTGGGGGCTGTGTGCCACAATGGGTAGCTGTCCACTTCCACTGCTGCTGAAGCATGGAAAACAGGTGGCACGCCCTGGGAACGCCCAACCCAGGGCGGGAAAAAACCCAGCAAGATTTTGTTCACTGTGCCAGCTCCCCCTTTCCTCCAAGCCACCTTTTGGTGAGAGTTTGGGGCTGCCTCCCTCTCAAGCAGGATGCGGCACTTCCTGGAAACTCTCCTTGCCACATCTTCAATCAGCCAAATTTCCTCCGCCTGCCAGTCTGGGGCAGTGAGTGTGTACAGAGACGTGTGTTGGGGTTCCACCCTTCCCTGGATCGGGAGACGGCTTCTCCGAGCAAATTCTCTTTGCCTGGTTGCTGATCCTGGGATGCCGCTTCTGAATGGAACCGGAGCCTGAAGGGGGACTGGGCAGATGGCGGCAAACGTCTTCGGTCATTGGGGGAGAAAGGTCCCAACGGCATCCTTTGAAAGGCCCCAATCCAGCTGCCTCTACTCCGTCTGGAGGTTTTCCCACGGGAGGCTTCCGTTATCAGCAGAGGCAACGGCTTCTCTCTGAGCTTGGCCAAGAGATGGGCCCCTTAGTGAGATGCCCCTTCCTCAAACCACCTGCGCTTCTGGTATCCCTCTGCTGCCGCCTCTGCCTCCCCCCACCAGCCAGTCTCTATGGCCTGAGGAAATTTCTGGTGGGGAGTGTGACTGGAACCCCTGGCTGGCCATCACTGTTGGTTAATTAGTATGTTCTTCTTAATCAGGTCAGCTCAGGACAGCTTGGAAAGCTAAGAAGCTACATGGAAGGAGTGGGTGGGAGGGAGGGTCCCTGCCAGCTTTTGTCAGTCCCCCTCCCCTTGGCTGCAGAGCCGGCATTGTGTGTCCCATAACCAGCTTGATGAAACCAACCTAAGAGGTTTTGGACAAGCAGCCCCTGACCTTCCCGCTCGGCTCAGTGGGGCTAAGCAGATTGTGGGGGGATTTGGCAGAGCGAGTGAGAGGCTGCAAGCCGATTCCAAGCTCTTCCTGCATGCCAGCCAGGCCGGCTCAACTGGAATTCTGCTTGCAAGGCAAACCTGTACTTATGCATGCGGAAACCACCTGTTGGAACCTGCCGGTGCCCCAAATCGGAGGCCGGGGAAAGTGTGAAGCAGGAAGGAAGCTAGCTGGATCCATCTGAACAGATCTCCACAGCGTATGTGATTCTTTTGTGCCAGCGGCCCTTTCCGAGTTTGTTATGCCCACGGTTGACGTCAGGCACACCTCCAGCCTGTTGGGGCATCCTTTGACGGAGAGGACCAGGCCGCAAACAATCAGGGTGGGCAGGTGGGAGAGCCGTCCTTTCCTGGCCGGGCAAACTTTTTCTCCTGAAGGGAGGCAGAATTTACCTCTCTCT